CTGCTGTGCAGGTTTCAAATAGAAATTATTGAAGGCATTATTGAATAACTCCGCGTGGAATCCAAAATTTGCAGGTTTGAAGCAATGCAGCCTAACTTGCCGAAACAGTCTGACATGAGTTCCAACTTCTAGTCCTGCTGTGCTCTGTGGCTGGAACAGACGACTGTAGTGACTATTAGAAGCCAAGCACCTCTTGTACTAGCACAACTCCAAGTTGGAGCTTTGTAGAATGGGCTGGACAAGTATGGGTTGCTGCTTATCCCAACTTGTTTCTGTTGCTCCACTTCAAAATGAGCTCTGGTTATGTGATCTTTGGTTTTTGAGTTTACCACTGGTCTGAGTGGAAGTGGACCCTTGGTGATGGGACAAAGTTGCCAGCCAATCCCATCGGTTGGATGCAGTTCTTTTACTTTCCCGTCACGGGCACGGATCAGGGTTTCAGATGCACGCACACATGTAACACTGCAAGTGGCTAGGCTCTCCCACTGGTTCTACACTTGTGCTGTGAACGTACAGCTTTTGCCGTCACGTTACGGAGACGTTTCAGGGTTTCATTTCATGCGGAATTCGATTACAATTTGCGGTATCCAGATTCGCCAATGTCGCATAGAGTCGACAGATATTGACGAAAGCCCGTTAAAATCTCGTGACGAATCAGAACTGCAGACATTGGAGATGCTGATTGATTTTTCAGGGTAGAGGTTTCGCGCGTTGTTTGCAATATGTGTGGCATGAAATGCTCTGCTGACAGGGCGACGCCTTTGTGGCGTGATGTTATTGGCTTGGTTTTACGTGTTCTGCGCGTTCGGCTTGGCCTGGCCTTTTCGTGGTTTCGGGGCGTTCCACTCCACCTGATTTGGAATCGGCTCAGCAGGGGACACTGTCCACTGGACAGTGCTCCTCCAGCAACCTTATTGAAACCGGGGAAATGGAGACTACACCCCCTGAACCGTGCGTAACTGGCAGGCTGATCATGTCCTATTAGTGTCGGATAAATAAACCATTCTGAAACAAAACTTCCCGTCCTAAACCGTGTTATTTCAATCCGGATGTCAGTACGCACGGGACTGGCATCAGTCGTGACGTGGAAGTACACAGTTTTCAACACTCTCGACGCGCCAAGACGAAGTCAGCATTGACGTGTACTGTACACGCTCGACGCTCATAAATTTTAGGGTTTTGAGTTGCGCACGCACCGTTACTGATCATATTTTCTCCCCACGCATCTACAAGGCTTCTGGCGCACTGTTACTGCCCATTTTTCGCTCACAACGCAGAATTAGCTCCTTTCAACGCAGTTTTGCTTTCATTGGTCGTAGAATTGACGGGCCGATTACTCTGCTTTGGTTGGCGGCCACAGAACCGTCAAACGAAAGCATTTCGGGCATAAAAAAATTAAACCCATTCGGGTGGCATGTTTTTCGAGGGAGACATCAACCCTAAACACCGGGAGACAAGGTGTTTAGGAATGATGACCTTCCCAACGAGTATATTTTTTTCGACGGCTGGTCTCGATAGAGCATCAACCCTAAACACCATTCGGAAGGTGTTTAGGGTAGATACCTCTTTTTAAAGGGGTATATCAAAGTTTTAGCACTAAAAACAAATCAAAGTAGTTACTGTTTTCTGTGACAGTATCCACAGGTTCGGTTTGAAGTTATGTGCCATGTGTGGACCAATGAAATCAAAACTGCGTTGAAAGGAGCTAACTCTGCGTTGTGAGCGAAAACAGAGCAGTAACAGTGCGCCAGAAGCACTGTAGCTGCACTGGGAGCGAAGAAGTTCAGTAACAGTGCGTGCTCAACTCAAAACCCTAAATTTCAGGTGGCAAATGTCACATGGATAATGCTAGGATGCACCGCAGGCTCAGGGTGCGTTTCTATCCCGTGTCAGACACGAAGCCAGACACGAAGTTGAGGTTGGGAAGACCCAAAGGGACTCGGATTGCTGGCAAATTTAGGTTCGGAAGACACAAACCGAGTCACTTTGTGTCTTCCGAAGCTTTGACCTGATGTCTGACACGGGATAGAAACGCACCCTCAATCGCCTCGCCCGCTTAGTTTTTCGCCAATGCAAGTGTACTACTCTACTCCGATGTATACAGTTCGTGTACATTGACGAAGTTTGCAAGGGTTAAATGACAGATGATGTACGCGTTACATTTCAATTCCATACGAACCGAGTCATTCCATCAAGAACATCCATCGAGGATCTGACAAGATAGCATTGGGAAATACCAGACATTGTCCATTTAGACTCCGCCTGTCCAGCCCTCAGTATCTAGGAGTCATCATGAAGTTCCGCTCGTTGCGCTTCAGCGTGGTTCTTCCAACGCGCCGGGCGTGAGCATCTTCGCGTTATTTGTTGATCCCAGCCTCACTGCTAGCCACAAAGGCCCTCCGTCGTTTGGTCCTTCCTTCCTGGAAGTTCGGCTATTTCTTTCATTCTCGGCGGTTCTCTAGGAATCGACCACCGGGAATCGCGGCGATGGTGCAATTGCGACGAAATTGACGTCACCAGGAGGATAGGTCGCAGAAACGGCCCGGCGTGTGCTGCTGGGAGAAGCGACGGTAGCGACGCTGTTGCGAGTTATCGAAAACTCCGCGAATGTCGAGCCTCTGCGACGTTCCTGCGATCCATCGTGGGCGACGCAAGCGTGACGACGAACATAACGGTGGGATGCTTGAATACTGGGAGTATACGGAGGATGCTTGAAGAATGCGCATATGCGTGGGATGCTCGAATAATGGGAATACGCGTTAGATGTTTGAATAATGGGAATACGCGTTAGATGTTTGAATAATGGGAATATGCGTGGGATTTTCCGGTAATGGGAAGACATAGGGAGATATGTGGGCTACTCGTTGCCTCCTCCTCCTCTGCCCCTCCTCCAGGGCTTAGGTGCGTGAGTAGTAGGCTCGGAATGCACCATAGGTGCGTGGTTAGGATCGTCAATTGCATTCCAAAATGAAAAATAAATGCATGCAGCACTTTGTGGCGCTGTGCATGCCACCATGCCATCATGTGAATGCAATGTGGAAGCTCTTTTGAGTCCCCTCAAAAGTCACCTCAATTTTTTCGACTCAGAAGTCACTTCGTGCTGCTCATGGCACCACACCATGCCATGCCATACCACACCAAGTCGTGGTGGTCACCGCGTGAGCGCGACGTGGAAGCTTCAAGCGACTCACATTCTTTATTTTGCATCATGCCAATCCGATGTGTGCTTCCCTCCATATATGCTCCCCCCTGTGTGTGCCCCCCCCTGTGTGTTTCCCCCCCTGTGTGTGTCCCCCCCTGTGTGTGTCCCCCCCTGTGTGTGTCCCCCCCTGTGTGTGCCCCCCCCTGTGTGTGCCCCCCCCTGTGTGTGTCCCCCCCTGTGTGTGTCCCCCCCTGTGTGTGTCCCCCCCTGTGTGTGTCCCCCCCTGTGTGTGTCCCTCCCTGTGTGTGCCCCCCCCTGTGTGTGTCCCCCCCTGTGTGTGTCCCCCCCTGTGTGTGTCCCCCCCTGTGTGTGTCCCCCCCTGTGTGTGCCCCCCCCTGTGTGTGTCCCCCCCTGTGTGTGCTTCCCTCCATATATGCTCCCCCCTGTGTGTTCCTCCCCCTGTGCGTCCCTCCCCCCATGTGTGCACACAAAGTGCAGGGGGGATGACAGCAACAAGAGCATCAGGCACCAATGCTGTTCGGTATGCCATTATCATCCCATGACCCATGCCTTCCCATGCCATCCCATGCCATCATCCCAAGCCATCATCCCATCCCATGCCATCACATGACATGCGTACTTTCTTAGTTCTGCTTCCTATTCCCCCTTCCCCATGCCCACTGCCCAGTTTCCCCTTCCCTTTTTCCCCTTCCCCATTTTCCCTTCCCTTCTGACCTTTCTCTTTCCCCCTTCCCCGGATTCCGATTCCTCCTTCCCTTGTCCCCTTCCGCAATTGCCATTTTCCCTTTCTCAATCCCCATTGCGCTTTCCCCTCCGCAGTCCTCCGCAGTTCGCATTCCCCATGTCCCCTTCCCCATCCCCCTACCCCAGCCCCTCTTTCTCCAGCTCTGCTGCTCTCCCTACCTCCCCCCACCACGCCCACCACACCCCACCATGCCCCACCACACCACACCCCACCATGCAGACGCAATCCCATTCACGCACTCCACACACCAAGAGCATCAGGTGGTAACTGCCTTCGCTCCCGGGTGCCCATCATACCTTTCCAATGGTCATTTCCTATGCGCACACGCACACATGCATCCACACACACACACACATACACGCACGCACACACACACACACACACACGCACACGCACGCACGCACACGCACACACACACACACTCACACACACACGCACGCACGCACACACACACTCACACACTCACTCACTCACAGTCACACACTCAGTCACACACACACACACACAAAACACACTTTTAGTACAAATCAATGACAACAAAAAAATGCCTATTGATTAAAAAGAAGAGCAAAATACATGTAATTCACCCCTACTCATATTCCCTATGCTCCCCATGATCCATCAAGAACCTCTCTAGTGCATCAACGGTGTAGGTTTCAGCACCAGGGGTCGTTGATGCTTCATGCTCGAAATTCCTTGTGTAGCCTGTCTTGCAGTTGATGTACGGCAACCCTCCTGTACCTGTAGCCTGTCCTCCAACCTCCAAACCTCCTCTCGTGACTCCTAAATGTTCTGTAAAGGGGGCAGCATCGACATGATTCTTGAAGCGATGACAGGCTGTCTTCTGGATGCGAGATGATGGGGAGATGAGGCCCCGAGCAGCAAGAGCAGAGTGTTCCGTGTCTCTCAGGAGCGACAAGTTGGCTGAGGGGTGAGGAAGAGGAAGACTCAAGCCTGAGATGACATGCTGCTGGGCAGAACACAACTGGTCACCACTCGCCTGGTCACCACTCGGCTCGTCGCCACAGGACTGGTCGGCGGCAGCACCAGCATTGTATGCAGGCCTGAAGGCCTTTGTCGCATTCTCTTGCATTACAACATCTCCTTCACTGCTGCCAGCACCGCCAGTCTCGTAGCCATTGATTTCCTTAGAGGCATGATGCTCCAAGGCATCAACACCTCACGTCTCTGTGTGGCTGTATCCATGCAAGGTGGTGGGTGGAGAGGCGGGGGAAAGAAGCACATGGTGCGAGTGCAAGACTGCAGCACCAGCACCTGCTGTGGCGACAGCACCTGCTGTGGCAACAGCACCAGAGGCAACACCACCACCACCAGTGGCTGCAGCAGTGCTTGCAGTGGTGGCAGCACCAGCTGTGGCAACAGCACCAGAGGCAACACCACCAGCAGTGCCAGCAGCGGTGGCAGCACCAGCTGTGGCAACAGCACCAGAGGCAACACCACCACCACCGGTGGCTGCAGCAGTGCCAGCAGCGGTGGCAGCACTTGCTCTGACTACAGCACCAGAGGCAATACCACCAGCAGCAGTGCCAGCAGCAGTGCCAGCAGCAGTGCCAGCAGCAGTGGCAGCAGCAGTGCCAGCAGCAGTGCCAGCAGCAGTGGCAGCAGCAGTGGCAGCAGCAGTGCCAGCAGCAGTGGCAGCAGCAGTGCCAGCAGCAGTGGCAGCAGCAGTGGCAGCAGCAGTGCCAGCAGTTGCCCCAGAAGCGATGCCACCACCAGCAGTGCTGGCAGTAGAGGTCATTGCAGAGGAGGTGAGGGCAGCATGTGTCGTGGGGGGAGTGGACTGACTGCGGAAGAGCAGATGGTGCTGGAAACGAGTGAGCTGCTCCTGGTGCTGCTGCAGCAGTTGCAGCTCCTCTTGCTGGTGCATCAACTTCAATTGCTGCTGCTGAATTGAAGAATACCACTGCATTGACTGCTGTTGCTGATGCTGCTGCTGCTGCTGCATCTGCTGTTGCTGATGCTGCTGCTGCTGCTGCATCTGTTGTTGCTGATGCTGATGCTGCTGCTGCTGCATCTGCTGTTGCTGCTGCATCTGCTGTTGCTGATGCTGCTGCTGTGCCATCTGCATTTCATCCAGCAACAACCTCTGCTGCCCCCCCATCCGCCTCTGCTGCAGCACCCCTTCTCCGGGCCTCCTGGCGCGCATCCAAGGCTGCTTCTCCAGTCGTTTGTGCAGCTCCTGCGTGTACTTGCTGGCTGGAATTATTGGCTTGAATGTAGACGCACGCAGCAGTTGCCTACCCAGCTGTCCAGCTCCCATTGGTTCCTGGTCATGGGACTGGGATCGCCTCACCCTGCGCAGAGGGATGGTCGAGATTGGTTTGGGAGAGCAGTCTGGAGAGGATGTCAGCCCAGCCATCCCAGGCGCAACAGCAATACCAGAAAGACCAGCAACAATAGCAGCACCAGAAACACCAGCAACACCAGCCACACCAGCCATACCATCCACATCAATAACAGGTTTAGCACCATCAGCGTCACCAGCAACACAGGCAGTAGGCGTCACGGCAATATCCACCCCATTCCCACTCCCCACATTGTCAGCCACACCGGCAGAGACATTTACTGGGGTATCCAAGCCATTCCTACTACCCACATTGGCAGCTGCAGCAGCTACACCATCCATTGGGCCAGCAACAACCATACCATCAGCAACATCAGCACCATTTGTACCACTCACACCACTCACACCACTCACACCACCTGTGTTTCCCACACAGGGCTGGGACTTAGGGGTTGAAAATCCGACCACCGGTGGCTCCAGCGGAAAACATACAGTGTGGCTACGGAGCATCAGAGGTACAGGTCCGGAGGGAGGTTCGGGATCAGGCTTGGGTTGAGGCTCGGTCCAAGGACTGTAAGGATGGAAATTTATGTTGTCTCTTTCCGAGTCTAGGGTGTGGCTTCCAAACATCTGCTGCTCCCTCCACTCTTCCACGGATAATGCTTCCAAACGTCTAGGGTGTAAAAGGTCGGTCGAAGCACACTGTGCAGCTGCCTTTCCTCTACTGCCAGTGCTGAGATTGAGAGAGTTGCGTCTTGGGAAGCTAGATGCATGCAGCTGCTGTTGCTCCCGATGGTGCTGCTCATGCTGCTGTCCCTGCTGTTGTTCCTGTCCCAGCTGCTGCTGCTGCTGCCACTGCTGCTGCGGGTTCTGGTGATGCTGCTGCTGCTGCTGCTGCTGCTGCTGCTGCTGCTGCTGCTGCTGCTGCTGCTGCTGCTGCTGCTGCTGCTGCTGCTGCTGCTGCTGCTGCTGCTGCTGCTGCTGCTGCTGCTGCTGCTGCTGCTGCTGCTGCTGCTGCTGCTGCTGCTGCTGCGGGTTCTGGTGATGATGCTGCTGCTGCTGCTGCTGCTGCTGCTGCTGCTGCTGCTGCTGCTGCTGCTGCTGCTGCTGCTGCTGCTGCTGCTGCTGCTGCTGCTGCTGCTGCTGCTGCTGCTGCTGGTGGCTCTCGTGATGTTGACGTACGTGCGGAATCACAACAATTGATGATCTGCGGGTCATGGTAAAAGCACACCGCGCGCTGGGATTATGCCACGCGCTGATGATCTGCGCGCTGGGATCATGCCCTTGAAACGGCCCAAAAGGAGGCATCATGGCATGCGCATACTGCATCGTTTCAGCATGCCAACTTGAAGGCAAGCTTGAAGCTGAACCTGTCATGCAGGGTACCTCCACCTCCTCCTTCGCTTCTTGCAGAAAACTATCCCCACCAGGCGCCATAAGTCCCTCGGACACTTCTACACTGAAACCCCATGAAGCGGCTCGTGGCTCGCTTGGGACTGGCAGCCCTGCTGATTGCGGCTTAGCCAATGCTTGCTGCCTTGCCAATGCTTCCTCCCCTGTCACTGCGTGCAGCCCCGCTGCCAGTGCTGAGGTTTCTACTGGAGTACGCATCTGCTCCACGCCTAGATGGCCGGATGGTCCTGCTGCTGCCACACCCACCGCCACACCTGCCCCTCGGACCGCTTGACCCTGCTCGCCCCATTCTCCCCGTTGACCTGGCTGGTGCCATTGGGAGGATGATGGATCAGATGGTGCAGTCTGGGCAGTCTGGGCAGTCTGGGCAGCTTGGAACGGCACCGCCTGGTGGCTTGCCTGCATTGCCATCATGTAGTTACCACGGCCGTTTTCACCCTCAGATGTTGTGCAGCCACCTTCCTGCCCCTCCATCCCTACTTGAGATGGCACCGCCTGTTGTCTTGGCTGAATTGCCATCATGTAGTTACCAGGATTGTTCTCACCCTCAGACACTGTCCAGCCTCCTTGCTGTCTCTCCATCCCTTCAGTTTTCAGGATTTGCTTACTGCTTCGGTGAGGAACATCCTTGTCGCTGGGCAGCTGGAAGTATCGATCAGGCGGCCCCATTTCCATCGTCAAACGCTCGTCTATTCCCGTCCATGTCTCCATCGCACCCTCTTTCTCCTCCATTGCTCCGCCTTCCTCCATTGCCCGTTCCCCATCTGAAGTCTCTCTGCTTCCACTGCTTTCTTCATCTGAAAGCATCTCCCGTTCTTCCACTCCCTCCTTGCCTTCCACTCCCTCCTTGCCTTCCACCCACTCCTTGCTTTTTGCAGCACCAACCCCACTCCCCCCAGCCCCATCGGTTTCGTCAATTGCCCCCAGCTGCTGTGCAAACTGCTCTGCAAGTAAAGAGCTCCACTCCCCCTCACCATCTGCCAAACCCTCAAATTCCATCTCCTCAAAATTCATCTCCTCAAACCCGGCCAGATCTGCTCCCAGTGGGTCCAATCCCAAAATCCCCAGTCCAGTTATCATCGCACTAGGCATCTCCGCCAGTAGGACTGAGTGGCAATTCAGGGTGGGACCAATAAACACTGGGTTGCATTCTGAGGTGTGAGTGGGGAGAGTGGCATGGATATGAACGCCACTGGTGAGTGCAGCTTCAGGGACTGAGATATCAACAAAGGTGGATGGGAGGGCAGAGACAGAGGCGGAATTGGCAGAGGTGGAAGGGGCGGAGGAGGAGGAAGGGGCAGCTAAGCTTGAGCTACTACCGCTTACAGTGGAGCTTCTTTCGGGAATGTATACTCCTCCTGCTTTGCTCCCACTATCACTGCCTGCTGACGTTTCTGCTACTAGTAATGCTTCTCCTCCTCCTCCGCCTCCGCCTCCTCCTCCTCCTCCTCCTCCTCCTCCTCCTCCTCCTCCTCCTCCTCCTCCTCCTTCTCCTCCTCCTCCTCCTCCTCCTCCTCCTCCTCCTCCTCCTTCTCCTCCTCCTCTCCCCCCCTCTCCTGTTCTTCCACTTACTCCTCCCCTCCCACGTCCTCTTCCTCTTCCCCTTCCTCTTCCTCTTCCTCTTCCTCTTCCTCTTTCTCCTCCTCCGCATTCCCCTCCTACCAGTGCAGATGAATCCCTCCCCATGGCCCCTGATCCTGCACCTGCATCGTCTATTGATTCTGTCACAGCCCTACTTGATCCCTCTCCAAACGGCCTCCGAGGTGCCGCAAAGCTCGCTGCTACTTCTCTATTTGATCCCTCTCCAAACGGCCTGTGAGGCACCGCAAAGGCCGCTGTTACTTCCCCACGTCTTCCCTCTCTCTGCATCGTCTGACCCACACCTACTCCCACCAATCCCCCTGCTGCAGATTCTTCACCATATCCTACCTCCTTCCCTTTCCCTCCACAGCTCCTAGCACTACTGCCCTCCGTAACCTGCGTTACTACCCCATGTGATTGCACTAACATGCCAGTCTCTCCATCATCCTGCCCTGCAACCCTTCCTGCTGTTTCCATCCTAGTTGCTGCACCCAATGAGGCTGCAGGATCCGAGCCCAGTGCTACTGCCCCTCCCCCTTTCTGAAGATACCGTCCTGGGAAGTTAAGCTTCGCCTTTGCTCCTCGGATTTTCAGAGCAGCTTCATCAAACGCCCTAGCAGCGTCCTCTGCAGAACGGAACGTACCCAACCACTGGCGGACCCCGCTATTGGTATCTTTGATCTCTGCAATGTAACGAAACTCCCCCCGCTTCCGAACTCCCCGGTACCGCCCTGGCTGGTTGTAGTTGCGGCTCTGCGGCAATCTGGTGCGCCTGGTTCCACGCGTTAATGGCTCTAATGGCCCCAATGGCCCTGATGGCCCTGCACCAGTGGCAGCCTCATCCTGTTCTAGTGCTTGCGGCAAATGCGGCTGTAGCAGCGGCTGTAGCTGAGAGGAGAGCTGCTGGATCCGGTGTGGTGGTAGCTGCTCTGGCTGAACCTGTAGCTCTGGCTGTGACTGTAGCTGTGGCTGTGGCTGTGGTTGTGGCTGTAGTGACGTCTGCTGCTGTGCCGTCTGCTGCTGTGACATCTGATGCTGTGACATCTGCTGCTGTGCCGTCTGCTGCTGTGACATCTGATGCTGTGACATCTGTTGCTGTGAGATCTGCTGCTGTGAGATCTGATGCTGTGACATCTGCTGCTGTGACATCTGCTGCTGTGACCAGTGCTGCTGTGACATCTGTTGCTGTGACATCTGCTGCTGTGACATCTGCTGCTGTGACATCTCCTGCTGTGACATCTGCTGCTGTGACATCTGCTGCTGTGACATCTGCTGCTGTGACATCTGATGCTGTGACATCTGCTCCGGTTGCATGCCAGCAGTGCAGTTGCTGCTTCTGTTGCATCTGCTAGGTGTCCCGGCGGGTTATCACCTATTTTCAGAAGCTCTCCCGGAAAACGGAGGTCTGATGCGGCTCCTACTAGTACTAGTACTACTAGTGAGTCAGAACTGAAGGTCTACCCCCATAAATTCCAAGAAGAGAGAGACTGGATTTATCACGCTGCTGGTCTAATTTCGTGGCCGAAACTGAAGGAGATGAACTGGTTAAATCCCCAGTATTTCGCCCGACTGTTGCCACCACGGGGAGCACTCGCAGTCACGGTGTGCCCTGTGGCTCGAGCTGGATACCGTAATGACTATGAGTCGCCTACTAGTAGTAGTAATACTAACAGAACTCGGACCTTGGTGCAACTGGCTGCTGAACAAACTAGAAAGATTGAATGGATTGCCACTACACAATTTCAACTTCTGTTGCTCAACCCCAAATGGGCTGGTTTTGTGCTTCTGGTTTACACTGGTGGGGGAGGGGTGGTGGAACAATTTGTGCGGACAGTGGACAAGCGCAAGTGGTCAGCCAATCCCGTCAGTTGAATCCTGTTCTTATCTTCCTCGTCACGGGCACGCATCAGGGTTTCAGATGTGCACCGTCTAGACTTTCCCACCAGTTCGAAACTGTACAGTTCTTTGCCTTCCCGTCCCAGGCACGGTTCAGAGTTTCGATATGTACTGAAATTGATTTTTTAAGAATTTTTGTGATGCCATCCGTGCATAATACACTACGGATCTGCAGAGTTTGCTCTGCGCATTTCCTTGTGCGCGTACCTCCAACCACCCACACGTTTTCTTTCTCCCGATCTGCAAGTTGTGTGATATATTTTCTCCCGATCTGCAAGTTGTGTGATACATTGAATGCTCATCTTGCTTTGTCCCCGTGCGCGGCTGACTTGTCTTGGCAGCTAGCGTTGGAAAAACAGGATGACTTGTACTGCGATACTTCTTCACGCCCCTGGGTAACCGTCCTCATCAAATTTGATTTCGAAGGTGGTTAGCATCATGATTCGAGTTCTTGGGATTATAAAGACGCATTCTCTTCGCGTGATTTCCGGAAGTACAAACATATCAGAAGTGATTTCCCACTCAATCCTACTGTAAGTGTGAGTATCGCGAGTCTGGCTTTCTGATTACCGTATTTATTGTTAGACCTGTAATGTCAGGGTGCCCGTACAGTCGAATCGAAAACCATATAGGGTGTCTGGGCAAAGGAAGCGTACGGGGTGTGGAGGAATGCTCGATCCCCCCAAGTCTCCATTCTCCAGTCCAGGATTTCAAACAAGCAATGTTCACGTGTTCTGAGCAAAATTAAACTGTGCAACCCGCGAAACACGCAAAGGCCAAACCAAGCAAGGCCCAACGCGCGAAATACGCAAAGGCCAAACCAAGGGCCAACGCGCGAAACACGCAAAGCTAAGCCAATCAGAAATATCCTCGCCTCCACACATTAGAATCAGGCTTATGAACATCACATCGCAAATTCGGAAACGCGAGTGTACTCCGTTTACGTTCATTACGGACAAAAATATATGAAGTACCCGTTACATTGCAGTCGAATGCCAACCACAATCCGAAACCAGAGTCATTCAACAGAGAGAATATTTCGGCAACACCAAGGCACCCACATCGAGGCCCCCAGATTCCCAGGCATTTCTAGCCCACTACGTCAGCCTGTTATGGAAGCGTGACCCGTGACGATTCTCTCTTCGCCGAGCACTTCGCACCTAGAAGCCGTTATCATGATCCCATGTTCTGCTCGTTGCGCTTCGCCGCGGTTCTTGCAACGCGCCGGCAAGAGCATCGCGGCGTTCTTTGTTGATTCCAGCCTCACTACCACTAGCCACCAATCTCCTCCCGTAGCGCGTCGCGCGCACATTCAATCTCCGCCGTTGTCGGGTCCTCTTTTTCTGGAGAAATCGGCGAGCTCCTTCAATTTCGACTGTTCTCTTGGAATCGACCAGTGGGAATCGCTATTGTGCAGTTACGACCTTGACGCTAGGACTCCTCGGAGGAGTCGCCGAAACGGCCCGTGTGCTGCTGGGAAAAGCGACGATAGTAGCGACGCCGTTGCGAGTTGGCGAAGGCGTTACGGTCACGATGCGAAACGGAGTTACAGTAGTAGTAGCGACGTCGCGAACAGGAGTCGCGACCCGGAATCGGCAACAGACTTACAAAGACGGACGTCGGCAGGGGTAGCAGATTCTCCGGAAACCGACGCGTCTCCTGCTGCTAACGGGCGACGCGGAAACACTTTTGAGTCGACTCAAAAGTCAGAAATCGACGCATCTCCTGCGACTACCAGGCGATGCGGAAACATCAACCCTGGCGACAACCCCGTGAACTGGAGCCTCTGCGACGTTCTGCTGTGCGATGGACGTCGTACGGGCGAGTGGACGACGAATTCCTGCGTCGCTTGCGATCCATCGTGGGCGACTCAAACGTGTCGACGAACCGAACGGTGGGATTGGGAGCATACAGAGGATGCTGAGTGACGGGAGTAAACGTGGAATGCTTAAGTGATGGGAGTGAACGTGGAATGCTTGAATAATGGGAATAAACGTGGGATGCCTAAAAAATGGGAATATACGTGGGGTGCTTGAATAGCGGGAATTCACGTGGGATGCTTGGTTATTGGGAATTTACGTGGGATGCCAGAATCATGGGAAAATACGTCGGTAATCGGAATACACGCACCTGGTATGCTTAAATTGTGGAATTTACGTGGGGAATGTATGGTGGGTTGCGTGAATGGTGGCATGATGGTATGGTGGCTTAGCATGGTGAGATGATTGATTGCATGGCATTATGGCATCATCATCACATGTGCTCCCGCGTGTATACCCGTCATTCCCTATGTATGTTGCCATGTCAGCAGGTGTTGGAGCAGCACGGCAGGGACGAGTCATACCACGAGGCTGTGCCACCAGACGCGGTCGCATTCGCCCGCTCCACCCACCAAGTGCAACAGCTGCTAACCGCGTGCGCTCCTGCATGCCCGTTATTCCCTATGTTACCATGTCAACAACAGGTGTTGGAGCAGCATGGCAGGGACGAGTCATACCACGAGGCTGTCCCACCAGACGCGGTCGCATTCGCCCGCTCCACCCACCAAGTGCAACAGCTGGTAACCGCGTGCGCTCCTGCATGCCCGTTATTCCCTATGTTACCATGTCAACAACAGGTGTTGGAGCAGCATGGCAGGGACGAGTCATACCACGAGGCTGTCCCACCAGACGCGGTCGCATTCGCCCGCTCCACCCACCAAGTGCAACAGCTGGTAACCGCGTGCGCTGCCGCCCGCGTGCCCGTCATTCCCTATGGCGCCGGCACGTCTTTGGAAGGCCACGTGGCGGCGCTCTGTGGAGGCGTCTCCATTGACCTGTCGCAGATGAATGAGGTACGGTGCGGTTACCAGGTAACGGTGGCGCATGGTTGAGCAGGTGATGATGTAGTTGTGCGGATTGGAGAGTGGGGAGTGGAGAATGGAGAGTGGAGAGTGGAGAATGGAGAGTGGAGAATGGAGAGTGGGGAGTGGAGAATGGAGAGTGGAGAATGGAGAGTGGAGAATGGAGAGTGGAGAGAGCAGAGTGCAGGGTGTTACTCCAGTCATTTTTTCAATCACCTCGGAATTTTTGTGGCTTGGAAATGGTTTGTCTTATTCCTTTTTGTCTTCAGGTGGTGGAGGTGCATGCAGAGGACATGGACTGCAGAATCCAGGCACGGGTGATAAGCTTGTCAATCCTGCACCCCCTTGTGCTTTTGTTCTTTTTGTCTTCAGGTGGTGGAGGTACATGCAGAGGACATGGACTGCAGGGTGCAGGCAGGGGTGACACGTCAGCAGCTCAACCACCATCTGCACGACTCGGGCCTCTTTTTCCCCGTTGACCCAGGCTCGGAATGCACCATAGGTGAGTGGTAGGCTCGTAGTGCACCGTAGGTGAGTGGCAGGCTCGGAGTGCACCGTAGGTGAGTGGCAGGCTCGGAATGCACCATTGGTGAGTGGCAGGCTCGGAATGCACCATCGGTGAGTGGTAGGCTCGGAATGCACCATAGGTGAGTGGCAGGCTCGGAATGCACCATAGGTGGGTGGCAGGCTCGGAATGCACCATAGGTGCGTGGCAGGCTCGGAATGCACCATAGGTGAGTGGTAGGCTCGGAATGCACCATAGGTGAGTGGCAGGCTCAGAACGCACCATAGGTGGGTGGCAGGCTCGGAATGCACCATAGGTGCGTGGCAGGCTCGGAATGCACCATAGGTGCGTGGCAGGCTCGGAATGCACCATAGGTGAGTGGCAGGCTCGGAATGCACCATAGGTGAGTGGTAGGCTCGGAATGCGCCATAGGTGCGTGGCAGGCTCGGAATGCACCATAGGTACAAACAGTTATCAATATAACTCCAGAATTCAAACCAACCTTGTACTGTACATGGCAGCATGCCACGCAGCCACAGCACGTCTTCTCCTCCCCCCGTGTGTCTCTCTCTCCCCCCCCATGCGTGCCTTACCATGTGTGTGAGTGCGCACAACTACAGGGGGGATGACAGCAACAAGAGCTTCAGGCACCAATGCTGTTCGGTATGCTCTGCCATCATTCCATGCCATCCCATGCCATGCCTTCTCTCCCCATGCCATGTTATGTTTCGCATTCCATACCTCTTATTCCATTCCCACCTTCCTGCTCCCTTTCCCCCTTTCCCCTTCCCCCCCCCTTCCTGCTCTTTTTCCCACTCCCCACCTATTTTCCCCCTTTAAATATCGTCTACTCACCACCACACCTCACCATGCCCCACCACGCCCCACCATGCCCCACCACGCCCCACCATGCCCCACCACGCCCCACCATGTCCCACCACGCCCTACCATACCCCACCGCACACCAGGTACGGCACGATGCGAGAGGCAGTGCTGGGGGTCACTGCAGTGCTGCCCAACGGGCAGATCATAAAAACGGGCAGCCGAGCACGAAAGTCCTCCTCAGGGTGAGCTGCCCGCTGTGTCTCCCATTCCACTGCGTGCCTGTAATTACTCCACGCAATCTGAGGGTGTTTTTGAGACGTCTCAAAAACTCCCATTCCACTGCATGCCTGTAATTACTCCACGCACCCAACACAACAACTACCCCCATCCGTGGCTTTTGAGGCATCTCACATTTCCACTGCCTGCCTATGACTACCAAAATGAGAAATGCCTGTATCAATGTACCAATGTAAGCATTCGTCCAAAGCAGCCACTATCCCCCCGTCCACCCCCCTCTCCCCACTCTCCCCTCTTATCCCACTCACCCCTCCCCTGCCATTCACCTCTCCTCCCCCTGCTCTGCTCCCTCATGCTTCACTCCCCCTTTTCCCCCTCTTCCCTCCTCGCCCACCACCATATGTACCCCTCATCGCCCTTCTCCACCTCATCACCCTCCCCTCCCTCCCTTCCACACACTCGCTCTTGCTGCATTGCCCGCCTGTATTGATGGTTTCAGCTACGACTTAACTCGCCTGATTGTGGGGAGCGAGGGCACACTGGCTGTTGTCACCGAGGTATGGGGCAGCAGCGTGTGAGGTGACGCTTTAGCAGGTTCAAGTGGTGGTGGTGGTGGTGGTGGTGGTGGTGGTGGTGGTGGTGGTGGTGGTGGTGGTGGTGGTGGTGGTGGTGGTGGTGGTGGTGGTGGTGGTGGTGGTGGTGGTGGTGGTGGTGGTGGTGGTGGTGGTGGTGGTGGTGGTGGTGGTGGTGGTGGTGGTGGTGGTGGTGGTGGTGGTGGTGGTGGTGGTGGTGGTGGTGGTGGTGGTGGTGGTGGTGGTGGTGGTGGTGGTGGTGGTGGTGGTGGTGGTGGTGGTGGTGGTGGTGGTGGTGGTGGTGGTGGTGGTGGGTGCGGCGGCGGCGGCGGCGGCGGCGGCGGTGGTGGTGGCGTTTGCTGATGCAAAGTGCCTGCAGGTTTCCCTTCCTCCTGCAACCATCCCATCCACTCTGCTTGCTTGCTTGTGGCACTTCGCCTGTACCCCAACCTGCATGCATCATGCATCATGCTCCGTGCCCCATGCCCCATGCCACATGCACCATGCATGCAGGTGGCTCTTCGCCTGTATCCCCAACCCGAGGCTGTCTCAGCTGCTGTCTGCCCCTTCACCTCCATTGCTGGTGCTGTGAGTACATTCACCACGCTCTCTCCTCCTCCAAATCCCCCCTCCGCCTTCCCCTCCGCGTTTCCCCCCCCACCTTTCCGCCTCCGCCTTTCTCCTTCCACCTTTTCCCCTCTGCCTTTTCCCCCTCCACCTTTTTTGTCGCTCAAACAACACACCCACACCCGCACCCTCAGGTGGACACAATGATCGAGACGATTCAAGCCGCCATGCTTGTCACGCTTTTGTGAATCCTCGAAAAGCGTATCCAACATAGCTGATCCACAAATTTCTCCCGCATTGCACCTGCTGCACCCGCACCCTCCTTACCCTCACCCTCACCCTCACCCTTACCCTCACCTACACCCTCACCCTCACCCTCACCCTCACCCTCACCCTCACCCTCACCCTCACCCTCACCCTCACCCTCACCCTCACCCTCACCCTCACCCTCACCCCTCAGGTGGATGCGGTGATAGAGACCATTCAAAGCGCCATCCCCGTCGCACGCATAGATCTCCTGGACGAGGTTCAGGTGGGGCTCAAAGATTTCACTTTTTGTGATTCCCAACCAGCATTTTTTCTTGTCACGTACTGCTCTCTTCTCTGCATGGAACTTGTTGATACGGTTCAGGTGATGATGCTGGTGCGCTCTATCATCTCATGTTTTGAACCTGTTTTTGAGTCGACTCAACTTTAGGCTTTCTTCTCTGCATGGAACTCGTTGATACGGTTCAGGCGATGATGCGCTCTATCGTCTCATGTCGTGAATCGCTACTCCAAGACGCACCTGCACCCAAGCCCCACGCTCTTCTTTGAGTTCCACGGCACTGCGGCTGCCGTGGAGGAGCAAGCCAAGAAGGTTTCGGAGATTGCATCTGGCAATGGGGGGGCCTCGTTTGAGTGGTCGACGGCTCCTGAGGAGCGATCCAAGCTCTGGGCTGCCCGCCACTCCGCCTACTATGCTGCCTTGGCGCTCAGACCCAACAGCAAAGGGTGGGTGAGCCAACAGCACAGCAGGCAGGTCCTCAGTCACACCTCATGCTTTCTAGCGGATGGGCATGCTCCTATCTCACACCTCACAGACCTGGTGCTGCTGGCGAAGCATCTGATAAAGCAGGCACAGCTGGTATTGCAGCCTTCAGTTGTCACACGCCCTTCCTAACCTCCCTCTCCCCTTCTCACTGTCTTTTATCCATCCCTCCCAACCCCCCCAATCCACCTTCCTAGCATATGTGTGCATGCTCCTATCTCATGCTTCACAGAGCTGGTGCTCCTAGCGAAGCAGCAGATCCGCACTGGACTCGTCTTTGATAAGGACACTCCCTTCCCAATCTCCCTCTCCCCCGTGTCCCGTCGTTTCCCTACCCCAGCCTCCTCGTGTGCCTATATCGCGCCTCACAGAGCTGGTGCTGCTGGCGAAACAGTAGATAGAGCATGCACACCTGGTAACCCGTCTCTGACATTCACACTCTCCTCCCAATGTACCACCCCCCTCCTCCTGTCGTTTGCCAATCCCAGCCCTTCGTTAGCAGCCTGCTAGCGGACGTGTGTGTGCCTATATCGCGGCTCACAGAGCTGGTGCTCTTAGCGAAGCAGCAGATAGGGCAGGCCCAGCTGGTAACTCGTCTTCCACGATCACACGCCCTTCCCAACCTCGCTCTCTCTTTCTTCTTCTTTTCTATCCATCCTTCCCACCCCCCCTACCCCAGCCTCCTAGCGGATGTGTGTGTGCCTATATCACGTCTCACAGAGCTGGTGGTGCTGGCGAAGCAGCAGATAGAGCAGGCTCAGCTGGTGGCGCCAATAGTGGGCCATGTGGGGGACGGCAACTTCCACGTGCTCTTCATTGTACGTTGAGCTGAAGGCATGTGGGCCATGTGGGCATGTAGAACATGTGGGGCATGTGGGCCATGTGGGCATGTAGAACATGTGGGGCATGTGGGCCATGTGGACCACGTGGGCCATGTGGGGCAAGTGGGGCATGTGGGCATGTAAAACATGTGGGGCATGTGGGCCATGTGGCCATGTGGGGCATGTGGGGCATTTGGGGCATGTAAAACATGTGGGGCATGTAAAACATGTGGGGCATGTAAAACATGTGGGTGATGTGAGGCATGTAAAACATGTGGGTGATGTGAGGCATGTAAAACATGTGGGTGATGTGAGGCATCCCCCGCATGCCCCACCAGCTAGTGGCGCCCATGGTGGGGCATGCGGGGGATGGCAACTTGCACGTGCTCTTCATTGTGAGCCAGAAGTGGGGCACGTGGGGGATGGCAACTTGCACGTGCTCTTCATTGTGAGCCAGAAGTGGGGCACGTGGGGGATGGCAACTTGCACGTGCTCTTCATTGTGAGTCGATCTGTCAAGCACGTGGGTGCTGACAGCAGGTGCTGACAGCAGGTGCTAACAGTGGGCTGTGTGGGGCACGTGATTGCTGATAGTGGGGTAAGGGGCGTGTGTGTGGCACGTTGGGGATGGCAGATTCCACGCTCTTGCATTGGTCAAGCAAATCAACAACAGTCTTGCTGCCTGGACCTGCTGCTTGTTACCATATCAAATCTTTCCATCCTTCCTTCCTTTCCTGCCACACGTCTGTCCGCTCGTTGCAACAGGTGGATGCGGACAATAACGATGAGCTGGCAGCGGTCAAGCGAGTCAACAGCGGTCTTGCTGCCTCTCACCAGACCTGATTAAACTCCACCGTCAAACTACCGAGAATTCTCAGAAGTGATTCCTGCCATGTCTTCTCCATCCATCTAAACTTCCTTGCAACAGGTGGATCCGGACAATAAGGATGAGCTGGCAGCGGTCAAGCGAGTCAACGACAGTCTTGTGGCGCGTGCCATTGCTGTGGGCGGCACATGCAGCGGCGAGCACGGCGTGGGGTGAGTGGCATGGCACATGGCATGGCATGGGATGCAGTGAGTGGCATGGATTGGGTGAGTGGCATGGAGTGTGGCAAGTGGCATGGCGTGGGTTGGATTGAGGTAATCTACACTCTGTTGGGGAGGCAGCCTGGCTCGGTTGTGTTGTTCGCTATCCCCTTTCCCATCTCCCCTTTTCCGACTCCTCCTCATCTCCCCCTTCCTTCTTCCCTCCATTCAACTCCTTTGCACATCCCCCGAGCAGCTATGGCAATTTGTCATTCTTGGAGTCGGAGCATGGGAGCGCAGCACTGGATGCCATGGCAGCTTTCAAGGCAGCCCTCTGTCTGCCCCTTCCTCCTTCCATTATCTTCATCTCCTTCCATCATCTCCCTCCCCTTCCATCATCTCCCTCCCCTTCCATCATCTCCCTCCCCTTCCATCATCTCCCTCCCCTTCCATCATCTCCCTCCCCTTCCATCATCTCCCTCCCCTTCCATCATCTCCCTCCCCTTCCATCATCTCCCTCCCCTTCCATCATCTCCCTCCCCTTCCATCATCTCCCTCCCCTTCCATCATCTCTCTCCCCTTCCATCATCTCTCTCCCCTTCCATCATCTCTCTCCCCTTCCATCATCTCTCTCCCCTTCCATCATCTCTCTCCCCTTCCATCATCTCCCTCCCCTTCCATCATCTCCCTCCCCTTCCATCATCTCCCTCCCCTTCCATCATCTCCCTCCCCTTCCATCATCTCCCTCCCCTTCCATCATCTCCCTCCCCTTCCATCATCTCCCTCCCCTTCCATCATCTCCCTCCCCTTCCATCATCTCCCTCCCCTTCCATCATCTCCCTCCCCTTCCATCATCTCCCTCCCCTTCCATCATCTCCCTCCCCTTCCATCATCTCCCTCCCCTTCCATCATCTCCCTCCCCTTCCATCATCTCCCTCCCCTTCCATCATCTCCCTCCCCTTCCATCATCTCCCTCCCCTTCCATCATCTCTCTCCCCTTCCATCATCTCTCTCCCCTTCCATCATCTCTCTCCCCTTCCATCATCTCTCTCCCCTTCCATCATCTCTCTCCCCTTCCATCATCTCTCTCCCCTTCCATCATCTCTCCCCTTCCATCATCTCCCTCCCCTTCCATCATCTCCCTCCCCTTCCATCATCTCCCTCCCCTTCCATCATCTCCCTCCCCTTCCATCATCTCCCTCCCCTTCCATCATCTCCCTCCCCTTCCATCATCTCCCTCCCCTTCCATCATCTCCCTCCCCTTCCATCATCTCCCTCCCCTTCCATCATCTCCCTCCCCTTCCATCATCTCCCTCCCCTTCCATCATCTCCCTCCCCTTCCATCATCTCCCTCCCCTTCCATCATCTCCCTCCCCTTCCATCATCTCCCTCCCCTTCCATCATCTCCCTCCCCTTCCATCATCTCCCTCCCCTTCCATCATCTCCCTCCCCTTCCATCATCTCCCTCCCCTTCCATCATCTCCCTCCCCTTCCATCATCTCCCTCCCCTTCCATCATCTCTCTCCCCTTCCATCATCTCTCTCCCCTTCCATCATCTCTCTCCCCTTCCATCATCTCTCTCCCCTTCCATCATCTCCTCCCCTTCCATCATCTCCCTCCCCTTCCATCATCTCCCTCCCCTTCCATCATCTCCCTCCCCTTCCATCATCTCCCTCCCCTTCCATCATCTCCCTCCCCTTCCATCATCTCCCTCCCCTTCCATCATCTCCCTCCCCTTCCATCATCTCCCTCCCCTTCCATCATCTCCCTCCCCTTCCATCATCTCCCTCCCCTTCCATCATCTCCCTCCCCTTCCATCATCTCCTCCCCTTCCATCATCTCCTCCCCTTCCATCATCTCCCTCCCCTTCCATCATCTCCCTCCCCTTCCATCATCTCCTCCCCTTCCATCATCTCTCTCCCCTTCCATCATCTCCTCTCCTCTCCCCCTTCCATCATCTCTCTCCCCTTCCATCATCTCTCTCCCCTTCCATCATCTCTCTCCCCTTCCATCATCTCCCTCCCCTTCCATCATCTCCCTCCCCTTCCATCATCTCCCTCCCCTTCCATCATCTCCCTCCCCTTCCATCATCTCCCTCCCCTTCCATCATCTCCCTCCCCTTCCATCATCTCCCTCCCCTTCCATCATCTCCCTCCCCTTCCATCTCCATCTCCCCTCCCCTTCCATCATCTCCCTCCCCTTCCATCATCTCCCTCCCCTTCCATCATCTCCCTCCCCTTCCATCATCTCCTCTCCCCTTCCATCATCTCTCTCCTCTCTCCCCTTCCATCATCTCTCTCCCCTTCCATCATCTCTCTCCCCTTCCATCATCTCTCTCCCCTTCCATCATCTCCCTCCCCTTCCATCATCTCCCTCCCCTTCCATCATCTCCTCTCCCCTTCCATCATCTCCCTCCCCTTCCATCATCTCCCCTCCCCTTCCATCATCTCCCTCCCCTTCCATCATCTCCCTCCCCTTCCATCATCTCCCTCCCCTTCCATCATCTCCCTCCCCTTCCATCATCTCCCTCCCCTTCCATCATCTCTCCCTTCCCCTTCCATCATCTCCCTCCCCTTCCATCATCTCCCTCCCCTTCCCATCATCTCTCCTCCCCTTCCATCATCTCCCTCCCCTTCCATCATCTCCCTCCCCTTCCATCATCTCCCTCCCCTTCCATCATCTCCCTCCCCTTCCATCATCTCCCTCCCCTTCCATCATCTCCCTCCCCTTCCATCATCATCTCTCTCCCCTTCCATCATCTCTCTCCCCTTCCATCATCTCTCTCCCCTTCCATCATCTCTCTCCCCTTCCATCATCTCTCTCCCCTTCCATCATCTCTCTCCCCTTCCATCATCTCCCTCCCCTTCCATCATCTCCCTCCCCTTCCATCATCTCCCTCCCCTTCCATCATCTCCCTCCCCTTCCATCATCTCCCTCCCCTTCCATCATCTCCCTCCCCTTCCATCATCTCCCTCCCCTTCCATCATCTCCCTCCCCTTCCATCATCTCCCTCCCCTTCCATCATCTCCCTCCCCTTCCATCATCTCCCTCCCCTTCCATCATCTCCCTCCCCTTCCATCATCTCCCTCCCCTTCCATCATCTCCCTCCCCTTCCATCATCTCCCTCCCCTTCCATCATCTCCCTCCCCTTCCATCATCTCCCTCCCCTTCCATCATCTCCCTCCCCTTCCATCATCTCCCTCCCCTTCCATCATCTCCCTCCCCTTCCATCATCTCCCTCCCCTTCCATCATCTCCCTCCCCTTCCATCATCTCCCTCCCCTTCCATCATCTCCCTCCCCTTCCATCATCTCCCTCCCTTCCATCATCTCCCTCCCCTTCCATCATCTCCCTCCCCTTCCATCATCTCCCTCCCCTTCCATCATCTCCCTCCCCTTCCATCATCTCCCTCCCCTTCCATCATCTCCCTCCCCTTCCATCATCTCCCTCCCCTTCCATCATCTCCCTCCCTTCCATCATCTCCCTCCCCTTCCATCATCTCCCTCCCCTTCCATCATCTCCCTCCCCTTCCATCATCTCCCTCCCCCTTCCATCATCTCCCTCCCTTCCATCATCTCCTCCCCTTCCATCATCTCTCCTCCCCTTCCATCATCTCTCTCCCCTTCCATCATCTCCCTCCCCTTCCATCATCTCCCTCCCCTTCCATCATCTCCTCTCCCCTTCCATCATCTCCCTCCCCTTCCATCATCTCCCTCCCCTTCCATCATCTCTCTCCCCTTCCATCATCTCCCTCCCCTTCCATCATCTCCCTCCCCTTCCATCATCTCCTCCCCTTCCATCATCTCCCTCCCCTTCCATCATCTCCCTCCCTTCCATCATCTCCCTCCCCTTCCATCATCTCCCTCCCCTTCCATCATCTCCCTCCCCTTCCATCATCTCCCTCCCCTTCCATCATCTCCCTCCCCTTCCATCATCTCCCTCCCCTTCCATCATCTCCCTCCCCTTCCATCATCTCCCTCCCCTTCCATCATCTCTCTCCTCTCTCCCCTTCCATCATCTCTCTCCCCTTCCATCATCTCTCTCCCCTTCCATCATCTCCCTCCCCTTCCATCATCTCCCTCCCCTTCCATCATCTCCCTCCCCTTCCATCATCTCCCTCCCCTTCCATCATCTCCCTCCCCTTCCATCATCTCCCTCCCCTTCCATCATCTCCCTCCCCTTCCATCATCTCCCTCCCCTTCCATCATCTCCCTCCCCTTCCATCATCTCCCTCCCCTTCCATCATCTCCCTCCCCTTCCATCATCTCCCTCCCCTTCCATCATCTCCCTCCCCTTCCATCATCTCCCTCCCCTTCCATCATCTCCCTCCCCTTCCATCATCTCCCTCCCCTTCCATCATCTCCCTCCCCTTCCATCATCTCCCTCCCCTTCCATCATCTCCCTCCCCTTCCATCATCTCTCTCCCCTTCCATCATCTCTCTCCCCTTCCATCATCTCTCTCCCCTTCCATCATCTCTCTCCCCTTCCATCATCTCTCTCCCCTTCCATCATCTCCCTCCCCTTCCATCATCTCCCTCCCCTTCCATCATCTCCCTCCCCTTCCATCATCTCCCTCCCCTTCCATCATCTCCCTCCCCTTCCATCATCTCCCTCCCCTTCCATCATCTCCCTCCCCTTCCATCATCTCCCTCCCCTTCCATCATCTCCCTCCCCTTCCATCATCTCCCTCCCCTTCCATCATCTCCCTCCCCTTCCATCATCTCCCTCCCCTTCCATCATCTCCCTCCCCTTCCATCATCTCCCTCCCCTTCCATCATCTCCCTCCCCTTCCATCATCTCCCTCCCCTTCCATCATCTCCCTCCCCTTCCATCATCTCCCTCCCCTTCCATCATCTCCCTCCCCTTCCATCATCTCCCTCCCCTTCCATCATCTCCCTCCCCTTCCATCATCTCTCTCCCCTTCCATCATCTCTCTCCCCTTCCATCATCTCTCTCCCCTTCCATCATCTCTCTCCCCTTCCATCATCTCCTCCCCTTCCATCATCTCCCTCCCCTTCCATCATCTCCCTCCCCTTCCATCATCTCCCTCCCCTTCCATCATCTCCCTCCCCTTCCATCATCTCCCTCCCCTTCCATCATCTCCCTCCCCTTCCATCATCTCCCTCCCCTTCCATCATCTCCCTCCCCTTCCATCATCTCCCTCCCCTTCCATCATCTCCCTCCCCTTCCATCATCTCCCTCCCCTTCCATCATCTCCCTCCCCTTCCATCATCTCCCTCCCCTTCCATCATCTCCCTCCCCTTCCATCATCTCCCTCCCCTTCCATCATCTCCCTCCCCTTCCATCATCTCCCTCCCCTTCCATCATCTCCCTCCCCTTCCATCATCTCCCTCCCCTTCCATCATCTCCCTCCCCTTCCATCATCTCCCTCCCCTTCCATCATCTCCCTCCCCTTCCATCATCTCCCTCCCCTTCCATCATCTCCCTCCCCTTCCATCATCTCTCTCCCCTTCCATCATCTCTCTCCCCTTCCATCATCTCTCTCCCCTTCCATCATCTCTCTCCCCTTCCATCATCTCTCTCCCCTTCCATCATCTCCCTCCCCTTCCATCATCTCCCTCCCCTTCCATCATCTCCCTCCCCTTCCATCATCTCCCTCCCCTTCCATCATCTCCCTCCCCTTCCATCATCTCCCTCCCCTTCCATCATCTCCCTCCCCTTCCATCATCTCCCTCCCCTTCCATCATCTCCCTCCCCTTCCATCATCTCCCTCCCCTTCCATCATCTCCCTCCCCTTCCATCATCTCCCTCCCCTTCCATCATCTCCCTCCCCTTCCATCATCTCTCTCCCCTTCCATCATCTCTCTCCCCTTCCATCATCTCTCTCCCCTTCCATCATCTCTCTCCCCTTCCATCATCTCTCTCCCCTTCCATCATCTCTCTCCCCTTCCATCATCTCTCTCCCCTTCCATCATCTCTCTCCCCTTCCATCATCTCCCTCCCCTTCCATCATCTCCCTCCCCTTCCATCATCTCCCTCCCCTTCCATCATCTCCCTCCCCTTCCATCATCTCCCTCCCCTTCCATCATCTCCCTCCCCTTCCATCATCTCCCTCCCCTTCCATCATCTCCCTCCCCTTCCATCATCTCCCTCCCCTTCCATCATCTCCCTCCCCTTCCATCATCTCCCTCCCCTTCCATCATCTCCCTCCCCTTCCATCATCTCCCTCCCCTTCCATCATCTCCCTCCCCTTCCATCATCTCCCTCCCCTTCCATCATCTCCCTCCCCTTCCATCATCTCCCTCCCCTTCCATCATCTCCCTCCCCTTCCATCATCTCCCTCCCCTTCCATCATCTCCCTCCCCTTCCATCATCTCCCTCCCCTTCCATCATCTCCCTCCCCTTCCATCATCTCCCTCCCCTTCCATCATCTCCCTCCCCTTCCATCATCTCTCTCCCCTTCCATCATCTCTCTCCCCTTCCATCATCTCTCTCCCCTTCCATCATCTCTCTCCCCTTCCATCATCTCCCTCCCCTTCCATCATCTCCCTCCCCTTCCATCATCCTCCTCCCCTTCCATCATCTCCCTCCCCTTCCATCATCTCCCTCCCCTTCCATCATCTCCCTCCCCTTCCATCATCTCCCTCCCCTTCCATCATCTCCCTCCCCTTCCATCATCTCCCTCCCCTTCCATCATCTCCCTCCCCTTCCATCATCTCCCTCCCCTTCCATCATCTCCCTCCCCTTCCATCATCTCCCTCCCCTTCCATCATCTCCCTCCCCTTCCATCATCTCCCTCCCCTTCCATCATCTCCCTCCCCTTCCATCATCTCCCTCCCCTTCCATCATCTCCCTCCCCTTCCATCATCTCCCTCCCCTTCCATCATCTCCCTCCCCTTCCATCATCTCTCTCCCCTTCCATCATCTCTCTCCCCTTCCATCATCTCCCTCCCCTTCCATCATCTCTCTCCCCTTCCATCATCTCTCTCCCCTTCCATCATCTCCCTCCCCTTCCATCATCTCCCTCCCCTTCCATCATCTCCCTCCCCTTCCATCATCTCCCTCCCCTTCCATCATCTCCCTCCCCTTCCATCATCTCCCTCCCCTTCCATCATCTCCCTCCCCTTCCATCATCTCCCTCCCCTTCCATCATCTCCCTCCCCTTCCATCATCTCCCTCCCCTTCCATCATCTCCCTCCCCTTCCATCATCTCCCTCCCCTTCCATCATCTCCCTCCCCTTCCATCATCTCCCTCCCCTTCCATCATCTCCCTCCCCTTCCATCATCTCCCTCCCTTCCATCATCTCCTCCCTTCCATCATCTCTCCCTCCATCCTCTCCCCATCATCTCTCTCCCCTTCCATCATCTCTCTCCCCTTCCATCATCTCTCTCCCCTTCCATCATCTCTCTCCCCTTCCATCATCTCTCTCCCCTTCCATCATCTCCCTCCCCTTCCATCATCTCCCTCCCCTTCCATCATCTCCCTCCCCTTCCATCATCTCCCTCCCCTTCCATCATCTCCCTCCCCTTCCATCATCTCCCTCCCTTCCATCATCTCCCTCCCCTTCCATCATCTCCCTCCCCTTCCATCATCTCCCTCCCCTTCCATCATCTCCCTCCCCTTCCATCATCTCCCTCCCCTTCCATCATCTCCCTCCCCTTCCATCATCTCCCTCCCCTTCCATCATCTCCCTCCCCTTCCATCATCTCCCTCCCCTTCCATCATCTCCCTCCCCTTCCATCATCTCCCTCCCCTTCCATCATCTCCCTCCCCTTCCATCATCTCCTCCCCTTCCATCATCTCCCTCCCCTTCCATCATCTCCCTCCCCTTCCATCATCTCCCTCCCCTTCCATCATCTCCCTCCCCTTCCATCATCTCTCTCCCCTTCCATCATCTCTCTCCCCTTCCATCATCTCTCTCCCCTTCCATCATCTCCCTCCCCTTCCATCATCTCCCTCCCCTTCCATCATCTCCCTCCCCTTCCATCATCTCCCTCCCCTTCCATCATCTCCCTCCCCTTCCATCATCTCCCTCCCCTTCCATCATCTCCCTCCCCTTCCATCATCTCCCTCCCCTTCCATCATCTCCCTCCCCTTCCATCATCTCCCTCCCCTTCCATCATCTCCCTCCCCTTCCATCATCTCCCTCCCCTTCCATCATCTCCCTCCCCTTCCATCATCTCCCTCCCCTTCCATCATCTCCCTCCCCTTCCATCATCTCCCTCCCCTTCCATCATCTCCCTCCCCTTCCATCATCTCCCTCCCCTTCCATCATCTCCCTCCCCTTCCATCATCTCCCTCCCCTTCCATCATCTCCCTCCCCTTCCATCATCTCCCTCCCCTTCCATCATCTCCCTCCCCTTCCATCATCTCCCTCCCCTTCCATCATCTCTCCTCCCCTTCCATCATCTCTCTCCCCTTCCATCATCTCTCTCCCCTTCCATCATCTCTCTCCCCTTCCATCATCTCTCTCCCCTTCCATCATCTCCCTCCCCTTCCATCATCTCCCTCCCCTTCCATCATCTCCCTCCCCTTCCATCATCTCCCTCCCCTTCCATCATCTCCTCCCCTTCCATCATCTCCCTCCCCTTCCATCATCTCCCTCCCCTTCCATCATCTCCCTCCCCTTCCATCATCTCCCTCCCCTTCCATCATCTCCCTCCCCTTCCATCATCTCCCTCCCCTTCCATCATCTCCCTCCCCTTCCATCATCTCCCTCCCCTTCCATCATCTCCCTCCCCTTCCATCATCTCCCTCCCCTTCCATCATCTCCCTCCCCCTTCCATCATCTCCCTCCCCTTCCATCATCTCCCTCCCCTTCCATCATCTCTCTCCCCTTCCATCATCTCTCTCCCCTTCCATCATCTCCCTCCCCTTCCATCATCTCCCTCCCCTTCCATCATCTCCCTCCCTTCCATCATCTCCCTCCCCTTCCATCATCTCCCTCCCCTTCCATCATCTCTCTCCCCTTCCATCATCTCTCTCCCCTTCCATCATCTCTCTCCCCTTCCATCATCTCTCTCCCCTTCCATCATCTCTCTCCCCTTCCATCATCTCTCTCCCCTTCCATCATCTCCCTCCCCTTCCATCATCTCTCTCCCCTTCCATCATCTCCCTCCCCTTCCATCATCTCCCTCCCCTTCCATCATCTCCCTCCCCTTCCATCATCTCCCTCCCCTTCCATCATCTCCCTCCCCTTCCATCATCTCCCTCCCCTTCCATCATCTCCCTCCCCTTCCATCATCTCCCTCCCCTTCCATCATCTCCCTCCCCTTCCATCATCTCCCTCCCCTTCCATCATCTCCCTCCCCTTCCATCATCTCCCTCCCCTTCCATCATCTCCCTCCCCTTCCATCATCTCCCTCCCCTTCCATCATCTCCCTCCCCTTCCATCATCTCCCTCCCCTTCCATCATCTCCCTCCCCTTCCATCATCTCCCTCCCCTTCCATCATCTCCCTCCCCTTCCATCATCTCCCTCCCCTTCCATCATCTCCCTCCCCTTCCATCATCTCCCTCCCCTTCCATCATCTCCCTCCCCTTCCATCATCTCTCTCCCCTTCCATCATCTCTCTCCCCTTCCATCATCTCTCTCCCCTTCCATCATCTCTCTCCCCTTCCATCATCTCTCTCCCCTTCCATCATCTCCCTCCCCTTCCATCATCTCCTCCCCTTCCATCATCTCCCTCCCCTTCCATCATCTCCCTCCCCTTCCATCATCTCCCTCCCCTTCCATCATCTCCCTCCCCTTCCATCATCTCCCTCCCCTTCCATCATCTCCCTCCCCTTCCATCATCTCCCTCCCCTTCCATCATCTCCCTCCCCTTCCATCATCTCCCTCCCCTTCCATCATCTCTCTCCCCTTCCATCATCTCTCTCCCCTTCCATCATCTCTCTCCCCTTCCATCATCTCTCTCCCCTTCCATCATCTCTCTCCCCTTCCATCATCTCTCTCCCCTTCCATCATCTCTCTCCCCTTCCATCATCTCTCTCCCCTTCCATCATCTCCTCCCCTTCCATCATCTCCCTCCCCTTCCATCATCTCCCTCCCCTTCCATCATCTCCCTCCCCTTCCATCATCTCCCTCCCCTTCCATCATCTCCCTCCCCTTCCATCATCTCCCTCCCCTTCCATCATCTCCCTCCCCTTCCATCATCTCCCTCCCCTTCCATCATCTCCCTCCCCTTCCATCATCTCCCTCCCCTTCCATCATCTCCCTCCCCTTCCATCATCTCCCTCCCCTTCCATCATCTCCCTCCCCTTCCATCATCTCTCTCCCCTTCCATCATCTCTCTCCCCTTCCATCATCTCTCTCCCCTTCCATCATCTCTCTCCCCTTCCATCATCTCTCTCCCCTTCCATCATCTCCCTCCCCTTCCATCATCTCCCTCCCCTTCCATCATCTCCCTCCCCTTCCATCATCTCCCTCCCCTTCCATCATCTCCCTCCCCTTCCATCATCTCCCTCCCCTTCCATCATCTCCCTCCCCTTCCATCATCTCCCTCCCCTTCCATCATCTCCCTCCCCTTCCATCATCTCCCTCCCCTTCCATCATCTCTCTCCCCTTCCATCATCTCTCTCCCCTTCCATCATCTCTCTCCCCTTCCATCATCTCTCTCCCCTTCCATCATCTCTCTCCCCTTCCATCATCTCTCTCCCCTTCCATCATCTCTCTCCCCTTCCATCATCTCTCTCCCCTTCCATCATCTCCCTCCCCTTCCATCATCTCCCTCCCCTTCCATCATCTCCCTCCCCTTCCATCATCTCCCTCCCCTTCCATCATCTCCCTCCCCTTCCATCATCTCCCTCCCCTTCCATCATCTCCCTCCCCTTCCATCATCTCCCTCCCCTTCCATCATCTCCCTCCCCTTCCATCATCTCCCTCCCCTTCCATCATCTCCCTCCCCTTCCATCATCTCCCTCCCCTTCCATCATCTCCCTCCCCTTCCATCATCTCCCTCCCCTTCCATCATCTCCCTCCCCTTCCATCATCTCCCTCCCCTTCCATCATCTCCCTCCCCTTCCATCATCTCCCTCCCCTTCCATCATCTCCCTCCCCTTCCATCATCTCTCTCCCCTTCCATCATCTCTCTCCCCTTCCATCATCTCTCTCCCCTTCCATCATCTCTCTCCCCTTCCATCATCTCTCTCCCCTTCCATCATCTCTCTCCCCTTCCATCATCTCTCTCCCCTTCCATCATCTCTCTCCCCTTCCATCATCTCCCTCCCCTTCCATCATCTCCCTCCCCTTCCATCATCTCCCTCCCCTTCCATCATCTCCCTCCCCTTCCATCATCTCCCTCCCCTTCCATCATCTCCCTCCCCTTCCATCATCTCCCTCCCCTTCCATCATCTCCCTCCCCTTCCATCATCTCCCTCCCCTTCCATCATCTCCCTCCCCTTCCATCATCTCCCTCCCCTTCCATCATCTCCCTCCCCTTCCATCATCTCCCTCCCCTTCCATCTCCCTCCCCTTCCATCATCTCCTCCCCTTCCATCATCTCTCTCCCCTTCCATCATCTCTCTCCCCTTCCATCATCTCTCTCCCCTTCCATCATCTCTCTCCCCTTCCATCATCTCTCTCCCCTTCCATCATCTCCCTCCCCTTCCATCATCTCCCTCCCCTTCCATCATCTCCCTCCCCTTCCATCATCTCCCTCCCCTTCCATCATCTCCCTCCCCTTCCATCATCTCCCTCCCCTTCCATCATCTCCCTCCCCTTCCATCATCTCCCTCCCCTTCCATCATCTCCCTCCCCTTCCATCATCTCCCTCCCCTTCCATCATCTCCCTCCCCTTCCATCATCTCCCTCCCCTTCCATCATCTCCCTCCCCTTCCATCATCTCCCTCCCCTTCCATCATCTCTCTCCCCTTCCATCATCTCTCTCCCCTTCCATCATCTCTCTCCCCTTCCATCATCTCTCTCCCCTTCCATCATCTCTCTCCCCTTCCATCATCTCTCTCCCCTTCATCAATAATTTCCCCCGAGCAGCTATGGAAAGTTACCATTCTTGGAGTCGGAGCATGGGCGGGCAGCACTGGAAGCCATGGCAGCACTCAAGGCAGCATGGGACCCGCTTAATCTCTTCGGCACCACACAAACATGCTCTCCCACCCCCTCCCTTCTGTCTGCCCCTTCCTCCCTCCCTCCCCTCATCCCATTCTCTCCCCTTCATCAATATTGCCTCCCGAGCAGCTATGGCAAGTTGCCATTCTTGGAGTCGGAGCATGGGAGTGCAGCACTGGATGCAATGGCAGCACTCAAGGCTGCATGGGACCCACTGAATATATTTAACCCGGGCAAGCTAGGCCAGTTCCGCCTGCCCTGATAGACCAGTTCCGCCTGCCCTGATAGGCCATTTTCGCCTGCCCCTGATAGGGCATCTTCACCTGCCCAGTTCCACCTGCCCAAGTTTTTCGGTTCTGTGTGCGGCGCTTTCAAGGCTTGCTCCGTGCAGAAAGGCAAGCTCTTTCTCTCTTGCAGAGGGCTAGTTGATGACTCTTGTTTGTGCACTCCGGTTGCTTATATCAGCTGTACATTCACAACAATACACAATACACAATACATCACAAGCATACAGTAATCTAATTACAAATGAGTAACTACCTCCTACCGTAAATGTTCATTTCGTGACCATGTCTAGCCGCCCTGCCATGGCCAGCATCTGCCTGAGGGCCAGCACCTTGGCCTTCACACACAGATTCACCCCCACCAGCCCACCCCCTCCACCCACTCCCATCCCTGCAGTTGCCCCTACAGCCACACTAGCACCCATACCCATCCCTGCAGCAACAGCAGCAGCAACAGGCGGTTGAGGTGGGTTCCCTGCTACTACTGGCGCTACTGGGGGTAGTGTTGCCCCTGCTGCTGCTACAGCTGCTGCTCCTGCTACTACAGGTGGCGCACCCAAAGGTGCTGCACCCACACCCCACGTCGCTGCACGGGCTGTCATGTTGACGGGTGGAAATAACGCCCCACCCGCAACACCATCATTCGCAACACCAGCGGCACCACCAGGCATAGCAGCAGGCACGGCAGCAGGTACGACAGCAGGTACGGCAGCAGGCACGGCAGCAGGCACAGCAGCAGACGGAACAGCAGCGCTGGCAAGCACAGGCCTTCCAAAAACGCCCCCTGCAGTGCCATCCATTGCAGCTGCTACTGCCATGCGCCCGGTCAGTCTCCTGGGGTCGGTACCAGAATAGCTTCCGCTCATCTCCCCCACTCGCCCTTGCCCTGCCCCTGCTGCTCCTCCTGCTCCTCCTGCTCCCTCTGCTCCTCCTACTGCCCCTGCAGCTGCTCCTGCGGCCATCACGGTTCCACCTGCCGGGAAACCCATCACACTCCCTCCTGCCCTCCCTGCTACCCCTGCAGCTGTTACCGCGGCCACCGCTGCTGCAGAAGCAACCATCCCCGTCCCTGCTGCTCCTACCACAGGTGCCCCCACCGCTGGGGCTGCTACAGCCGCCCCCACCGTTGGCGCTGCTGCTACAGCAGCCCCTACAGCAGCCCCTAACGCTGGCGCTGCTGCTACAGCCGGCGCTGCTACGGCTACCCTTCCTGCTGCAGCAGCTGCGGACCCAGCAGCAGCGCACATGGCGCAGCACAGGCCCTTAATCACGATGCGCCTTAAGTTGGGACACCGGAGCGCGATAGTCGCCACTACCGCCGCATCAAAGTCCACGTCCGTCAGAATCAGCACCTCCAGCTCCGGGTGAAACGCGTCCGGCGCTGCCGAACCCGTCCCCGAGCCTGTCCCCGAACCTGTTCCCGAGCCTACGGCGAGTCGGCTCGTGCCGAGCCAGGGGAAAGTGGATGCGGGCGCGGCGGCTGACGAGGGAAGAGCGCCGAGAGCGGCGGGTAGGGTGTGGATAGAGCCTCCTACTAATTCCAAAACCCTTAAAGACGTGCACTTGCGCAGAGCCAATAGGTCTTCGACCTCTAGCGCCCCCATGTGGATGCGCAGACACGACAGGTTTCGCCAGCCAATCACCATCAGGTACACGGCCTGGCGAGTAACACTATTTCGCACGAGGCACGAAAACTGTCGCATGGAGCGGAAGCCCGACGTGAGGTACCACATGGAACGCGCCTCGAGCAGACCGAAGGACGTCTCTACGCCGTGCGATGTGAGCTCGACCGACTCGACGTTCTTGCAGTAGAGCGAGATGATCCAGAGGATGCTGCAGATGGCCGCCTCGTTGCGACTCGTCGCGTCGCGGTCGCAGTCGATGACGATGCGTCGCAGCGAGTCGCTGCATGCGACGATGATTGGGTGCAGGATGTGTAGCTCGCACCGCGGGTCGTCCACGTAGAGGTCCGTCAGGTTGGCGCAGCGCGCCGCGAGCAGCTCCACGCCTGAGATAAAACGAAGCGAGAGGGGTGGGCGAGGAGAGGAGGAAGGGGGCGACATCAGTGGCACTTCCGACTTCTATTCTAGATGGTGCTTTCGAAGAGTTAAAGTGAAGAATTCGCGACTTGGTGACGCGCTAAAAAAAAAAAAACATATTGCACGAGAGGGGCGCAAAGGACCCTTGGAGAATCACGAATTTCTTCGGGCGCATGAAAGCCGCCTCGAACTGATTCGAATGTTGAGAGTCGGGCTCTACGTGGACGGACTTCGCGGTGACTTTTTGTGGTTTCACATCGAACGTACTACACGTGTCGCAAGTGTTTCCAGCGTAGACGATGCTGCAGACGTTGAATCTGCGTCAGGCGCGTAGGCAAAAGGCGCGCCGGAAAGAAGCGGCTCGGAGAAAGGCGGGACGTACCTGGATGCATGCTGCCCGGGCCGATGCGGAGCTTGGTCCAAAACACGCGGCTGTAGCACAGCTGCTTCCACTGCCGGCTCACGCACGAGAACCGGCACAAATCCCATGCCGTCGGATGCCCCGATTGAAGCACCTTCAATAAAAGGTCCTCGCTCAAATCCGACAGGGACGCCGGCCTCTGCTGCTGCTGCTGCTGCCGTTGCGGCTGTAGCGCCGGCTGAAGCGTCCGTTCGGTTGCGTGCTCCGCGGATGAAGTGCTGACGTCAGAGCTGCAGTCCGCTTCCAGGTCCGGAAGCATCAAAGGGGGCTCCTCGAGGCGGCGCCGCTTTGCGAAAGGCTCGGCGTTCGGCTCGGTGCCAGGCTCGGGCTTGTCGGACGAGCCCTGAGCGGGCACGCTACCGCGATGCGTGGGTGCGGGGACGTGGTGCCGTAAGTTCCATGCTACGAGGTCTGAGAGGCCTAGATCCATGGCTGTCGCTTTGAACTGCTTGGGAGGACAAATTCCGAAGGCTCAAGTTCTGAGTACGAACGGGTTTGCTGTTGTTGCGTTGGCGAAAGTTCTGAGTACGAATGCTGTTGTTGCGTTGGCGAAAGTTCTGAGTACGAATGCTGTTGTTGCGTTGGCGAAAGGAGAAAGGATGAGAAGCTACACAAAGTATGAAGAGAGAATACCAGCCGTTCTTCAGTAGCCCGTTCAAGCTGCTAAATCAACAAGCAAGACGTACGAAGATAAAAAATAGGAATCCCTGAGGTTGGGCTTGAGGGAACTGAGGTCAAATACAAGCCCCGATAGCGCTGTAAAACACACATCGAGGGACGCAGGGGGGAGCGAGGGAGTGAGGGAAAGCTGATGTCGAGGGGTGTCTAGTTCTCGACGGAAGGGGAGAGGGGCTGGAGAGCACATGTGATGTCTGGTGGAGGGGTGGACGGATGGATGCAAGACGAACAGGTGATCGACGGTCACGTGGACAGCTGGAAAGGCTGCCATCGAGATTGCCCTCAGATGACGCGTCTCGGGATTGGATGCGCGTTGCGCGAACCCCAAGCCCGGGATTTCTGCCGTACGTTTTCCCCTTTCTGCCTCCCTTTCCCTTTGGTGCCCCCATGATGCAACGCAATGCAACCCCAATGGCGAACTGCGTCCTGCCCGAGTGTGTTGCTGCTGCCGCGCGCGCTGCTCTCTGCTTGCAACGCTCGGTTTGGGGTCTTGATGCCGTAGGCGGTGACGAATCAAATTTCCATCATCACATGATGCCAGGTGAAACACACACAGAAACCTGGTGACGGGGTGGTTGGGATGGTGGCTGTTTTTGTGCCATGTGTGGTTTGCTTGAAAGTTGAGACGGGGCAAGGTGTCGAGCGGGGCGCGCGGTGACGCGTTTTCCGCCATGTGAGGGGCTGGGGGAGGGGGTCCTGCTTGAAAGTTGAAACGGGGTAGCGCTGGCTGGGCGGGGCGTGATGTGTGAGGAAGGGCTGAACCGCGCCGCATTCGCATTGTCAGCTAGCCACGCCAGAAATCTGAACTCAGCATTGCGGCGCGAGTTGCTGAATGGAAGGGGCAAACCACCGCCACTAACTGAATTCACAAGTTACGCAACCTTGCGAGATGTTTTCATCCGTTTACCGTTCCGTCCACTCTGGCAGTTGCATCTGAATGTGTCCACTGTCGAGCCCGCCCTGCCTTCTGCTTTCCATCGTCAGCGACTCAGAGAGACAACACTGGTTTTTTTACGGGAATGAAAAGACGACGTGTAGCTTGCGAACGGCTTTTGTGGTTGGTGGAACTTGTGGATCAAGGAACGACATCGCAATAGGAGGTTCGACTAGTCGCATACCATACTGTACTGCACTGAAACTATTGGCTTCGTGGTGAGGACCCGATGCAGCTGATCTGGCAACGTTATTGTGCCGTCACCTTGCAGAACTGTAACCCTCCGACGCTGTTGTGACCTGCCTGGTGGCAAAGGAAACTACCTGAAGCACAGTTACCCTATGACGTCAGGTACCCACGTTACATCTTGGCTGTTCGCCAGACAAGTAGAGTCGCTTCCGACGCAATTCACAGACCAGTTGGCGAGTTGACCTCCGACAACTTCGTTCTGGTTGAATATCTTCCATTGGGTTTCATTTGCTGTCATTTGTCAGCCGTCCAAGCCGAGGAGCGAGAAGCCCAGCGCGGCGCGTTAGTGGGGACGAAGGACCGGAGAAGCAACCCACGAAGGTTCACTTGCCCCAGCCCAAGCCCCCACGAGGTGGCGCGCGGTTCACCAGCACAGAACATCCTCGATGGATTTGCTGCAAGCAACCTACCCCCAAATTTTTCATTTCAATCATCGAAGCTCGAATGGCAACAGCAACTTGTGGCACTATTCTTGTTGAATAATAGCATTCCTTAGGTGAAACTACAAAATCAGGAGAAATTTTTATTTACAGATGCCCAGAATCATCTGAAGTCATAATTTGCCATACAGGTCAACTGGGCCATCAGAACTCGATAGCCTACGGGTGCGTTTCTATCCCGTGTCAGACACGAAGCGAGACACGAAGTTGAGGTTGGGAAGACCCAAAGGAACTCGGAATGCTGCCAAATTTAGGTTCGGAAGACACAAACCGAGTCACTTTGTGTCTTCCGAAGCTTTGACCTGATGTCTGACACGGGATAGAAACACACCCTACGTTTCGTTGTGAAGTACAACACGTGTACATGAAGATTTTCCACCGAATGCATCTGGGAGTCATCATTACAGCAGCCAGCGGAAGTTCTGGCCCAATCAGTCGCCAGTTGAAATGTCTGAGGTGGAAGCGGAAGGTCATGGCTACAGTAACATAATGACAGTCTCGGAAGGATAGAAGACCAGAGAAGTTTCACGAGGTACGACTGTTGAAAATGAACGAACACTGTATTCATCCGAACTAAACACTCTAGTGCACTCATTGATGGAATCACCGTTGATGCTTTCATGATGTCATACTCCCACCATAACACATAGAAACAAGCTATCCTGGGCTGGCTTATATGCCACAAACACTATCAACAAGAGATGGCTTACGATTTCACACACGTTACTCAAGTCTGAGTGATTAACAAAGTCGGTTAAAAACATGGGATGAGCTAACACGGGGTCAGGGTTGTACTGAAGCCAAGGGTGAGTTGGGGCCGGCCTTTTGGCCGGCCGACACGAGGTCCCGGAAGAGATTGCCACTGGTCCAGCTGCCGCCCAAACTCTTCCTGCCAATCCCTCCATTCCCTTGCCTCATCATGGCAACAAACTCGTTATAGTCAATGATGCCATCCTGCAGGAAAAAAAAACAAAAACAATTACTCTTCAAACAGAGACTGCAGAAAAAAGGGCAACAGAAACGTTGGGCTTCCTTTTGGTACCAAAACTGCATTCCTATCGCACATCATAACAACCTCGCGTCACCAAAAAAATAGACACAGTACGGTGCAAATAACTTCATCGCCAGAACAGTACCAGCAGCCTCATCACTCACATTTTTTGTGTCGATGTCACGTATGGACTTAACAATGCACACCTCGTCAACCTCATACACGCGGCACGCGTCCCGCAGCTCGTTATAATGTATCTCAAACGTCTCAGAAGTGAATGGCTGTACTCACATTGTTAGTGTCAACGTCGCGCATGGTCTCAACGATGCACTCCTCGTCGACGCCGTACTCACGGCACGCGTCCTGCAGCTCATCAGTGGAAATGAAGCCCGAAGAGTCCTTGTCAAAGTAGGAGAAGGCAGCAAACAGCGTCTCCTCGCGCTCTATCTTGTTCAGCTGCACCGTGGCCGCCAGGAACTCGCCGTAGTCAATGGTGCCATTGCCGTCAATGTCAGCCTGGATTGGGGATTGAGATGAGTGGGACACGGAGGTAACAAATATCAGACTCTGCAGGGTTCCCCTCAGGTACACGCCATGGTCAATGGCTCCACCCATGTCAGCCTGATTGTGATGCGAGGGTAACTGAGATGATGAGATGCTATCCGATGAGATGTGATGCCGCCAATAAGTGATGTGGGAGATATGGGGTGAATACGATAACATGGGAATTAGCTGCCCATCGCACAAACAAACCCCTTAAGTCTAGGGTTCCGTGAGTGGTGCGAAGGGAAGACAGTGCGTCAGAGTCTCGGTAAACATGGAAAGGGTGACTGGCGACGCCAAGAGGGAGGGAAGCAGGGGTGTGGAGCGTTGTCAATAATGAAAAAAAAACTATATGCCTTGAACACCCTGAAGACTTGCACACACAGCAGCTTACTACAGCAGCCCACCACACCACTCTAGCAAATGCAAGCCCAGGCACACCGCATCCATGCGGTCCATACAGAGATCTCCATGTTGTTGGGCGGAGACGAATCCTCTTTAGCTTTGGCGGAACAGCACATACCCCAGCCCGCTGCACAACCTGGTACACACGGCACACACGACCGTGCCTACATAGCCAAGCCCCAAGCCCACACACGCACAGCCAAGCCCCGTGCACCCACTCACCGCATCCATAAGCTCCTTAATCTCCATGTCGTTGAGAGTCGACCCGATCCTCTCGAGCCCGGCTCGCAGCTCCTCATGTGTGATGGTGCCTTTTGAGTCGACTCAAACCAAACCCCAAGACCACCCCAAGCACTCACCACACCCATGAGCTCCTTAATCTCCATGTCATTGAGGGTACACCCAATCATCTTGAGCCCTGAAATACCAACACACAACCAAGCCCAACGCCCAGACAGACACGCACAGCCAAGCCCGAGACATCCATTCACGAGTAGCTCACCGCATCCATGAGCTCCTTAATCTCCATGTCATTGAGCGTAGACCCGATCCTCTTGAGCCCGGCACGCAGCTCCTCATACGTGATGGTGCCGCTGCCATCGGTGTCCATCATCTTGAACGTCTCCTTCAGCCCCGAGATCTCCTCCTCCGACATGCTCTCTGCGATCACGCGCAGCGCCATCTTCTTGAGCTTGTTCATCGCCGTGAACTGCTTCAGGCGGGACAGCACGGCTGAGCCCAGAGGCTTATCGGGTGCGACGCCATCCTTGGCCACCCACGGATGGCCTGCCGGGAGGGAGGGGTAGCGGTGACAGCGGGGGGAGAAGGACGGACAGACGGAGAGACGAAAACATCACGGGTTGTTTAAGTGGTGCCGCTGCCGCTGCCGACAATTATCTTAAACGTCTCCTTGAGCCCCAAGCCCAATGAATGACGAACTGGAGAAGTGAAACACGGCTGAGGGTAGAGGCAGCACTGTGGTGGATGAGGTCCTTGGAGTCCTCACTGATGGACGGCCACAAGACTCCTCATGCCCTTACTCCCCTCATCTCATCTCACACACACAGCAACAGACAGCGCCTCTGGCACACCAACTGACAGAGCAGCTGCCAGAGCAGCTGACAGCCCAAGAGACAGAGAGAGGTTGACTCACAGAGCACGTCATAAGCGGAGTAGCGCTTCTTGGGGTCGAGGCAGCACATGTGGCGGATGAGGTCCTTGGAGTCCTCACTGATAGACGGCCACGGGTCCGACTCAAAGTCCAGCTCGCCCCGCAGCACCGCCTCGAATATGCCCTGCTCCGTCTCTGCAGGAGGAGAGGAGGGTGAAGGAGCAGGGGGTATGCACCATGCTTGCACATGAACATCGACATGGCAGCTGTCCGACTCAACGCCCAGCTCGCCCCGCAGCACCGCCTCAAAGATACCCTGCTCCGTCTCTGGTGGAGTGGAGTTGGAGAGGGGGAAGGTAAAGGGGCAGGGGTTCAGTGCACGAGTTAAAATCGGCCGGCAGCATTGCCTCAAATATGCCCTGATACGTCGTTGCATGTGTGGGTGGAGTGGGTGGGGTGCCTCGGGTGTGTGGGGAGTGGGGCGTGTGGGGCGAGGGGTGTGTGGTGAAGTAAGGGGAAGGGGGAAGTGCAGCAATCTTGCACGTGAGCATCGATATTGCAGCAGTAAGGTGTGCACGAGTCCAATTCGCCCCGCAGCACCGGCTCTGAGGAGCAGCGCAGGGGAAACGAAGAAGCAGCGGGGACATGCGTGCAATGCAAGTGAGTGAGCAACGACATGGTGGTGCTTCAGTGCGCACGTCCAGTCCCCCAAGCAACACTGCCTCAATTAATCACTGATCCGTCTCTCTGTGTGAGTGGGTTGCACACGTGAGGGAAATGGGAAGAGGGGGTGGAACGGGGTGGGGAGACAACGAGGGACGAGGGAGAAGGTGGGGTTGGGGTGGAGGGTGGGGGAAGGCGAAGGAGGGTGGCACTAAAAGTTGCGAGCAGGCTTAGATTGGGCAAACGTTCCTAAGGACCAAGCAAATGATGATGCTGCACATGCTCCACCAACCTCTTTTCAACCAATCATTTCCCAGCCTGCAACCACCCTTACGACACTCATGCCCACAGATGCGCCTTACGCCCACCCTTGCACCTTTAACTCTACTGAAACATCCTATAACGGGTAAAGACCTGCTAAGGCGGGAAGATGGCATGCTTACCTAACCACGTACCAGCACCCCACTGAGGAGGATTTTGATAATCACATTTATGCTCACTTCCTGATCCTTTTTTCTTTGAACGAACCGGGGGGTCTCTTAACGGGTACGCACCTGCCCAGAAGGGTGGCACGCCGGAGAGCAGGATGTAGATGATAACGCCCATGCTCCACACGTCCGCCTTCTCGTTGTACCTCCGCCGCAGCACCTCCGGCGCCACGTAGTACGGGCTGCCCACCACGTCCGACAGGTACTCGCCTGGATGGAGGAGGAAAAGGTGGGGGTTGGGTCGGGGTAATGAGATGAGACAAACGGATTGAGAGGCGCACCTCAGGCGCCACGTAGTACGGGCTGCCCACCACGCCCGACAGGTACTCGCCTGGCGGGGGGGGAAGAGGGGAGGGGGAGGCGGGTAGGGGGGTGCGGTTGGAGCAGGCAGAAGGGGGGTGGCGGGAGGGGTAGGGCATAAGGTGTTACGATCCAGGAAAGCCCCTCCGGCGCCAAGTAGTACGGGCTGCCCACCACATCCGACAGGTACTCGCCTGGTGGGGAGGGCGGGACGGCGGGTTGGGAGATGAGGGTGAGGAGGGGGGGGGGGGGGGAGAGGGGACGGGGAGACAATACGAGTCGATAAGGGGCATCTCGGGCCCACACTGGAGAAACAGCCGCAGATGTGCGTGTTTCGCACGGACGAACAAAAGGGAGGGTGGCTGGACGCTGGGGAAGGAAGGGCGCTGGGGAAGGGGGAAAACGGTGAGGGGAGGAGGAAGGGCGAGGGAAAAGGGAGGCCTAGCACGCAATGCACTGCACTACACTGCAGTGCACGCACCTGGCTTGAAGAAGTAGGAGAGGCCGAAGTCGGTCGCCTTGAGGTCGGCGGTCTCGGACTTGTTGGCAAAGAGGAAGTTCTCCGGCTTGAGGTCGCGGTGGATCACGCCCAGCGAGTGGCACGCCTCTATCACCTTCGCGATCGTCCGCGTTAGCTCCGCCGCCTGCCGCTCACTGCGGGGGGCGGAGCGGGGCAAGGGCGGGCGGGAGGGGGAGGGAAGGAGGGGGGAAGATGGGGGAAAGCGAGGTGAATGGGGGAGGGGATGGGGAGAAAGGAGAAACGGAGGGAGTGGGAATCGGGAGGCGGAACGGAGGGAGGAAACGAAGCGGAAGCAGACTGGCAAAAGATGAGGGCTGCATGTCAGGGTGAGTGGGCGCGTGTGCGTTTATGAGGGTATGCGTGCGTCTGCGCGAGTCTGTGTGTGCGCGCACGTGTGCGAACGGGTGAATGTGCGTGCGTATGCACGCGCATGTGGAGAGTGTTTGTCTGTCCTTGGAAGGCAACTGAACCCCACTCGTTCTGGACTCCGCTCACGCTGTTTCACAAAAAACGATGAATTTGATATCGACTTCCATAGACGACAACATGGCGCAGACGCCATACACTCACATTGGGGCCATCGCGAATGTGAAACAAGAGATAAAGACACTTTTCGGAGTCACATGCACTGATCACGCTGGTGCGATGAAATAGTAGGGCTCCTCCTTTGAGCGAAAGTATATTGTAAACGGCTCCTGGAAATAGTTACCCAGACATTTCCCATCTGGAGCGAACGCTCCCCACGTACGTTGCGACAACTATTAGATAAAAAACGAACAAAAAAACAAAACAAAAACAAAAACAATCACAGTACAGCGTACACTCCGACGCTTACTAGTAATTAATTTCTGTGATGAAGCGCCCGAAGCGCTCGCACTTCCCGCGGAGATGGCTAAAAATGCAGACGAGTATTAGACCTAATGACGCAGGAGTAACCCCATCAGCAAGCATTCACCATATGCCTGCCATGAAACTTATATTCTGTGGCTACAGCACAGCGTACACTCGACGCTTACCTGTAGTGACCCTTTTTAATAATGCGCTCGAACAGCTCGCCTCCCGTGCAGAGCTCCATGACAATGTGTACATTCGCGTGATCCTCGTAAGCTCCCTTGATGCACACAATGTTGTTATGGCCCGACAGGTGATGCATGATCGCCACCTCGCGTTTCACGTCCTCCACGTCCTCCCTCGATATAAGCTTCTTCTTTGCGATGGTCTTGCACGCGTACTCCTTCCCCGTGGCTTTCTCCGTGCAGAGAAACGTTACGCCGAACTGGCCCTGGCCAAGCTTCTTCCCCAGCTTGAATAATGACTCCAGTTGCTCTGCGCGAAATGTCGCAGTAATATCATTGTTAATAATGTTGAACACCGTCGCTTAATTTAGGTGGAAAAATGTGACAATGGATGTTACGTATATTCGAAGCTTGCGAAATGTGTCAATGCATTCACATAAGAACATGACAAAGGGAACCGAGCATAAGCGATCTTAAAAGGAATGGAAAAGAATGGTAGCAATGAGCCGACGAAAAGGCTCCTGCGCAACGGACACTAAGTTAATCAGGAGTGCAAGTAGATACCTGTTCTTCTACCCAATACAGATCCGTGAATAGCGTGGCCGGGAGCCAACCGCTCGTCAGCAAACTTCACTCTCCGGTCACCCATTATATCCACCAGTTTCTATTTAGAACCAGAAAAATACAACAATAAAATATCCGACGAACAGCTAGTTCCGCTTCGCTGCGTGTGAAGATACGGATAAAAACCGACAGCTCCTTGAAAACCTACTAGAGCTGGAGAATAGGTGCTGGGAGAGTGATGCCTGGAAATTGGAGAGTGAAGCAATCAGGCTGGCCTGAAGTTCCTCCTGAGAGAGTGGTCCAGCAGAAAGGCGGTTCTCTGGTAAGGGAACCCTTGACTCAGCAAAACCTGAACCGAGGAGCCCGACCAACGACGAACCAAACCGCTCCTCCTCTCCAGACCACTTCTCCAGCCTCAGAACCGAACACCAAACATTTTTATAGGGGACCGAACGAAACCAGTCGGTACGGGACCGGACCTTTTTCCACTCATCTTTTTATCTTGAGCCTTCGGGAGTGGAGGAACTCCAAGTTCCCCCTTCAACACGAAAGCGCTCACCTGGAAATCGTTTAGCAAAATGGGGCACCGTAAAAGCCCGAAAGAATGCGCTTGTAGATTCGGCTCGTATTCACACATGCTTCCAAACCAGCGCTGCCATGCATCTTTTTGTACAGTTCGAAACCGCAGTCGGTCCGGCAGCAGTTGGGAGCGCAATGCCGGCGCGCAACCAAATCGTTTCGTTGAATGCCCCATCCAATGAGAGTCTACCCATACTTCTGATATTTTTGGCTTGGTGTTCGAAGTCCCAAACCATTTGACCACTCTCCTCGCGTTATTAGCTTCTCGAGTGACAGAAACGCAGCATGTAACGTTTGTCATCAATAATGTGCTCTTCAGCAAATTTGACATGTACCGTATATTCCATCAGCCCACCCTGAGAATCGGCTAATTTTCATCCAACATTGCACCTGCCACCATTTCCCACTCAGGGGAGCATGGCACCCATAGCTACTACTATAAACATCATAAGAATATGTGTGTACCAAATCCCTATACCCATCCCTATTCCAGCAGCCTTAGAGGCTGCTTGGTCGATTCCCAATAAATACCTACATTGTTCCTGGGTAGGATTGTTCTGCACCACTTCGGCCACCCCCTTGAAGTCACACGCCCCACCTGATTGGTTATTCAGCTGGAAATAGCTGTTGAACGCATAGGTCGCAACCTTTGAAGTACTACCATTAAAGTAACACGACCCTCCAACCTGTGCAGGTGTGCAATCCGAAGGCTTCGTATCCCCACACGCGTACGTCACTGCTTCGGCCAATTTCTGCGGGTCCGCACCCTCCTTGGCCACACACCACCGCCCGGGGTACAGCACAATTCCTGTTGCGCTTTTCAGAGTGACATTCTTCCCGCCGCCCGTCAAATCCAACGGGTATTTCGGGGTCCCGTCCGCGCGGAAAATCCCCCAATGCCTCTCGAACGGGCCGGCTAGAGTAATCTTCCGGTCTTCGTCTGAAAGCGCGAAAAGGTATCCACTCAGGATTTGATTCGGGCGGGCGGGTGTGCCTCTTCCTGACAACATGTGGGCTAGGATTGCCTGGTTGAAGCGATATGCGTTGTCCACTGTGGCGTAGCCCCTCATGTCACCCTGGCCGTCGGATGGCCACCCGATCTCGCCAATCTCGATCGGCAGCTGCAGAGAGAAGGAGAAGTGGGAGGGACGGGGGGTGCGGAGGGGGGGTTGGGGGGTGTGGGGAGGGAAGGTGGGGGGGAGTGGGGGTGTGAAAGTGTGGTGAATGAGGGTGGAGTGGATAGTGAGAGGGGCTTATGGAGCGAAGTTTGTGGGTGGGCATGGGAAGGGAGGAGGAACAGGGCAAAGGGATGAGGGAGTCAAGGAGGGAGGGGGAGGAGACAAAACAAAGTAGGGTAGAAAGCTGAAAGTGAAGTGAAGGGAGGAGCCCACAAATAAGAGTGTGGTGAAGTGAAGTGAAGTGAAGTGAAGTGAAAGTCTGGTGGGCATATAAAAGTGTGTAGGCGAGGAGAAAGGAGCCACAATGAGCCCACAATGAGCCCACAAAGAGCCCACAATGAGCCCACAGTGAGCCCACTTATACCCCACAACCAACGCCACACCCAGCCTCAGCTACCACTCACATCAACACATCTGATCTTATCCGGAGTGGCCATCACAGCATCAAACGACCACAAAGATCCCGCAATGATCTGCACATTCAGCCCCTGCCCCACATTCAGCCCCACACTCAGCCCCACAAGCAGCCTCAGCCTCCACTCACATCGCCATAACCGATCTTCTCCAGAGCAGCCACCACAGCATCAAACGCCCCGTCGAAAATGTTGTCGTATTTCAGCCCGCTCTTCGGGTCCTTGAATTGCCACGCCTGCCCGCCAGGCTGCCCCAAAAAAACCTGGTTCAGCCCGATCGCCCCCGTCGTGTCCTGATGCAGCGTCAGGAACGGGTAGATATTTATCGAGAACGTTCCACCTGACTGCTTCAAAATATCTGCAATCGCGGTGATATCCTCCAAAATATCCCCTCGAACCTCGCCCGAGGACGGCGGGTAGGAGCTCCCGAGAATATCCGCGTTAAGAGGCACGGTCAGCTTGATTTTGTCGTCTAGTTTGGCGTCCTGTAGCGCACTGTACATGTTTCGCATCGCCGGCACCACTGCTGACTCGTACATGCCCTGATAGCCCTGAAGGAACGGCTCGTTCCCCACTGCTATCTCCCTGCAAGCAGAGGGGGTGAGGGGGAAGAGGGAGCAAAGCGAGGTGTGATTTGGGAGGTTCGTACACGCCCTTGGTAGCCCTGCTCTGCAGGAACGGCTCGTTGCCCACTGCTATCTCCCTGCAATCAGGGATGAGTGAGTGTTGGGGAAGGGGGGTGCGAGTGGGTAATGGGGAATTGAGGGAGAGTGACTCGCGAGGGACTCGTACATGCCCTGGTAGCCCTGCAGGAAGGGCTGGTTCCCCACGGCTATCTCCCTGCAATCAGGTGAGGAAGGGGGGAAGAGGGACGAGAAGGGGGTAGGGATGAGATATAAGGTCATCCAGGGAGATCGCACTGTACAAGCTACGCATCGCCGGCACCACTGCTGACTCGTACACGCCCTGATAGCCCTGCAGGAATGGCTGGTTCCCCACGGCTATCTCCCTGCAATCAGGGAAAGAGGGGAGGGGAGAGTGACGGGGGAAATGGGGGGGAAAGGGGGAAAGGGTTCATTCAGAAGCCTCGTACATGCCCTGGTAGCCCTGTAGGAAGGGATCGTTGCCCACTGCTATCTCCCTGCTCCCAGAAGAGGAGGAAAGGGGAGGGGAGGGGAGGGGAGGGGAAGTGGGAGAGAGTGAGGGAAGAGGATGGGAGGGGGGAGAGAGTTTGGGGAAGGGGGACGAGGTTGAGGTATTCGATATGCAGCATCACCGCCACCTCGATGCCCGTGCCCACCAGCATGAGGCATACCTGATGATGCATGGTGTTTTGGGGAACTACCAAAAACACCCCCCAAGGCACGTACCTGATGTTTGGGGGTGTTTTTTTATTCATTTATTGAAAGACACCCCGCATCGGCAGTACCTGATGTTGGCTCCCTTTGGGAACACGAAGGGCGACACGTTGTTGCTGAGCCACTTGGTCGCCTCCTTCTGCGAGCCGGCGACGAGGTTGAGGTATTCGTTCTGCAGCATCACCGCCACCTCGATATCCGTGCCCACCAGCATCAGGCATACCTGATGTAGGATGATGTTTTGGAGAACTTCCAAAAACACCCCGCATGACACCTACTTGAAGTTGGAGGGTGATTTTGAGATTAATTGAAAAAAACTCCCCGCATCGGCAGTACCTGATGTTGGCCCCCTTGGGAAAGACGAAGGGAGAGACGTTGTTGCTGAGCCACTTGGCCGCCTCCTTCTGCGAGCCGGCGACGAGGTTGAGGTACTCGTTCTGCAGCATCACCGCCACCTCGATGTCCGTGCCCACGAGCGCGCGCAGGATGTCCACGTCAGCTCCAAACAGCTTCAGCCGCTTGATGCCGTTGTCCTGAACCGGGGGATTGCAGCGAGGGATGATAGCAGCAGAAGACAAGAGTGAAACGCGTATATTGGATTCCTCCTAATGCGAACGGCTTCAGCCGCCTGATGCGGTTGTCCTGCGAGGAACTGAGGAGTATTTAGCCACTGTGCAATTCATGAACTATGTACTCTGTAGCAGTCCCCACGTATGCGTGAACCTACTTGAAGCAGCTTCACGACGGCTTTAGGCGGCATCTGCTGCCACGAGTTGCGGCCCCAGCACACGCCGATGGGCTGGGAGAATGTGTCGGCGGCCGCAGGCTGCACGCCGATCGTGCTGCTCGCCGCGGCGAGAAGCAGTACCGCGGTAGCGAAGCAGTGCCTGATGGCATGATTCGCGAAAGAATACGCCGACGGCTTACTGCAGAGAGATCGCCAGAACGTGTGTCGCAGAACCATGATGGGCTAAGCTGGTTAGAGATAAGACTAGAAATATGTTATTGATAGTAATGCGCCTCGGAGAGAACTTAAGTCCCTTGGGAGGAATATTAGTTCTCAAGATCTGCCTAGAGTTCGTTACTGAATGCGTACTCAACACAGGGTAACACCGGGGCTTCTGGATGCCTGAGCACAAGGTATACAGAGGTAGCACGAGACGTACTACTAACAGAACTCCTAATGCTCGCTTGGACAGGGGTCCACAAAAGGAAGAAAAGGAAACGGATGTATTAGGAAGACGGCGGGCTGGGTTCATTCGACAGCACCAAGGTCGGTCGGAAATCGAGGTGCTTTCCAGTAGTAATCACCACCTCATTGATTGATTGTCATGAAATGTGCGTCGAGGTAGCTTTTTTTTTTTTTTTTTTTTTTTTTTGGGACATAATACACTAGCATGGCCACCCCCTTGGTTCCGACCGTTTTCAGGGAGTCCCAAAATGCAAACCAACCTCGAGATTTGCTGAGGAGCGCCTGTCTGATGCGAGTCACGCGACCTCGAGTTTCCCCAAATCCAAAAGCAGACTGGAAGGTTCTGACATCGAACCGCGCATGTCTTTTCCCCACCGACTGCAGCACCTGCCGAGGCGCACAGCCTCGGCTCGGCTCTGCGACGGTGGCCTGAGTCGTCTGACGACGGTTGGGTCGCTGACCGACATTTTTACCGGACATGCAGGTCTGGTGTACTAAGGGGGACGAAAGTGTACCATATTCTTTGTAGCATTCAGAACAGATCAATATTCATTATTGTTTGTGCCAAAGTTTCAGTCAACATGGCATTATGACAACACCAGTTTACACGACAGAAGTTACATAAATTGCACGTTACACCGTTCAGAGGTCCTCGCCTAGCAAGTTGATGACGGTATTGACGTCCTTGTCTCCACGGCCGCTAAAGCACACAATTACCTTGCTGCCATCGGCCAGCTGAGGGCAGAGGTACTCCAGGTATGCCAACGCATGGGACGTCTCCCGAGCCGGGATGATGCCTTCCAACCGCGACACACGCTTGAATGCTGCACAAGAACCACCAAGGGAAAGGGACGGAATAAAAGAAGTGTTTTGAGACGGTCTCAAAACATCGGCCAGCTGAGCTCAGAGGTACTCGAGGTATGCCAACGCATGGGACGTCTCCAGAGCCGGGATGATGCCTTCCAACCGCGACACACGCTTGAATGCTGCGCACCAACAAGCAAGGCACAGATGAGAGAAGAATACTACCATGCAGGGCCTTGTCATTGTCATCCATGACACTCAGTACTCTGCCCGCTCCATGGCCTTGGGAAAACCTCATTGGAATGCTCTCCTTCCCCACTTGCCTTCCCTTACCTCGCAGTGCTCATCGTCTGTCAAACTGAAGTACTCTGCCTGCCAAATGTCCTTGAGGAAGCTGTGCTCACTGCTCAGGGCCCTCAGGGTGAATCGGTTTTTGAGACATTTAAAGAGTCCTCCCCCCCATTGCCCTCCCTTACCTTGCAGGGCGTCACCGTCCGTCACACTGAAGTACTCTGCCTGCCCAATGTCCTTGAGGAAGCCGCAAGTGAGTGCATCTCCCCACCCTTGCCAGCGCCTCGTCGTCATTCACACTCTGCCCGCCCAAGAGAGCTCCCCACGATGCATCTCCCCACGCTCCCCTCTTACCTTGCAGGGCCTCGTCATCAGTCACACTGAAGTACACTGAAGTACTCTGAAGTACTCTGCCCGGCCAATGTCCTTGAGAACGCTGTGCGCCAGGCCCACTCCGGCCTCCTCCCCTCTTGCCCCCCTCTCCCTACCACATGTCCCTGAGGAAGCTGCACTTGAGTCAATCTCCCCCCCAGTGCCCTCTTACCTTGCAGGGCCTCGTCGTCAGTCACACTGAAGTACTCCGCCCGCCCAATGTCCTTGAGGAAGCTGTGCTCCGGGCCCACCCCGGGGTAGTCAAGGCTGCAAAGCGCAGGGCAGAAAGCGGAGAGGGCAGAGAGGAAGGTGTGAGAAGGGAGTGGGATTTGGGGGAGCTGTGTTTGGGGCCCACTCCAGGGTAGTCAAGGCTGCAAACAAAGGACAAACGAAGAGGGCAGAGCGCGAAAGGTGAGGGGAAAGTGGGACTCGGGGAAGCTGTGCTCGGGCCCTCTCCGAGGAAATTAAGACTGCAAAGCGGAGAGCAGAGAGGGAGGTGAGAAGATGGTGAGCATGGGGAATCGACGTCCAAGGCGGACCCACAACCCGCTCGTGTTCAAAGTGTAGTTTTGAGACGTCTCAAAACTGCTCTTCAGACAGAGAGGGAGGTGAGAAGATGGTGGGCATGGGGAATCAACGTCCAAGGTGGATCCACGCTCACTCGCTCCTACCCATATCAACCCAACGACAAGCTCACTCCCCCCGCGCTGATGCTGTAGAGTTCAATGATCTGCCCATCCGCGCGCTGCAGCAGGTAGCTCATGGCGCCGTGCAGCAGGCACACCTCCCCCTCCTCCACCGCACACACACACAGAGTAACTCCCAGACACCCAGCACTGCTGCTGCTGCTGCTGCTGCTGCTGTGATCCCATCCTCCCCCAACCCCCCTCCTCCACCCCACGTAAACACACACTTGCTCCCAACCGCCAAGCACTCACCCGGCGCTGATGCTGTGGGGTTCAATGATCTGCCCACCAGCGTCCTGCAGCAGGTGGCTCATGGCACCATGCAGCACATGCGAGCACGAATTCCATCCCCATCCCCAGTCAGTCCCAGTTACCACGTTACTCACCCCGCGCTGATGCTGTGCGGCTCCATGATCTGCCCACCAGCGTCCTGCAGCAGGTAGCTCATGGCGCCGTGCAGCACGCCCACCTCCCCCTCCTCCTCTAACACACACGAATACACAGTCGCTCCCACTCAACTCGCCCCACCTACAAACCCACTCACCCGGCGCTGATGCTGTGGGGTTCAATGATCTGCCCATCGCTGTCCTGCAGCAGGTAGCTCATGGCGCCGTGCAGCACGCCCACCTCCCCGGCCGTCAGAGTCGCCGCATGCTTGTCCGTGTGCACGCCGTGCCCTGCAGCCTCCACGCCCACCATGCGCACGCCCTCGTCCTCCACGAACTCATGGAACAGCCCCATGGCGTTCGACCCGCCTCCTACACACGCCACCAGCACATCGGGCAGGCGGCCGAACTTTTCAAGAGACTGCTTCTTTGCTTCGCGACCAATAATGGCCTGTCAATTCCGGCAACAACAAGAGATAGGCGGAAGGGGGGCAGGCACGGAGGGTGTGGGAGCAGGCAGGGAGGGTGAGGGAGCAGGCAGGGAAGGAGGGTGAGTGTTCCAACGAGTGCCCCTTGCCTCCACTCCACGCCCACCATGCGCACGCCCTCGTCCTCCACGAACTCATGGAACAGCCCCATGGCGTTCGACCCGCCTCCTACACACGCCACCAGCACATCGGGCAGGCGGCCGAACTTTTCAAGAGACTGCTTCTTTGCTTCGCGACCAATAATGGCCTGTCAATTCCGGCAACAACAAGAGATAGGCGGAAGGGGGGCAGGCACGGAGGGTGTGGGAGCAGGCAGGGAGGGTGAGGGAGCAGGCAGGGAAGGAGGGTGAGTGTTCCAACGAGTGCCCCTTGCCTCCACTCCACGCCCACCATGCGCACGCCCTCGTCCTCCACGAACTCATGGAACAGCCCCATGGCGTTCGACCCGCCTCCTACACACGCCACCAGCACATCGGGCAGGCGGCCGAACTTTTCAAGAGACTGCTTCTTTGCTTCGCGACCAATAATGGCCTGTCAATTCCGGCAACAACAAGAGATAGGCGGAAGGGGGGCAGGCACGGAGGGTGTGGGAGCAGGCAGGGAGGGTGAGGGAGCAGGCAGGGAAGGAGGGTGAGTGTTCCAACGAGTGCCCCTTGCCTCCACTCCACGCCCACCATGCGCACGCCCTCGTCCTCCACGAACTCATGGAACAGCCCCATGGCGTTCGACCCTCCTCCTACACACGCCACCAGCACATCGGGCAGGCGGCCGAATTTCTCAAACGACTGCTTCTTGGCCTCGCGACCGATGATGGCCTGAAGTAAAGGGGCAGGGCGGCAATTTAGAGGAGAAAAATAAGGGAAGCGGAAGGGGGGTAGGAAGGAGGGCGGAGGGAGGCATGGAGGGTGGGTGTTGTCATCTCATGAGTGCCCCGCCGCCTCCACTCCACGCCCACCATGCGCACGCCCTCGTCCTCCACGAACTCATGGAACAGCCCCATGGCGTTCGACCCGCCCCCCACACACGCCACCAGCACGTCTGGGAGTCGGCCGAATTTCTCAAACGACTGCTTCTTGGCCTCGCGTCCAATGATGGCCTGATGGGCAGTAGGGGAAACAATGGAGGCGGAAAACTTCTTGAGGGGAGGATGGAAAGGCGAAAAAGGGCAGGAGGGGAGGGTGGAGGGGCAGGCGGGGAGGGTGGGGGAGTAGGCAAGGAGGGTAAATGCTTTCAGAGGAGGGGAAAGAGGGGAGGCTTGTGGTGGGGCTTGGGCCTTCTCATGAGAAGGAGAGGGGCTTGGATGGAGTGAAATAATCGGATTAGTGATCCATAGGGCTGCATGGAACAGTCGAATTATGACACAGAGACACTGACGAGGGAGGTGTGCTCAGATCTGTGCTCATGAAGAAGGGCAGCAGTAGGCAAGGTCGCCTTTAGCAAAGGGACGATAGTCAGGGCTGCATGGAACAGTCGAATTATGACACAGAGACACTGACGAGGGAGGTGTGCGCAGATGCGTAAGATTGAAAAGGGAGGGCGGAAGGGCAACGGGATTCATCGCGGGGGAGGAAGGGAAGGGAAGGAAAGGTGTCTGGAAGTCTTGCACGATCATGGGGTAGGGGTGGGGCCCGGCAGCAGAGCTGATGATGCAGTGGGTGGGTAGAGAAGGGAAAGGTGCATGGCCTGGAAGTCTCGCATGATCATGGGGTAAGGGTGGGGCCCGGCAGCGGAGCCGAGGATGTAGTGGGTGGTGTCCACGTTGGTCACCCAGTCGGGATTTCTTTTGAGTCGACCCAAAAGTTAGTGCGTGGTGCCCACGTTGGTGAGTCACCCAGTCAGGACAGGACTTTGAGAGGGGCGGAAGGAGGAGAGGCGTGGGATGCGCGTGGGGAGGAGAGGGGGGAAGTGATGACAAACGAGGTCATCTCACGCGTAAGATAGAGAAGGGAAAGTACCTGGAAGTCGCGCACGATCATGGGGTAGGGGTGAGGGCCGGCAGCGGAGCCGAGGATGTAGTGGGTGGTGTCCACGTTGGTCACCCAGTCGCGGATCGCCTCTGACGTGGCGTCCTTGAGCGTGCGCGTGCCACTGTTCACCGCGCGCACCTGGACACGTGGAGGGACGGACACGTGGGGGGGAGAGGTTGAAGATGTCAAAAGGTGATGTGGGTGATGGTGGGTGATGGAGGTTGACGGTGGGTGATGGTGGGTGACGGTGGGTGATGGTGGGTGATGGTGGGAGAAGTGGCCGATGTAATGCAGAGGTTCACGCGGAAGAACGACTTCAACGCCTGCCCTCCCCAATCCACGCTCTCTCCACACCACACCCTCTCCACGCCCTACGCCCTCCTTCCCTAACGACCCCCGCCTCCGCCCCTTCCCACTTCCCCTACCCCCAGTCCCCAGTTCAGCCCTCATTCCCTTTATCCCTCCTTCTACGCCCACAATTCAACCCCCCCCCACTCCTCTCTCCAACTCTCCCCTCCCCTCCACCCCCCGATTCTCCTCTCACCCCCCAACCTCCCCTCTCCCCGCACCTCTGCGCCTAGCAGGCGCATGCGGAACACGTTGAGCGCCTGGCGCCGCATGTCCTCCGCGCCCATGTACACGATGCAGTTCAGCCCTCATTCCCCCTATCCCGTCACACCTTTCCCCCAACACCAACCCCCCCCCCGTCCCCCCCGCACCTCTGCGCCCAGCAGGCGCATGCGGAACACGTTGAGCGCCTGCCGCCGCATGTCCTCCGCGCCCATGTACACGATGCAGTTCAGCCCGAAGCGCGCGCACACCGTCGCCGTCGCCACGCCGTGCTGCCCCGCGCCCGTCTCCGCAATGATGCGCTTCTTGCCGATGCGCTTCGCCAGGAGCACCTGCCCAATGGCGTTGTTGATCTTGTGCGCGCCCGTGTGGTTCAGATCCTCCCGCTTCAGGTACACGTGCGGGCCGACGCGGCGCGAGGGGTCCGCGGGGTCGGGGCGCGAGTAGTGCTCCGTGAGGCGCTCCGCGAAGTAAAGCGGCGACTCGCGACCCACGTAGTCCTTGAGGATCGACTGGAACTCCGCCTGGGAACGTTGAGACGAAAGGAGGGGGTGGGGGGTGAGGGGGGAAAGGGATGTTGAGAAAACAGAAAATTGCAATCCACGTAGTCCTTGAGGATCGACTGGAACTCCGCCTGAAATCATTGAGACGAACGGGGGAGGGGGTGGGGAGGGGGTAGGGTGGGGAGGGGGAGAAGGGATGCTAAGAAAAATGGAAATAGCGACCCACGTGGTCCTTGAAAACCGACTGGAACTCCGCCTGGAAAGGAACGATGGGACGATGTTGAGGAACACTGGAGTGAGGAGAAGACGGTTGAGACCCACGTAGTCCTTTAGGATCGACTGGAACTCCACCTGGGGAGGAGCGCTGAACGGGGAGAGGAATGTTGAGAAGTGGAAAGGAGGCGATCGTGACCCTACCTTGAAGATTGCTTGAAAAACCGCCAGCGAACGTGAAGGGATGCAGGGTTCGTTTTCACTGGCGAATAGAGTTCCATTCAGACATGATTTTATTTTACAATCGCAATTTAGGGCTCACAGAAAGTCCCCAGTGCGATCAGCAACATACTCGAATCAGCTTACCTGAAAAGCGGGATCCTGGACTGTCTCGTTGTAAACCTTCTCGAGATTATCCAAAGCGGCCATGAGGGTCTCTGGAACGTACTTGCCGCCGAACTGGCCATAGCGGCCGAACGAGTCAGGGCGGGCAAGATCCTTCATCTGGGGGGTTCAGAGGGTTTTACGAAGGAACGATAAGTGGCAGGTCAATGTTGAAGAGAATTCCGCTTTTTATGCAGCAGGAAGACCAATTTTATCCCAAAATAAGGGAATCGCGACGATCGGATGCGCAGCAGCTCAAAGGTAAATTGGAAATGTCAAGCCGCATTTGCTGCAGGATTAGGCTTACGGCACTTCTCTTTTCGCTGTTCTCGACCTCAATGAATCATCGGAGATGCCTGATGACTAAGTTGAATGACTTTCGCTGGCTACTCAAAACGATAATAGAAAACATCTTGAGACCTGTCTTCTGGATTCTCCGTAGTGATGACCTAAGGACTACGAAAGGTCTACCTTTGGTGAGTCAGCAGCCGCTGGCTTGATCTCCGCTACAGCCCTGACCTTCGCCGTCCCGCGAACGCTCTTCGCGAGCTTGCTAAAACTAGCGGAGTGGCTCACGGGTTGCCATCCCACGGTTCGCCGTGAGCTGGACGCGGACAGACCAGACTGACACGTTGACAATGCAGCAGCACGGACCGCAGGCGCTTCAATGGCCGCCATGATAGTGTTCGGAAGGGAAAGACGCTTCTTGAACACTAAAGGGGCTGAAGATCACTACGCGGATGCCACTCTAGCAAGGACGAAGCTGCAAGCGCTCTTAATTGCCGCCAAACTCGGCTAGCAATGACTTCGAGAAATACAAAGAAATGGGTAAGTGGAGAAGAAATAGGGGAAGAGCTGCTTTCCAAAAATGCTGCTGTGCACTGCAGTTGGGGAGGAAAGAGCGGGGGGGGCGGAAAACGAGGGAGTTGGGGGAGCTTGGGGGACGGTTTGTGGGGAGTTTGGGCGCATAAATGGTTCAACAACAGAAAGCCACGTCAGAGCAACATCAGTGTGATTGTCAATCAGCAAAAATACTGCTGACCAATCAGAGGAGCCTCGCTTTCGACAATTCTCTTGGTTTTGCCCCACGTCTCGCCAGTAAACTCATACTCTTCGCATGGCTCCAATCTGGTTTCGCCTGCTTAGCGAAATATTTTCTGAAAGCCTTTCTGAGCATGTATGTAGTGGTGGGGGGGTGCTGCTGCACCAATCATGGGTGGGGATCTGCCTGACATCCCCAAGACTGGCCGTCTAGAAGTCAGATTTGGTAGAATCTGTGTTGTTGAAGTTGAGAGGATCGACGGTTCGTATGTTTCCAGATTGAATTTGCTCCACCCAACCGATAGGATTCACACTAGGAAAAGCTTGGGAATAGACTTGGATCCAGGAAGGCATAATTCACTTATGTAATGCAAGTAGCATACTATCAGGCTTGCCTTTTATAGGAGGCCCGTGAACCCGCAGTGGGAAGAGCTGTTTTAAGATCCCATCAAGCAGTATTGTTTCTGTGCTCAGGCGATGATACTAGAAGAATAAGCCACAATGGCGAGGCAACGGAAACCGATAAGGACTAACAGTGGAAAGAAAGGAGGACGCTTAGCGGCTTTCAAATGCTGCATGATATCGCTTGCACTGATTGCGATCGTGTGCATTCCTCTAGGTTACTGGAGAATCCATAGACGAGGTGAGCTTTCACTGGACTGCCCTGGACTTATCTGCATTTTAGATCGGATATTAGCTGGAACGATAATGTACTTCCCTATTTCTGGTTTGTGGTCTCAGGTCAATTAGCAGCAGAAGCTCTATCGTCTAGACGCAGCCTAAACGAGGTAATTACGGCATTGCGAATTTACCACGATATACAAGCAGCTGACGTTTCTGGCTTAGAACCTCGTCAACAGTCCACTGATTTGAAAATGTTGCCGAGCGTTTCCTTTTGCAGGAACCTGTTTTGAACCCTACAGACTTATTTCAAGGTGAAGCTTCATTCAGTTACTTACTTGACGCTGTTTTGCATGCAGAATGTGCTGCTATTCTACTCCCAAATGTTGGCACTCCATCGCAATGCGGGTTGCGTCTACTTCTTGATTTCTCAACATTGTCCTTGCAACTTTCCTAAATCTTGTCCCCCTGCTAACCACGTGACTTTAAATTCGCAGAATCTTCGCACGTTGACGCTCGACGGCCTGAAATTCATTCTAACGATGCGTCTGGAGGCGAATCTTTCGTGTTAACAGAACGCCAGAACTCAGATGCAACTGACAGACCTACCTTTAGTAAAGCTTCGGACGAAGTAAATGCTGACAACGATGACGTCCAAGGGCAGAACTTTGACTCATCGGAAGATAGAAAGACTCTAAGTTCCGAGTCAGGTGGTGATGGTGGTTTTGGCGGTGATGGTGGCAATAGAGGTGGTGTGGCTGCTGAAAGTGGTGGTGCTGGGGGTGATGATGGTGTTGATGCTGGTGGTGGAGATGGAGAGAGCAGTAGCTTACATTCAGCCAGCAATGATGCTAAGGCGGATGCCAATGGCCACGAAGAATTGGAAGATAACCAGCGGAAAAGGCCGCTAGATTTGGGGATTCAGATGGTTCCAGAACGTGCGGACGGTGCGGATGGCGATAGAGAGAGGAGCTTGGAGACGAATGGTGCAGAGAAGGAGGAGAGTGATGGGGAGGATGGAGCCACGGACGAGGAGAGTGAGGATGGCGGGAAGAAGAAACGGAAGAGAAAAAAGAAGAAAAAGAAGAGACCTTCCAAGAAGAGGACAGGAAACAGACGTAAGTGCTTCAACTCTTCTTCTGCTCATTTACCAACGGCTTTCTTCTCCCTTGCCACTCCCTATAATCTCAAGAATTGTCATCAGTGAAGCTCGCTTCGTCCCTTACTGGACATACTCGCCCAGTCCACGTTACTGAATAAATGAGGCAGAGCGTAATTAGTCACATGATCTTCTAAGCCGCAATCCACTTCCTCAAAGTCTCAATAACTACTTCCCGTTCCCCTGATACCCCTCCCAACCCTCAAAATAGCTTGCGAGGTTGACTACTTAGAGAGTGGAGAGAGCGTGCAAGTACCAGACTTGGAGGGACCCAACCCCACAACCCCTCACTACGTCACCATGGAGCATCCCCCTGCTGCCGACTCCTCCTCCTCTTCCTCCTCTGCGCTCAGCCTCCTCGGCCGCTCCTCCAACACGTGGGCCCCACGCTTTGCTGGCCACCAGACGTGGCGACAGCGCGCTGACTCGTTCCGAGCTGGCAGGGCTGACTGGCCGCCAGAGGCGCAGGTGCACTGCGGCTTTGTGCAGTCGCCACCCGGCTGGCCGGGGACGGGGTTTGACATCTCCAAGGCGGATCAGATGTACTTGGAGCAGTGCCGCATTGCAGTCGTCTCGGCTATCTTTGCAGACTGGGACCACCTCAGGCTGCCTCAGCGCTCCAAGGTGAGACCTCTGAAAGGCATGCTCTGTATGTTTGTGCTAATTTCAGACGAGGCATCAGTGGAGGGGCTGGACGGGTCGAGGAGAACATCTTCCCGCCATGCCAAAAGGCAACGTGGGATTCCAGTGGCTGTCTCTAGGTGGTTCGACTAAAGCCGCTCTCCCTCTCTCCCTCTCACTGCCCCTCTCCAGATCTCCGTGACAGCCAAGCGCAAGGCGTGTTTTGTGATATTCGTGGACGAGCAGACAGTGAGGGGGCTGTACAGGGACAACCTCATTCCCGATGCTAACAGCAAGGTGGGGCTGTGGCGCGTGGTGGTGGATTGAAACGCCTCAATACGTCACCCCTCTCTCTCCCCCTCTCCAGATCTCTGTGTCAGCCAAGCGCAAGGCGTGTTTTGTGATATTCGTGGACGAGCAGACAGTGAGGGGGCTGTACAGGGACAACCTCATTCCCGATGCCAATGGCAAGGTGGGGCTGTGGCGCGTGGTCGTGGTGGCCCACCCGCCCTACTCGGACGCGCGGCGCACGGGGAAAATACCCAAGCTGCTCACACACCGCCTCTTCCCCAACGCCAAGTGAGTGTGTGGTGCGCCTTTGAGGTCGTGAGTTGAGGCCCTTCAGACGTGTGGTGTTGATGCAGTGCCTGTCGCTTTGATGGCTAGTGAGTGCATATTTAAGTGAGACGAATGCGAGCACATGGACGAAGTGAACCTGCTATCCTCATTGTTCTCTCTCTTCAGTACCACAGCTACCCCCTGCCACCACCTGTGACAGTACGACTGCTACCACTTGCCTCCACGCTTCCCCACTGTTGCCCGCCCAGGTATTCCATGTGGATTGACAGCAAGCTGCGGCTCTTTGTGGATCCTCTGATCATCTGTTGATCAATGTTTGCTATCCATTGTGGTGTCACCCTTCCCCCTGTCGCCCCCACTCCCCCATGTCGCCCCCAGGTATTCCATGTGGATTGACAGCAAGCTGCGCCTCTTTGTGGATCCGCTAGCCATCCTGGAACGGTTTTTGTGGCGGGGAGGGTTTGAATATGCCATTTCCAACCACTACGACCTGCACTGCGTGTGGGAAGAGGTGAGGAATGGAGGGCAGTGAAGAATGGTACAAGGTGAGAGTTTGGTTTGGGAGACATGGTGGTGAGACATGGAGATATTGAATCCGTGGGGCGATGAGGAGTTGTACTCTGTCCCGCAACAGGAGTGAGAGATTTAATCAAGTGTGCTGTGGCGTGCTGTTGCATTTTGTGGGATGACATGGCATGGCATGGTGTGGTATGGCATGGAACGCGTTGTATGGCTTGGCGCGGCATGTCATGGTCGGTGCATGGCATGAGTGGTGCACGGCATGAGTGGTGCACGGCATGAGTGGTGCATGGCATGGCATGGCATGGCATGAGTGGTGCACGGCATGAGTGGTGCACGGCATGAGTGGTGCACGGCATGAGTGGTGCACGGCATGAGTGGTGCATGGCATGAGTGGTGCATGGCATGAGTGGTGCATGGCATGAGTGGTGCATGGCATGGCATGGCATGGCATGAGTGGTCACTGGTCAGGTGGAGCGCAACAAGAAGCTGGGCAAGTACAACGCGACGGTCATTGACGAGCAGTTTGAGACATACAAGGCGGATGGGCTCACCATGTTCAACCCCTCTGACCCCAACAACCTGCTCATCAGCAGTGAGTGTGGACGCTTTTCAATTCATCTTTATGAATACAGGGCCAACGGGCATTCACCATGTTCCAGCGCTCCTGAGTTCACTCGAACCCCACCCCAAAGCTCTGTCAGCTCTGTCACACATCATGCCTCTGCTCTTTGCCCCCTGCTCCCCACCCTCTTGCTCTACCATCGCCCCCCCTATGCTCCCCGCCCTTTCCAGATGTGCCAGAGAGGGGGGGTGATCATATGGACGCACAATCAAGCTTCTCAATCCCTCATTTGATCCCCACCCCCTTGCTCTACCTCTCCCCTGTGCTCCCTTGCTCCTCCCAGACGTGCCAGAGGGGTCAGTGATCATAAGAGCGCACACAGCTGCCGCCAACCTGTTCTCGTGCCTCTGGTTCAACGAGGTGGACCGCTTCACCTCCCGCGACCAGCTCTCCTTCGCCTACACGTACCACAAGATGGCCCGTACCTCTCACCCGCTGAGGTTGAATATGTTCAAGGTGAGTCAATGAACGCAGTCAACGCTCAGCTAGTCGCAGCCAGCTCTCCTTCGCCTACACGTACCACAAGATGGCCCGCACCTCTCACCCACTGCGGCTGAATATGTTCAAGGTGAGTCCAGGCAGTCAGCCCAAGTCAATTAAGGGTCAAAAGTTGAGGATTGGAGTGTTTATGCGTAAAGGTGGGGCAATGGGGTCATGATGACAGTCAGCTTAGTCTCAACCTCTTTCCTGATGAATCAGACACAAGGTAACCACCCTTGGCGTCGAACGGCTGCATCGGACGTTGCTTCAACAGGGTTGCCTGATCTCCCTGGTGCATGAGCAGGCCTGTCAGCAGCAACTTGGTTATCCATGCGTGATTGTGCATTTTTTCATGTCTCCCCATTATAAGCCTCTATTTTGACCATCTCTGAAACGAGGCAGCATCACTTATGTATTACCCTTGATGAGTGTGAGCAGGACTGTGAGCGGCGGTCGTTTGTGAAGCTCTTCCACCACAAGGCTGAGGAGGCGGCACTCAAGCTGGAGCGAGGCAGGGCTAGGTAGTTGGTGGACTCGCTTCTGATTGGCAAAACCAAGTTCTGAATATTCTCATGTTTCTAATGTACACCATTGACCGGTGCGGCACTGAAAGAGAAATGTCTTCATGGCAGGTAATTTGGGTAGTAAGGGCGTATTCCTACGGCCTCCTATCAAGAAACCTCCTATCAAGATTGTACCTTTTGCCTGGTAAAAGTAGCGAGAGATTTTGGGTTTAGGGAATTTTCCAGTGAGAGCTTGATAGGAGGTTTTCTTGATAGGAGGATAGGAATACGCCCTAAAACCAAGCTTCCTTTCATACGGCACATGGAATACCAGAGAATGATCCGGAAGTACCAAGCAGTGAGACGTCTGTGAAATTCAGAGACAATATAGTCAACTCGTATCGAATCACAGATTGTCAACAACATGGTGACAGCGTGGCAGCCTGGTGTCGCAATGATGCATATCAGCACATTTCAGGTATGATGGCGAACTGAACCTGCAACTCAAGGAACGGCGTCGGCGGCATGCAACACAACAGATTCAACCTTTCCAGAACAGTGGCTCGATTTCTCCTGCAAATAACCACCCCAACCACAGGTGCACATCACGGCAGTTACCGGTAGTTGTAATGGTACTGTACGCCCATAGAACTCCTCGGATTCAATCAGCAGCCTCCCTGCAAATGACCTCTAAAGAGGTGACTCTAGAATCCACTCAACAATTGCCCTCCTCCACTCCCCTGCCTCCTTTCACCTCCCCAGTGTCGGTGTACACCTTGTGAACGAGGCCCAGCCAGAATGGCAGGCCTCCTTGCATCTGCCTTTGTGGCCTGCCCTTCTTCACTCCCCTCCCCGTCTCCCCTCCCCATCTCCCCTCCCCGTCTCCCCTCCCCGTCTCCCCTCCCCACCTTCAGTCCTTGGAATACACCTTCTTGCGAATCACCTCCATGCAGGTCTGCATGGTCCCGTCCTTCACCCACCATGCCACGCTCTCCTTCTCCCCATACACCTCCCGGCCCGCACTCCCCGTCCCCCTGCCCCCCTGCCCACGCCCCTCCTCTACATGTCAAAGCATCCCTCATCTTTTCTCCTTGGAATACACCTTCTTGCGAATCACCTCCAGCTGGGTCTGCATGGTCCCGTCCTTCACCCACCACTCCGCCCTACCCTTCACCAGTACCCCCCCAACCCAGCCCTTCCCCTCATCTTTTCTCCTTGGAATACACCTTCTTGCGAATCACCTCCAGCTGGGTCTGCATGGTCCCGTCCTTCACCCACCACTCCGCCCTACCCTTCACCAGTACCCCCCCAACCCAGCCCTTCCCCTCATCTTTTCTCCTTGGAATACACCTTCTTGCGAATCACCTCCAGCTGGGTCTGCATGGTCCCGTCCTTCACCCACCACTCCGCCCTACCCTTCACCAGTACCCCCCCAACCCAGCACTTCCCCTCATCTTTTCTCCTTGGAATACACCTTCTTGCGAATCACCTCCAGCTGGGTCTGCATGGTCCCGTCCTTCACCCACCACTCCGCCCTACCCTTCACCAGTACCCCCCCAACCCAGCACTTCCCCTCATCTTTTCTCCTTGGAATACACCTTCTTGCGAATCACCTCCAGCTGGGTCTGCATGGTCCCGTCCTTCACCCACCACTCCGCCCTACCCTTCACCAGTACCCCCCCAACCCAGCCCTTCCCCTCATCGTTTCTCCTTGGAATACACCTTCTTGCGAATCACCTCCAGCTGGGTCTGCATGGTCCCGTCCTTCACCCACCACTCCGCCCTACCCTTCACCAGTACCCCCCCAACCCAGCCCTTCCCCTCATCTTTTCTCCTTGGAATACACCTTCTTGCGAATCACCTCCAGCTGGGTCTGCATGGTCCCGTCCTTCACCCACCACTCCGCCCTACCCTTCACCAGTACCCCCCCAACCCAGCCCTTCCCCTCATCTTTTCTCCTTGGAATACACCTTCTTGCGAATCACCTCCAGCTGGGTCTGCATGGTCCCGTCCTTCACCCACCACTCCGCCCTACCCTTCACCAGTACCCCCCCAACCCAGCCCTTCCCCTCATCTTTTCTCCTTGGAATACACCTTCTTGCGAATCACCTCCAGCTGGGTCTGCATGGTCCCGTCCTTCACCCACCACTCAACGGTATCCTTCTCCCCATACACCTCCGAGCACCACTTCCGTTCTGCACCCTCTGCTCCCCTGACCATGCCCCCACCTTTCCCTTTCAGAGCATCCCTCATCTTTTCTCCTTGGAATAAACCTTCTTGCGAATCACCTCCAGGCGGGTCTGCATGGTGCCGTCCTTCACCCACCACTCAACAGTGTCCTTCTCGCCATACACCTCCGAGCACCAGTCGATGTCAGCGCCCCGCTTGTGCACGTTCTCAAACCGCTCGTGCCGCACCGACTCCACTGACAGGTCTACGCCTCCTGTTCTTGGATCAACTACCTCGCTCTCCCCCATCAAAAACACCTGCCAGGGCGGGCAGGGAGGTGAAGAGATGGGGAAAACGAGGTTGCTTTGCCGTGTTCCCTCTTGTGCACGTTCTCAAACCGCTCGTCCCCCATCAAGAACACCTGCCAGGGCAGGCAGCAAAGTGGTTGGTTTACAGGGGAGAGAGAGGTAAAAGTAAGGTCACTCTGTCTTGTCCAGTCCGCGCCCCTCTTGCGCACGTTTTTAAACCGCTTCAACCTCCTGCCCTTGGGTCGACCACCGTGCCATGTCTCTCCCACCTTACCTGTGACTTTTGAGTCGACTCAAAAGTCACCTAGTCGACTCAAAAGTCACCCCTCTTACGCACGTTCTCATACCGCTTCAACCTCCTGCTCTTGGGTCGACCACCGTGCCATGTCTCTCCCACCTTACCTGTGCTCGCAATCTCCTCACATCCAATTCTCACCTTGCCCGTGCTAGCCATGATGCATCGGTGCCCCTGGTACCGGTGCAGACGCTGGAATGGAATTCACATGTTTCACTGTGTCCCGCCAGGGAATGTATCGCTCTGTAAGGCAGCTTCTCACCTTGCCAGTGTTGGCCATGATGTATCGGTGTCCCCGGGTCCCCGGGCAGAAGTTGGCTTCCACGGGAGGGGCCATATTGATATGTAAGACATTATGTCCCACTATGCGTCCCCTCTGCTCACCTTGCCAGTGTTGGCCATGATGTATCGGTGTCCCCTGGTCCCCGGGCAGAAGTTGGCTTCCACGGGAGGGTCGCCCTCAGAGCACAGGAAGTGTGGCCAGTGCCACAGCATGCGCTCCTGGGGCATGAGGCCCTTGGTGCGACTGCTCACCTGAGAAAGGCATATAGACAAGGGTGGGAGGGGTGGACAAGACGGCATGTGGCATGGGGCATGGGGCACGGGGCATGGGGCACGGGGCATGGGGCACGGGGCATGGGGCACGGGGCATGGCGCACAGGGCATGGGGCATGGGCATGGGCATGGGCATGGGCATGGGCATGGGCATGGGCATGGGCATGGGCATGGGCATGGGGCTTGGTGGCGCGTCGCGGTGCGAGGTGGTGTGTGGCGGTGTGAGGCGGTGCTGCAGCACAGTGCAATGCTTACCTTTGTTCCCATAGATAGCTTGGTGCCCCAGACTTGACAGCCATACGATAGCCAGGGCACGTTGCAATGCTGGGAGAGGAGCTCCGTGAGGGAGGGCGGTGGGAGGATCCGGTGGAACGTGGTACAAAGAGGAGCAGTGTGGTGCAGTGCGGTGCTCACCTTGGTTCCCATGCACAGTTTTGTGCCCCAGACTTGGCAGCCATACGACAGCCAGGGCACGTTGCGGTGCTGGGAGAGGAGCTCCGAGAGGGAGAAAAGTAGCACAGTTTGGTAGAATGTAGTGAAGTGCGGTGCAGCGTGGTACAGTTCGGTGCTCACCTTTGTCCCCATGCACAGCTTGGTGCCCCAGACTTGGCAGCCATAGGACAGCCAGGGCACGTTGCGATGCTGGGAGAGGAGCTCCGAGAGGGAGGGCGGCGAGATGATGTGGAGAATGTCGTCCCAGTCCAGGAATAAGACCCACGAGGAGGTGAGTGTGGAGCGGTAGAGACAGTCGTGCATCGCCATGAGCTGATAGGAAGGAGTGGGGCGTTGACGGAGGGGGTAACAAAGATGGGGGGAGCATGAGGCGAGATGATGTGGCGGAGGATGTGGTACCAGTCGAGTTTTGAGGCGCCTCAAAACTAGACGGAGGGGGTAACAAAGATGGGGGGAGCATGAGGTGAGATGATGTGGAGGAGGATGTGGTCCCAGTTGAGGGAGGAACACAACCCATGAGCCGATGGGGGAGAAGGGGGGAGAAGGGGGGTGAAGGGGGAGGGGAGGAGAGGGGTGTTAAAGGGGGTGAAAACAGGGGGGGGAGAACGAGGCGACATGATGTGGCGGAGGATGTGGTCCCAGTTGAGGAACACGACCCAACCCATGAGGAGGTGAGAATGGTTTGAGCTGTGAACAAATGAGTTGATGCATGCCCGAAGGCGGGGGGCAGAGAGAGGGTGGTGGGGTGTAAGGCGGGAGGAGACGTGCTACAGGGTGAGAGGCTCTTAACCCCCCCTTAAACCCCAGAACTCACCTTCCCCTCGGCTTGAACCCTAAAGCGCACCACGTCTCTCGTCGACAGCACTTATAAGGAATTCTCATTCCAAATCTCCCTTCCCTTGCGCTTGACACCACAGCCTCAGAAATCACCTTCCCTTGCGCTTGACACTACAATCTCAGAACTTACCTTCCCTTGATCTTGAAACCACATTCCAGGACTCCCATTCCCTGCCTCTGCTCACCTTGCCGTGAGCCAGAACCTCATAATGCACCACGTCTCGCACCGGCAGCACTTCTAGAAACTTCACTTCACGCAGCGTCGCCCGCTCCCCCCGCCGCCCCCTAAACCCAGACTCACCTTTCCCTGCGCTTGCACCCTGAAGTCACCACGTCTCTCATAGGCAGCACTTCCAGGGACTTCTCATCCAGAAACCCCTTCACTTCACGCTGCACCCAGCCAGTTCCCACTTAACCAGAGACCTATGCACTTGCCTTGCTTCCCGAATCACCTTTCCCTGCGCCTGAACCCTGAAATGAACGACATCCCTCATCGGCAGAACTTCCAGAAACTCCTTCCATTGCACTTCAGCCCGCAATCCCTGGTCTCACCTTCCCCTGCGCTTGCACTCTGAAGTGCACCACGTGCCTCACCCTCTGTCTCTGCTCACCTTGCCTTGCGCTTGCACCCTGAAGTGCACGACATCCCTCATCGGCAGCACCTCCAGAAACTTCTCATCCAGAAACTCCTTCACTTCACGCAGCGCCGCCCGGTCCACGCCGCCCGCATCGTACCCAACCACGTGCTCCGCTCCGTACGCCCGGTGCACATGCAGCCAATCCCGGAGCCGCGCCCCGTCCACAGGGTCGGCAATCGGGTACGTGCAGAAAGAGGCTCGGTACGGGTGGGTCGTGGACAGCAGCGCGTGGGTCGGGGAGTCCCGATCCTCCCGGTACAGGATTATATGCTCGTTGTCGATTCCGACCACGAGGTAACCGCCGAGGTTGGTAACCACTTTGCCGCGCAGGTCGCAGCGGATGATGATGGTCTCGTACTGCTCGTGGGGTTCATCGCGTGGGTAGTGCAGCGATGGGTCGCCCAGTATTGTCACCCCGTCCGCCCCGTGCCACGTGCACGACGTGATCTTAACGAAGGGGGGAGAGAGGGGAAAGGGGGAGGGGGAGGGGGAGGGGGAGGGGGAGGGGGGGGGGGGGGGGGAGGGGAGGGGGAAAGGACGGAGGGGAGGAGGGAAGAGGATAGGGAGTGGGGAAGGTTTTGCAATGTTTGTGGGAAGGAGGGAGAGAAAGCGCAGGTCGCAGCGGATGAAGATGGTTTCGTACTGCTCGTGCGGCTCGTCCCGCGGGTAGTGCAGCGATGGGTCGCCCAGTATTGTCACCCCGTCCGCCCTGTGCCACGTGCATGATGTGATCTTAACGAGGGGGGGGGAGGGGGGAAGGGGGAGGGGGAAGGGGGGGAGAGGGGATGATGATGCTTACTGCTAGTTGGAGGGAAGGAGGGAGGGATGGAGGAACGGAGGGTGGGAGGGATGGAGGAACGGAGGGTGGGAGGGGGATGGGAAACGGAGGATAGTGAAGGCGGAATGGAGGGGACACGGGGGGACTCTGGGCGTCACACTGCATGCCGATTTCGGCAATCACGCGCTCCTGTGCACCCATTCACCCACCCACCCACCCACCAGCCCGCCAACCTCCCGTGCAAATGCGCCTCCCCCACGTCCCACCCGTGACTGACCCCACCTTCCCGTGTCCACATTCTTGTGATATTTATATTTGCTGTTACCACATTCCCCTGTTCCCACCTCCCGCTGCTACCCACTCCCCATTTCCCCCCTATAACCCCACTTCCCTCTGATTCCACCACACCATCGCCTGCCTCACCTTCGTTTGAGGCAGCAGCAGCGTTGCACCGAACCCTACCCCAACCACCACCATCCCCTGTTACACCGTCCCCGGCTCCCACTCCCAATGCTCCCTCCTCCCCCTGCTCTTACCTTTCTGTGAGGACGCAGCAACGTCGCGCCGAACCCTACGCCCACCACCACGCCTTCCTGGATTCGATACGCGGACCACTGGACCAATCCGTACGTGCCACGTCCCACCATGCGGTGCTGCCGCCAGTTCTCGTTGCGCACGCCCTCCATGTGCCCCCACGCAGTCAGATTCAGATCCGCCTGGAGCGACGCGCACTGTTCCTTCACGTCGGATTTGATTCGCCGCACGTTCATGTAGATCGACAGGAGAAGGTATTGCACGGCGAACAGCAGCGTGATGATCAAGATCAACGGCCCAAATTTGCGGATGAATTTCACCACGTGCGGCGGGATGGGAGGTAATTGCCCGACCCCGGGGATCACTATAGCGGGTATGCCTCCGAGAGATCCCGGGTTCGATCCCCGGTGTCGGCCTCCACCTCCGCGGTATTGCCCCGGCCGTTGTGGGGGTCCCGCGCCGGGACCTGAGGGAGGTGGTATCCGGTGTAGGTCGTACTCGCCGACGGGCTGTACTGGCTGCATTTTAGAATGTGGTCGGGTGTGTAACGAACCCGAGTTGAAAGTTAACGTTTTACGCACTCTCCGCTTCCCCGCAGCTTGTGCCTCCTAGGCTTAACGGGACTCCCGGAGTAGGCTGGGCACAAGGAGCAAGCGAGAAGAGGTTATACACGTATGAGCAAGCATCCACGTGGGTTTGAGATGTATCGCTGTTCGGAGAATGGGACGTTGTCTGACGACGTTCCTAGTCAAGGCTCGAAACCGCCAAATGCGTTCAAATTCTTGAATTGGAAATAGTAACCAGTGGAGATAGCAGATAGAACTGGTCCCAGTCAGCAGTGTCAGAATAAAAAACCCCACTTGCAGCCAACAACCAGGTTGTACTCTCTATTAAGCTGTGCTGCGTCCCGGAGGTAGCCTGGACATTACGTTCTGGTTTCCAAGATGCATTGATTCGTATGTCTTATATACATATCGAAGAGTTTCTGTTAACAAAGATACGATGGAATTGATCTGCCGGTCAACGAACATTCGCGACGAAGCCAACAGAAATCTCGCACCGTCGAACCGAATCACCTTTCCCAAACACTCACGTCTACCTGCTGATAAATTCGCCGAACCGCGAAACCAAGCACAGAGCAGTCATGTCAGACCAGCATCACACGCAGTTGGCGAAATCGGCTCTTTCTTCGAGTTTTCGCGAATTTGACTATCTCCCAACAGACGTACCAGACCTATGCCTTCAGGCGTGGAAAACGAGGCCCGAACCTGAACCCACAAGAAACCAGCTCCAATGGCAGGCGGATTCAAGTGAACGCTGGCTGCCGAACCTAACAACAGAGACCACCGCCAAACCCAAACCACCGCCTCTTGGCTGGGTGGTGGTAAGGTAAAAGAGATGAAAGAGGTTCACCTTCACCACCACTCCCTCAGCTTCATTCCTAGATTTCTTCATGTCAGAAGTCAGGACAGTTCTTTCTTCAGAAGTTATGCGTTTTCCAGCAGTCTGCAATTAGTGACTAGTCTCAGTCCAGAAACCTCAGTAGAATCTGTATAAGAGAGTCATTGTGATTGTCAAGGCTGAGAACCTTATTATTTGCTTCGATATAGTTCAGTCTCGAGCATACTTTAGTTTCTCCGTCTGTGAGATTCTAAACAGCCGTATTAAGAATGAAGCCACTTCCTCCTGATGACGTCGGCCTGGCCAAGATGCGGCTCGTCGTCCTACCTAAAGCCGAAGCCGACGCACTAGACGAACTAATTGACGAAGCGTTAGACGCAGCGGACCCGGAGGGAGAGAGCGAGAGAGCATGGCGGCGCTACCAGGAGGACCTAGCCAATGAGCTGTCCGCCATGGCCAAATCCTCTGACCACCTCTGGCATTTCTTAGACGGCCTTGGCCGGCGTTTGCTGGAGAAGAAACAGGCTCAGGCGGAGGGCCAGCACCGGCCGCTGAAACGATCTCCCGGGTCCATTTCCCGAGGTACGGAACCGTAGCTGCATCAGGCGTAACACACCATTCGTTAGGAAAATCTGCTGTTGCAATCGTAGCTTGTTTCGGTGCCGCAGCAGCAACGGAACGGAGTTTTCTCGGTTTAAAACCGGAGTCCCAAACAGCCCGAAACTGCCTCAACCTTCCTAACTTCGGTTGGGTGTGACCCAGTTGATACCGAGCTCTCCTCGCAAATTGTTGGGACGATTTTCGCCAAGCGAAATTACTGTTCAAGCGAGGACGATAGCGGTGACAACTTCGCAAACACATTTGCAGCCCGTCCGAAACAGTCAGCGAACGAGTTCTGACGTAGCATTCCAGATCTGGTTACACTCGCGACTTTTTCATACTTAGCGACCCGCTACCACTGATTTCGACACCACCCTGGCTCGCGAGCCAGTCACCTTTCTCTCCCCTTTCAACCTTCCTAACTTAGAAACTCTTGGACCTCCGGTTTTAAGTGCATCATGTCTCAGCTTGGATACTCCTGAAAAATATCAGTTGCGCTATTCATCCTCCTGCAGACGCAACTGCTTTTTGGCATTCTCGTTTTAACCCTATTTTCCCATCACTCATTCATCCAATTATCCGTTCATTTCCAGGCATTCTGCTTCTCCACGGGTTACTCCGGTCCTGCTCCGCCAATCAGGAGTCCGACGTCTGCAGCATGCTTCTCTCAACGTCAACCCGCAAGGACCGACCTTCCCTCGACCTCCCTCGTCTAGCCCGCCGCCTCCACTACACCGTCCCCGCTCCTTCCACTCCCTCCTCCGCCGCTGCTGCCACGTCAGCCTCCGCCGGTGATGTCAGCGATGACGCGGCGCTGGCCCGGTTCGCGCACGCGTACTGCGTGTATCTGCAGGAGCGGCTTCGGTGCGTGGACAGCATAGGGCTCCAGGTGTTCCGCACGGGAGCGAAATCCGCAACCGGGGAAGCCAAAAACGGGGAAAAAGTCGCTGAAAACGGCGTTCTGAGGAATTCGGAGAGTGATTCGGAGCGGGGGTTGGGTGAAGCGTACTGGGTGCAGCTTCAGTCCGACGCTGTGCTGCACCAGGTGGCGTCGCTCCAGCAGCTGCAGCAACGGCTAGTTGACTGCGCCGCCGCTGCTCCCAGCGGCCTCGGCACAAGCTTCGCAGCACGGAAAACCGCAGCGGGAACAGCGGGGGGAGCAAACGGGGGAGCAGGCGGGCGTGGGAGGGAGAGGGAGGGGGAGGGGGAGAGGGAGAGGCGGCGGCGGGTGGTGCGGTATGTGCTGGAGGTGGCGTTGGATGAGAGCTTCCGGGTGTATGGGTGGGTCAACTACGGGCTCATTGAGCTCATGGAACGACTCAGTCGGTTCCCCAAGGAGCAGGTGAGAGCCACGGGAAAGTTCTGCCGCTGCAGGTCTTCTGTCTTGTCACTGCCCTCGCGAAATCATTCCTCACATCTTCCTTTTTGTTGGCGCTCCCGTGCCCTCCCATGCGCTCACATACCCACCCGTGCTCTCCCTTGCTCTCCCTTGCTCTCCTGTGCTTCCCGTCGCCCCGCACCCAGGCCATGCGCGCTCTGCAGGTGTGCCAGTTCTCGGTGCAGCAGGGGAAGGCGTTATCTGACATGTACACGCGCCTGGGCGCAGCAGGGGTGGGCGCAGGTGTGACCTTCCCCTCTGTGGCCGTTCTGGGGGACGGCGTTATTGGTAACCTCTCCGCATCCGTTGCTGCAGGCCCGGATGCTGCCATGAGCGTTCCGCCCTCTCCCATGCACCCTTCTGCTGGTGGTGGTGCTGCTGCTGCTGCTGGTAGTGGTGGATTCAGCAGAGCCGGGAGTTTTGCTGATGGCAGTGCTGCTGGTAGTGCGAGTTTCAGAGGTATGGGACAACAGCAGCAGCAGCAAGTGCAACATCAACAGCAGCCGAATCTGGACAGGAGTGACTCTCGCCGTTCTCTTGCTAACACCATGGTGCTCTTCACTCCTGTCTCGGGCCAACAACCTGGTCATCCCCACTTCCAGCACCAGCACCAGCAGCAGCAGCACCAATACCCGCACCAGCAGCAGCATCAGCAGAATCAGCAGCAGCAGCAGCAGATGGGTTATCAGCACCAGAACCCTCAAGGCCCCAGCCCGTACTACTCCTACAGCGCCTCTCAACCACCACCCCCCCAGCCCGCCAGCCCTGCGCTCTCCCCTGCCGCCCAGCAGCAGCAGTTTGACGCCACCGCTCAAGCGCTCTTTGGGTCGTATTCCTCGCAGCCCTCTCCTGCTGCTACCTCTAATGCAGCCGCGCAGATGAAGTACCTCACGAATGGTGCGCAGGGATGGGAGCGTGCGCTTGATGATACAGCTGGTGCTGCAGGTGGTGCTTCGGGTGGTGCTTCAGGCGGTGTTGCAGGGTCGTACATGCCTCCGAGGCAGCAGGGGCAAGGAGGACAACATGCACCCCATCTTTATCATCAGCATCATCAGCATCAGCAGCAGCAGCAGCAGCACCAGCAGCAGCAGCAGTGGGCACTAGCCGCTCCCGGGCTAAATGGTGGAAGCGGTACAGCTGGCAGCAGCCCATTGGATCAACCACCCATGACCGCCTTTTCTGGGGGCTGGGACCAGCTGTTACTGGACAGCCTGTATGAGGCGGCACAGGCACAGAAACACGCCTCTGATGCCACAGCAGCCAGATTGGGAGGAGCAGGAGGCAGTGGTGTAGGCACTGGTGCTGCTGGTGGTGGTGGTGGGATTGGTGGTGCGAATGGGGATCCTTTTGCAGCTTCTGCTGCGGTCCCGCCGCCGCCGTATGTCCAGATGGCACTTAGAGCGCAGCAGCAGCTGGCTATGGAGCTTCAGAGGCGCATGCTGAGTCAGCACGCGCGGTTTTTTGCGGCTGCGAGGTCGGCGGGAGGGGCGGATGCGATGTTTGCGGCGAGCTGGATGGTGCAGCAGAAGCAGATGCAGGTGTATCAGCAGCAGCAGTACATGGCGCGGCCGGGCGGGGTTGTTGTGGGGCCTTTGGGGCCGTATAACTGGAATGGAGTTGGTGTGCAATATGGGAACGTGCTAATTCCATTCTGAAGATATTGCCTGAACCTTGGGACCATGAATCTATCTGCTCTTCCGTGTGTGACTGTTTCGTTATAAAGATGAAACGCTACTGAACACCTCTTTCCATCCGTCTCACGAGTACGAGGAGAAACAATAGCGGGGTTGGCGTGAAGATTCGAAGAGATTCGGGTTACGAGTCTCTTTCGCCAGCTGTCGTCCTTCGTCCGGGTTCCACGCCACACATCCGCAAATTCGGGACAATCCGCGCCCAATCAGAAATTTCGAACCACCTCGTCCAAGGTCGGATGCATTCCATTCTCGAAACATCGAACCGCAATGTGCGCTTCGTAATTTGGAAATTGGAATTCGGAAGTTTCAAGGTCAACCAAAATTAGCATTTCTTGAGCTGCTGCTTCTAGTTAGGTCCCAAAACAACCCTCTCCGAAGCTCCTTCCCATTAGTTCCGCCTTTCTGTCTCTCCGTCCTGATTCCTCGACTAGTATCGACCCACCCATCATTCCTCGCTTATTTCGGACGCATTTCTTTTTTTTTTTCCCCCTTCCACACCAGCACCTGAGGTCGACTTATACCTGACACACCTTAGTTATTTTCAGCCTAGCATCATGAGGTCACGTAGCGTCCCTGTCAGCCTGTGGACGAGGCTGTCGTGGCCCAACCACGCGCTCATCCCGCGCAGCACGCTCGCTCTCGCCATATTCTCGCTCTCGCTCACCTACATCGCCCTCAGCGCCTCCCTCCTCGCCTCCTCTTTCATCCGCTCCTCTCCCCCCCCTGCCTCGCCCAGCAGCACTCCTCATCATGATGCGGCCTCGTCTGGCAACACTCTCCGTGGCCCCGTGCCGCGCGCTCGTCACAGCACAGTTGCAGATTCAGGTATGAGCGGAGATAAGCCAGGTACGACGGAGATTCTTGGAGGCATGGACGGATCAGGGGTAGAGATTCTACCTGGAGACGCGACGACCCTGGCAGGTGGAGAAGAGGAGAACAATCCCCCTGAGAAATCAAAGAAAATTGTCCCTGGAAAAGTGGAGAAGAGTGGTTTCAGGTGGTACGAGTGGGTGCTGGGGGCTTTTGCAAGCCCTCTGGGAGCTTTCAGCGAGCTGAGGGTTCCGTATCATGCAGAGCAGAGTGTCCTGCCGTCTGGTCAAGGCTCCTCGGGTTCGAGACGAGAAGGGCGGGTGGTGGTCTCTGCTACCAATGGCTTGGAGGCGGTGATTCGTGGTGATGATGATAGTGATGATGGTGGTGGTGAAAGGGACGGAAGGGGGGAGGTTGTTGCAGGATCGCAGGAGAAGGAGAAGATGGCTGATGAGGAGGAGAGAAGGGAGGAAAAGGAGACGGAGGAGGAGCAAGGGGAGACGCAGCTTCGGCACGTCATGTTCAACATAGCCTCGTCCCGAGCCACCTTTCCGTACCGCCGAGCCTACCTGCGCAGCTGGTGGCGCCCGGGTGGGCAGGAGGAGGAGATCCGCGGCTACGTCTGGGTGGATGACGTGGCAACGGTCCCGCATGACGTGGCGGTGGACCCACCTGTGAGGGCCAGCACCAACACGAGTCACCTGAGCTACAGGGGCACGGGGCTGAGGGAGTATCTGCGTTTGGCGAGAATCGTGGTGGACGCGTACAGGCTGGGGGAGAAAGATGTGCGCTGGTGAGTGCCTTGCACACATGGAGCACATGGGGTTAGTGTGAAGCAGCGACACGAGTCATTTGGGCTACTGCCACCTGAGGGAGTATTTGCGCCTGGCAAGAATTGTGGTGGACGCGTACAGGCTGGGAGAGAAAGATGTGCGCTGGTGAGTGTGGTATGCTCCTGTGCTGCTGTTTGCTACCTATACAGTGAGCCACCTGACTTACCGGGGCACGGGGCTGAGGGAGTATCTGCGGCTGTCGAGGATCGTGGTGGACGCGTATAGGCTCGGGGAGAAGGGCGTGAGATGGTGAGTTCGTATCGGATGCTTTGTGTGTGTTCAATGGTGGGTGGAGCCACGCGAGCTACTTTTGAGGCGCCTCAAAAGGCACGGCGGGGCACGGTACACTTGGAGTGCCTGCCTGCGATTGGCACTGCTCTAATCCGAGAACGCCGGCGAAACACTGTACCCCATACCGCCCCCTCTCTCTCTCTCCCCTCTCGCCTTTCGCCCCCACCTGTAGGTACGTGATGGGCGACGATGACACGTTTTTCAGCCCCCGCGCCATCACAGCCTTCCTCGGACAGTACGACCACAAGACACCCCTCTACCTGGGAGCACCCTCTGAGACGCACTACCAGAACGTGGCCAACACGCACGGCATGGCGTTCGGTGGCGGGGGATTTGCCATCTCGGCAGCGCTGGCGCGCATGCTGAGTGATGGCGGCGCCATGGATGCGTGTTTGGAGCGACACGCCACAGTTTGGGGGAGCGACGAGCGGGTCGCTAGCTGTGTTGGCGAGCTGGGGGTGAGTGCACGTTGGGGTATGTGTGAATGCAAGCTACCGGAACGTGGCCAACACGACACGCACGGCATGGCGTTCGGAGGGGGTGGGTTCGCCATCTGAGGTGACTTTTGAGTCGACTCAAAAGTCATCTCAGCAGCGCTGGCGCGCATGCTGAGCACAGATGGGGCCATGGAAACGTGTTTGGAGCCGCATGCAGCTGTGTGGGGGAGCGACGAACGTGTTGCCAGCTGCGTGGGCGAAGTGGGGGTGAGTGAGTGCTTGCACTTGGAAAGCAGGGAATGTAGAGCACGCAGAGGCTTCGTGTTTTGAGACGTCTCAAAAGACGTCTCAAGAGACGTCTCAAAACACGCTGGGGGTGAGTGAGTGAGTGCTTGCACTTGGGAAGCAGGGAATGTAGAGCACGGCACGCAGAGGCTTCGTGGGGCGTCTCTTGTTTGACGCCCCTCGCCATCTCGGCAGCGCTCGCACACATGCTGAGTGAGGGTGGGGCCATGGACGCGTGCTTGGAGCGGCATGCTGCAGTGTGGGGGAGCGACGAGCGCGTGGCAAGCTGCGTGGGAGAGCTGGGGGTGAGTGAGTGCTTGCGTGTTGGGAAGGGCCAATGGATGTGTGGCATGGCAGGGCACGTGCCATTTCCTCTTGCCCGTGCCTCTTCCTCCACCAGGCCTTTCTTTCTCCTTAGAATCCTCTCCCGTCCCCCACCAGGTCGATTCGGCCGGCAGTTTTGTCATGGCACAATCCCCCTCTCATTCCCCTCCCCACCTCACTGCCCTCCCTCCTCCCCCGGTTGTCCCTCGCTTCAACCCCGGGCTTCCACCAGGTAGATCTGGGCGGGAGTCTCTTCGGGCTCCTCATGACGCACCCCCTGCACCCGCTGCACCCCCTGAACCCGCTGCTTTCCCCCCAGCCCCACACCTTGACTCCATCCCCCCTCTGCCCTCCCTCATCTCCCAGGTGTCCCTCACTCCAACGCCAGGCTTCCACCAGGTAGATCTGGGCGGCAGTCTCTTCGGCCTCCTCATGGCGCACTCGCTACAGCCGCTACTCTCCCTGCACCACCTTGACTTCGTTGACCCGCTGCTGCTGCCAGCTGGCATTGCTGACCGGGCGGACGGGCTCGCCACGCTGGCAGAGAGGATCCGGCCGGACCCGATTGGGTTTGCACAGCTGGCAGTGTGCGGGGATGGGTGAGTGAGAGGAGGAAGAAGCGGTTGGAGAGTTGAAAGTACCTCTGCGTTGGAATTATGTGCTCTCAACACATTTTGTCACATTGCCCAACATCTAACAGCCCGCGTGCATAGCATGTAACAGCGTTCTATCATGTTTTAATATATATATTCGCATGCACGCACGCCTTTCTGTGTCGCTTCTGTTACAGCTCTCCTGCCCTCTCCCCTCCCCAGAACCCTTTCCTCCTTCCTCCAATGCACCTCTCTCCCATGCAGTTCCCAGTGGACAGCAGCCATATCGTGGGGCTTTGCCGTCAGGTTCTATTTGCTCGTTGCACCACTCCTTCTTCGAGCTGCTGTATATGCATGTGGTAACATTGTAACAGCACTGGTTGTCCTTTCGTTCCTTCTTGCTCCATTTACCTCCCTCCCATGCAGTTCCCAGTGGACTGCAGCCATATCGTGGGGCTTTGCCATCAAAATCTACCCCGGGGTATGTTTGGCTGGAAAAAAAGAAAAAAAGTATACATTAAATACGCCTCAAACATAGCCTGGCCTCTAAAATCTTACGATGTTTGAGGCGCATAGTAATTAGTGTCATACCCGGGGGTACATTAAGTTCAATACCTCCTTGGCCAGGATTTTCAGTACTGTTGCACGTTCACATATGCATCTTGCCTCTTGCTTTGAGCTGTGTTCTCCAGTATACTCGTTTCTTCCCCTTGCGATTCTTTCATCCCTTCTTTTCGCACCTGGCGCGGCTGCTACCAGACCTGGCGAGGACAGCAGAGCGAACGTTCTACTCGTTTGTGGGGAGTGGTGCAGGCCAGAATGCATCGTCACTGCATTGCCACACGTTCTCCTTGTGTCATCTCTCCCCCCTTTCCATTATCTCTCCCCACACCAGGCGCGGCTGCTGTCAGAGCTGGTGAGGGCAGAGCGAACGTTCTACTCCTTTGTGGGGAGTGCCATTCTTTCCGCATTCTCCTTCCTTCTCCTTGTGTGCTCCCCCCTGCATGCACCCCCTCTCACCCCTGATGCCCCCCCCGCAAGGCGCGGCTGCTGTCAGAGCTGGTGAGGGCGGAGCGAACGTTCTACTCCTTTGTGGGGAGTGCCATTCTTTCCGCATTCTCCTTCCTTCTCCTTGTGTGCTCCCCCCTGCATGCACCCCCTCTCACCCCTGATGCCCCCCCCGCAAGGCGCGGCTGCTGTCAGAGCTGGTGAGGGCGGAGCGAACGTTCTACTCCTTTGTGGGGAGTGCCGACCCCACCGCGTTCACCTTCGATACCAGGACACCAGAGGTGTGTGCATGCTCCTGGGTGTATGTGTGTGTGGTTGAGTGTGTGGGTGTGTGTGTGGAAGGGGGAGACGAAGGTGGGACTGTGGGTCAGTAAAAGAGGTACATGGGTGTGGGTGTGTAGGTTTGTGTGGGGATGTTTGGTGGTTGACTGTGTGTGTATGTGTGAGCGTGGTTGTGTGGGTGGGTGTGTGTGTGCATATGTGCGGTTTTGGTGGGATGGGGGGGTGAGGGGGGGGAAGGGGAGGGAGTAATAATGGAGGGGGTTGCATGGGCGAGGAACGAGGTGCACGTGTAGTGTGTATCGTGGAAAGGGGGGGGGAATATCTGTAAGCATGTGTGGTGCTGATTTTCCACCTTTTCTCCCTTTTATTTGCCATATAAGTCTCATTTCCTTTGATTTCTCCTTGCAGGACGATGCTCCTCCGCACGAGTTATGTGCCTTGCCCTTTACAATGTATGCAACACATGTGGGGCAAATGGACGCCGACAAGACCTCTCCTATCAAGGATCCAAGTGCTGCTTTGGTTAGCGTGTACAATCGCACATCGTTCTTACGCAGGCTTGATCGTTCCCACTGCCCTCTTGCCATTTCGAAGGTGATGTCAGCGCGCATAATCAGACCTCAAGGGCCCATGCGGATGGGTAGGGGGCCTAATCACATGGGATGGCCAGGACCAAACCTGAGGAGGCAAAGGTGTGCCAAGGTAGACTTAAATGATGATAAGATGGATGATTTGACGTTGACAGTTTGGTTAGAGTATGTATAAATTCCTTCATATGGTGTATAAGCTTGACGTGACTAGCATGGCTTGTTCACATCTCAGTAGTGCCAGTCTGACACAAGGGGGTGTTGAATTTGTCGTTTTCGAAGAGGCGGCGGCTTGCCGAGCTTGTGCAACTGGATAACCTTGGCGAATGCAGGGGGGGAAGTGTTGACAGTTTTGCCCTCTTCCCCACCACCTGGCCCCTTTCCGCTGCGCGAAGAAGATCTCGACGAAATTTGGGTCCTTCTGTGCCCCGGCCCCGCGTGCACCACATGTCTCACGCGCTAACGCCTACGAGTTGGAGGGGCAGCAAACAAAATGCTCTGCACCAATCGGTGGGCGTTGACAAGATGAACTGTCCATTTCCACATGAGGTCAGGAAGAACGAACAAAACTTATCAGCACACAAAAGACCTAGGAAAAAATGGCAATCGTATTTCAGGAAAACCTCCAGAACGTTCTGGAAACCTTCGAAGCCAATCTAGTCCCTCGATAAACTCCTGCATACAGCAGCATCGCACACCCTTCCCTCTCAACACCCCCCGCCCCCCCCCCCCCTCCTCCTCCCCTGTTCCCCCAACCCGTTCTCTCCTTCCCGCTCGCTTCCCCCTTCCACCTCGCCCAATTTTCCTCCCCTTCGTCCTCGCACAGTCTAGCACACTCCCATGAATCTTGCTGTTCATCCACCTAGCCAGCAAAAGCAGGAAAAGCAGCAGGAGCAGCAGCATCAGCAGCAGGAAAAGCAGGAGCAGCAGCTGCATCGCCAGCAGGAAATGCAGCAGCAACAAGACGAGATGAGAGTGAGAGTGTAGTGGAGGAGACAATGCCAGTGTCCTCCTCCCGGCCCCGCCACAATGGTGTGTGCTGCCGTCAGTCAGTTATCGCGTCTCGAGCATCTCTCTCTATCTCGCAATCTCGGTGACAACTTCTTGCCTCTCGTTCACTACGTACAGTATCAGACAATTAGGGTTTGACGAGTCCTCTAGCCTGCTTCGATCGTCCTGATCTATCAAATATCGTTTGACCTGGTTGGCTCGCCGTAGCCTAATATGCCGATAAGACAAAGAAAGCGGAACATTTCATAAAGAATCGTCCGGTCATTTCTTCCGGCCGGGAGTAATTATCCGCCCCAGTATTTCCCTGCCGATGGATTTTACTCTGCTCGGGTCTCTGGGCGTTAGCGAATCCCACGACCGCGTTTATTGGAACTGCGACTCTCAAGAATCCGAAATTCACTGCACTGCCGAGGGTGCGTACGAGACGACTCAACCAGATCTCGCGAATCTCGAGAAGCACTTGTCGCCTTCGAAATTCACTGCACTGCCGAGTTCTGTTTCAATCAGACTCGAATCTCACCCCCCTACGGCATCGCATCGACGGAACCTGCGTGCGAGGGTTTTTTAGCGAGGCGACATGGGGACTCAGAACGATTTTGCCTATAATTCGCGTCGCGTCGTCTCGAATAGCCTCTATTTGAGCAACGCGACAAGGACGACCGGCTCGCTGGAGCCATCCGCACGTGCGCCGGCAGATTCAGATTTGTCCGCATGTGCAAACACAGAGTTGGAATTTTCCGCACGTGCGTCGGCAGGCTCGATGCTGTCCGCTGACTCGTTCTCCGCACGTGCGCCGGCACTAGGGGGGAATGGGGAGACGTTATCACCGCGAAGTGAGGTAAATACGCGTATGCGCGGGGAGCAGGATGCGCAGGAGATGCGCGGCGCGCGGTGCGCGTTTCAGGTTGAGGAGAGCGGCCGGCGCAGCACGGAGGGAGCGGAAGGAGTGGCAGGGCGGCGGCGCAGCGGAGAGGTGGGCAGCGGAATCGATGCGGGTGAAAGAGGCGGAAGCGGAGAGTTTGGCGGAGGGTGTGGCGGAGGACGGGGAGGCGGGCGGAAAGGACGAGGGGGACGAGGATTCAGAGGGGAGAGGGGAGGGAGAGGCGGGGGAAGAGGAGGGAAGGAGAGGAGAGACTCTGCGCAAGATGGCGTGGGTGAGGGGGGGGGAGGGGTGGCGGGGAAAAGCGACGTGGAAATGCGCGTCTGTAGGTCTACCAGCGGGAGTGACAGTAACGGCGGCGGTAGTAGCAGCGGCAGCGGCAGTGGGAGCGGCAGCGGCAGTGGCAGCGGCAGCAGTAGGTGGAGCAGCAAGCGAGGCGGCAACGGGAGCCGTGCAAGGGGTGCCGATGGTGCTGCTGCAGCTGCTGCTGCTGCTGCTGCTGCTGGTGCCGGTGCTGCCGTTGCTAGTGGGGGTGCTGGTAGTGCTGATTCTGCTCTTGTAGCGTTGGCTGGGAATGCGGCAGGCAATCGGAGGGGCCATGGTTTCGGAAATGTAGCAAGCGTGGCGAGCGGTGTCGACGTGGCTAGAGCCGTCGACGTGGCGAGCGGTGTCGACGTGGCGAGAGGAGGGGCAGGAACGCGAGGTGCTTTGAGTATTTTAACCAAGGGAGCAGCTGGAGAGGGGGGTGCGGCCGGGGGAACAGCAGGCGGGGGGGCAGCGGGCGGGGGAGAGTGGGCGGAGTGCGCGCAGCTGTTCAACCGCACGAGCAGCGCGGGCAGCGCTACGAGCATTACCAGCAACGGGATGGGCGGCAGCAGCTGCACCACCCGCAGCAGCACGAGCAACAGCAGCGGGAGCAACAGTAGCAGCAGTGCTAGCAGCAGCAAAAGCAAGAGCAGGAGCGGCGTCGCCACCACCACCACCGCCATCACCATCACAAGTAACAGCACCAGGAGCACCGTTAGTACCGTCAGCAGCGGCGGCAGCAGCAGCACTAGCGGCAGCACCAGCGGCGCAACAAACAAATTTCAGGCTGCCCGGGTGTCATGTTTGCCGCCCAAAAGTCCGCTCTCCTTTCCCCTCTCACTGCCCCTCTCCCTCCCCCTCTCCCCCTCTATGGGTTTCTCCCCCCACTCTCTCCCTTCCTCCTCCGCCTCCTCCCCCTTCTCCTTCTCCTCCGCCCCAACCTCCCCGTTCTCCGCCTCCTCCCCGTCTACCAACCCCTCCTCCCCTCGCTCCCCCTGCTCCTCCTCCCCCCCTGCTCTTTCTTCCAGAAACAACTCTGCGAGTGCCGCTACTGCCGCTACTGCCGCTGCTGCTGCCCCTGCTTCCGCTGGTTCTGCTGCCGTCACTTCTGCCGCTGTTCTCCCGCCTGCTCCGTCTCTCCCTCTTTTAACCGCTCCCCCTACTCCTCCCGCTGCTGCTCCTCCTGCTGTTTCTTCTGCTGCTTCTGCTTCTCCTGCTCCTGTTCCTGCTCCCATGCGCTATCCTCTTCTCTCTCCCCGTTCCAATGCCACACCCTACGCTTTCCGAACCAGCCCAAACCAATCGCACACTCCCCTCTCACTCCCGACCCAGCTCGTCACCTCTTCCGAGCCTCCCCCGTCCTCCCAAGCCGCCTCCTCTCCCCGAGCCTGTCCGTCAGGCTTGGCAGGGGTGCTGCAGGATTGCCAGGAGGTTGTGTGTCGAGCCTTGGAGGGCTTTGAGTCGAGGCTGGGTGAAATTGTGCTGGGGACACACTCTCCCCCGGACTCTCCCCCGCACTCCCCTTTGCTCTCCCCGTCTACCATTCGCGCTACTTCTGCTGGTCCTCCTGCCGTCCCTCCTGCCGTCCCTCCTGCCGTCCCTCCTGCCGCTTCTGCTGCTGCCGTTGAAGCTGCTGCTTCGGATCGCCGCGATTTCTCTGCTGAAACGCGTGAAGCTGCAGCAGCAGCACCACAAGAAACAGCACCAACAGCACCACCAGCACCACCAGCACCAGCAGCGGCATCACCTCCTTTCTCCTCTCCTCTCTCCTCTCCTCTCCCTTCTCCCCGCCCCTGTCCTTCCGCCTCCCCGCTTGCCTCCCCGCTCCCCTCCCCCCGCCCCTCTCCCCCCAGCTGTGCGCCTCCCGCCATAAGATCCCCCCGCTCCGCCAGCGCGCAGGCGTCTCCCAGGGGGTGGGGGAGAGCGGTTAGAGCGCAGTGGGATTACCCTAGGGGCAACGCGGAAACAGGGGGGACGAGCCCCTCCTGTTCCACCAGTGCGCAAGTAGCGTCCACTAGAGGGGGAGGGGCAGATAGGACGCAGGGGGAGCGCGCCAGAGGCAGCGCGGAAGCACAGGGGGAAAGATCCCCCTGTTCTGCCAGTGCGCAGGTAGAGACGACTGGAGGGCGAGGCGGGGGCAGGGCAGAGGGGGAATGCGCCAGAGGCAGCGCGGAAGCACAGGGGGCAATCTCCCCCCGTTCCGCCATTGCAAACTTCTCCCCCCGCTACGCTGCACAACTTACCCCTTTGCACCGCACTCCACACCCTTCAACCGCGTCCTCCCTGCCCCTTACCTCTGGCAACCGCTCCTCCTCTCCTCACGTTCGCTCGCCCCGCCCCTTGTCATCCCAACCGCCCTCTCCCCACCCGCCCTCCCCCCACCTCCCCTCTCCTCACCCCCCGTCTCCCCAGTCCTCCGCTCTCCCCCCCCTTTCCCCCCGCGCCACACATGAGGCGCCCCCGAAGTCCCCCCGCGCCACACATGAGCCGCCCCCGAAGTCCCCCCGCGCCACACATGAGGCGCCTCTGAAATCCCCCCGCGCTATATGCAACCCCGCCCGTTTCCCCCACACGTCCGTTCACTCGTCTCACACGTCCTCCCCCTCTCACACGCCAACCTCCTCTCAAGCATCTGAGCTTCCTCGAAACCCCCCTTCTGCCCGCTTGGCCCTTCGCTCCCACTCCTCTTCCGCACTGCTTTCCCCCTTTCCTGGCAAACCCCTGTCCTCACCCATCTCTCCCTCCCTCCCCTCCTCCCCGTTCCCCTCCTCCTCGCTCCCCGTTACCCCTGCGTCTCTCTCTTGCTCCTCCCACCCCCCCTCTCCCTCAACTTTCGAAGCGTCTCAAAAGTTGCTCCCTGTTCCTGCTGCTTCTCTCTCAAGCAGTCCTGTTCCTGCTTCTTCTCTCTCAAGCAGTCCTGTTCCTGCTGCTTCTCTCTCTCACTCCTCTCAGCCTCTCTCTCCTTCCCCTCTTCCCTCTACCACTCCGTCTCCCAAGCACCGCTTTACGGCCAGTTCAGAGACCACTGCAGCTTTTGGGAATGGTGAGAAGCGGTGCGTGCAACAGCAAATAAAACACCAGGTGAACCCACAGGAAGCGCCAATCCTGCAGCGTCAAGAGCCAAACCACCACCACCAGGAGCAGCAGCAGCAGCAGCAGCAGCAGCAGCAGCAGCAGCAGCAGCAGCAGCAGCAGCAGCAGCAGCAGCAGCAGCAGCAGCAGCAGCAGCAGCAGCAGCAGCAGCAGCAGGAGGAACAACAGTACCAGAAGCAACAGCGGCAGCACCAGGAGCAACAGCAGCAGCCGCAGCAGCAACAGCAGCAGCCGCAGCAGCAGCGTTTGAACCCAAGGGTGCGACGTCTTTTGTCTCTGTCTCTGGATCTGAGGGAAACAGTGTGGGCTTCCGAACAGGAAGGAGCTGCTGCTATCGACCGCACTGCACCGCACCCAACCAGACAGCACTCAACCTCACCACACTTGATCTCACCGCACTCAACCTCACCGCACCCAACCTCTCCGCACCGATCCGCACAGCAGCTGCCCACCTCACAGCATCAACGGTACAGCCAGCAGCAACAACAGCAATGGCAGCAGCATCGACACCAGCTGCAGAACCGGCAGCAGCAGCAACGTCAGCAGCATCAGGGGCAGCAGCAACAGCAACAGCAACTGCATCAGCAGCAGCAGCAGCAGCAGCAGCAGCAGCAACAGGGGCAGCAACAACATCAACGCCAGCAGCAGCATTGGCAGCAGCAGCATTGGCAGCAGCAGCAGAGGCAGCAGCAGCATTGGCAGGGGCAGGGGCAGCAGGGGAGGGAGAGGGTGCGACGGCGCATGTCCTTGTCTCTGGACCTGAGGGAAACGGTGTGGGCGTCTCAGGCGGATGAGTGTCCTGTCAGCACCCGCTCTGCTGTGCCTACTGCTGCGTTTGACCCGAGCCACACAGGGAGAGATGCCGCACCTGCTGTACCTCTCAAGCCTGCCACCCCTGCTGCACCCGTCAGCACGTCCGCACCTGCTACCCCTGCCACCCCTTGGAAGAGAGTGTCGCCTCACAAGGCTGCAAGCACCATTAAGAGTGTTTCTTCCTCTGCCAGCACTTCTGCCCCTGCCACTGCTGCCACTGCCGCTGCTGGTGTCACTGTTGCTTCTACTTCCACTGCTGGTGCAGCGGCTGCTGCTGCCCCCGCTATCAGTGCCGGTGTGGGTGCTGCAGGATCTGATCAGTCTTCTCCTCGTCCTCCCGTTCGCATGCCCGTCTATCCCTCCCCATCTCCCAATCCCTCTCTCTCCTCCTTCCATCGCGCCGCTTTGCACCACACTGCACCGCATACTGCCCCTCACTCCTCCCCGCAAAACTCCCCCCATGCTCTCTCCTCTTCCCCTCACACCCTCTCTTCTTCCCCTCACTCCACCTCATCCTCTGCCCACTCCTCCCCTCACTCTTCCTCTCCCTCACTCCACCGCTCCCCGTTCCGCCCCCCACACTACCCCTCGCCCCTCCAACGCTCCTTCTCTTCCACCCCCTCGGCACATTTACCCCTCCAACCGAGCTGCACCGCTCTGGAATCCCCTGGAACCATCACCAGGAGCCGCACAACCAACACCCGCAACAGACCACTCACTTCAAGCAACGGCAACAGCACCATCAGCAGCAGCACCAGCAGCAGCACCAGCAGCAGCAGTTACAGCAGAAGTGGTAACAGCAGAAGCAGCAGCAGCAGCCCTACTAGCTGTAACACGTCAGCAGGGACTTTGTTTTCAGCTGGTGGTGCTGCCAGGATGGGAGGAGTGACTGGAAGAGCAAATTCGCGTGCCCTTGAGACGTGTCCAAAGCAGGCAGTTTCTGTTCAGGGTGCGTCTAGTGCTGTGCGTAGGAGTGCATGTTCCTCTGGGGAATCTAGGGTTGGGGCTGTGGTTGGGAGAGTGGCGTGCGAGTCAGGTGCTTCTGTGGGCGTTGAGGGGGGAGCAGCAGGGAGAGGGGGAGCAGCAGAGGGGGGAGGAGCAGCAGGGAGAGGAGGAGCAGCAGAGGGGGGAGGAGCAGCAGGGAGAGGGGTAGCAGCAGAGGGGGGAGGAGCAGCAGGGAGAGGGGTAGCAGCAGAGGGGGGAGGAGCAGCAGGGAGAGGGGTAGCAGGAGGGAGGCACAGGAAGAGCCCGTCAATGGGGACACTTCCTTCGATGGTGTGCCATGGTGCCCTTGAGAGGTCTCAAGGATTCCCGATGGGAGCACTGCCTTCGATGTCCCACTCTGCTGCTTGGCTTGCCCACTGCTCCAACAGCAACAGCCACAGCAAAAGCGGCAACAGCAGCAGCAACAGCAACTGTGGCAACAGCAGCAGCAACAGCAACAGCAACAGCAACAGCAACGGCGGCAACAGCAGGGGTGGCAGACTTATGGTTGGGGATCTAGTGATGGGCAATTCGAGTAAAGGCAATTCAACGGGGGGCGGATTTATGGGTGGCAATCACATGGGCAGTGGCCCAATGGTCGGCAATCTCAAGGGTGGCAGCAGGCATGTTACTGGTAACTGTGACCAGAATCCCCCTTGGGGTAGCAGTGGGTTTGGGAGCGATTCTGCTCGCACTCCCAGTGCTTCTGTTGCCATTGCTTCTGCTCCTGCTACTGCTACTGCTGCCGGTTCTGCCGGTGTTGCTGGTGCTGCGGATGCTGCTGGTGCCTGTGCGTCTGGTGCAGCTGGTGCGACTGGCGGTTATGGTTTCTGTTCTGGTGATTCTGTTGCTGCTGGTGCTTCTGATGTGCCCAGTGCTGCTGCTCCGGGTAGGATGGTGAAGAGTAAGAGCATAGGCGGCAGCAGCAGGAGCAGGGGGTTGGTAGGGATGGTGCACACCAGTAACAGCGGCAACAATGCAAGCACCAAGTATGGGAGCGGCAGTATTGCCAGCAGCAGCAGCATCGCCAGTAGCTTCGGTAGCAGCCCCAGCAGCAGTGCTAAAGAAACAGCCGCCAGTGATGGGAATTGCAGTCCAATGGAAATTAGCATCAGGCGGTGCGCCACTGCTGGTGGCCAGCCTTTAGCGAATCCAGGGAATGCTTATAAAGGAGCACCGTGTGTATGGCAACCTAAGCAGAGTGCAGAGCAAGAGAATGGGATGCGAGGGGAAGGGGTGTTGGAAGGGAGACGAGGGGTGAGGGGGAGGGGAAGGGGAGGGGGAGGGGGTAAAGAAAAGGGATTGGGGATCGGCACATCCCAGAAACTTAGTGTGAGGCATGGAGTAAGCATGACACATGCACATGAAGTATCCCAAGGCCATCTGCCCATTGGCCCCAAAAGAGCTCATGAGATACCCCTGTCCTGAGCAGCTTGCGTAACTTTAACGCATAACTTGCGTCTTATGCTATATCCTGTGGTTGCAAAGCAGAGTGGTTATGCTTTTTTTTTTGTTATAAGTGGTTCTGATAGAAGTAAAACCATAGGGATTCGTGATATCTGCCCGTTCAGCATATGTGGTACGTTTAGCAATGTAGCAACCACCGCCTTCAGCGACGTTCCCAGTGCTTCAAGAGAAGCTGATATTTCCGTTTTGACAATAACGCGGAACAGTACACCACCGTGTGTGGGCAACCCGGATTTGGCGCCAGCATTAAATGGGACTTAAATACTGCACTGTTCAAGCTTCAACTTGGCCGTGGGCCAAATCTTTCAGCCCAGCTGTTGCGTGTGGATTCTGTTCTCTGGATGCTTCTTCCGTTTCTCGTTTGATTTGAACAGAGGTAGGGAGGGAGGGACGCCACGCCCCGCGCCCGTGATGTGAGGTGATGCCATCTTATCCACGAAGGCACTGCGAAATTAAACTACAGTTCAACTACGCCTTACACTATTTGTGTGACTCCTGCTGGAGAGTGGGTACACTACAGCCCCATTATGCTGAAGAAGATATACACCCTTAAAGCCGTGGCCCAACTATCAGCTTCAACTTCGAAGTATTATAGCTTGGAACTTGGTTGTCCCAGGCAGTTCTGTGGCGAGAAGTTTGTCTTTTCCGAGATTCCATTTTTTTCATCCAATAAGGGTCTCGTTACGCACACTCCATGTTTGTCCTGCTACTGTTCCTAAGAAGTTGCACCCCGCCTTTAAAACCGCCACCCTGGAGTACGGTGTGGTGTGGTCCAGCTGTTGGTTTGCGCAAAGCCCCCCCCCACCTCCCTCCCCATCGGACGATTTTAACCCTACTGGGAATCTGGACTGATTGATTGCCGTACGGCGTGTTCAAAATTAACTTTTCGTCTGTGCCTACCCTCACAATTCTTTCTCATCCACCATGTTCTTTGCACCAGCTGCCAAGGTCGGGCTGGGTGAAGGGGGGACCCAGGAATTCCACGATGCCCCAGAAAACCAGGGGAGGCCTGGTTGGTGGTTCTTCGTGACACCCTAGCAGTCACTTGCTGTGACACAGCGTGACGCTGTCGTGTCCAGCGTGGACGCCTGGATAGTGAATGGCTGACCACGTCGCCACGACCCCATCTCTTTCAACAAATGAAAAGCGGGATCACCCGAGCGAAAGATTCACTCCGTGGAAAAAACTGTTGGTGAACTCCCTTGAACCTCTTATCCACGCGATTGGAGGGCTGCTCTCTCATTCGTCAGATCCAATTTGCTGGAGATATTGCGGCAGCAATGCGGGGAAAAGGACGATCTGCGTGTACTTTCTTTCTGGTCACGACGACTCGGGCTCGAAGTGGGTGGAATGGGATGGGAAGGGAAGGAAAGGGAAGCAACACCAGCAACACCATGCCGCACATCCCACCCAAACAAAGCGTTGAAGTAGCGTTTCGTGCTGGGCCAGCAGAAGGCTGAATCGGGCTTGTAGATAGTTTTGACTCACTTTTCTCCGTACCTCAATTGTTCAGACACCGCCTGCTGTGCTAAATATTCTATTCGATGGAGATAGCTGTCGAACATGTCGTGACGCCTAGCCCATGTCCCTCTCACAAAGAGGACTTCGGCACGTACGTTCTTATGGTACGATCATTTTTATTCGAGTTACGTTTTTGTAGCAGCACTTTCCAGTTTCTCAATACTCAGTTCTGACAGCTGTCGTTGTCGTATCGCAGATTCAGCACTTGATAGAGCGGTGTCTCGTGCTAGAACTGAGCCAAGCCGAATGCATTGCGAGTCTCGCCAGAAGTGCAAGGATCAAGCCGGCCATAACCCTTGCAGGTATGTATATTGCAGGGAGTTTGATCGAGCTTGCATTTTGATGCGTACCATTGCTCACGATCTCGTTGTTTGTGCCTTACTTGTTCTTCGCAGTTTGGAATGCTCTTGAGAAAGAAAATCCTGGTTTTTTTCGAGAGTACAACAAGAAAACCTTCTCTCAAGCAGCGAGATTGGCGAGTCGGCAGAGGAGAGCCGCCGCCGAAGATGAGTGCGCTGGCAAAGTACTCCAATGTTTGGAGTTGTGGCGAATCTACTGATTGGGTCAACGACGACGAAGACGAAGCTGCAAGGAGTGACTGACGCGTCGATCATATGACAGGAGCTAACGTGACAACCATTACACATAGGGCATAGGGTTGAGACTGCTGGACCTCAGACAGCATGTGCTTCGCCAGACACCGCCGCTGTACATACCATTCTTGGATGTCGGCGTAGCACAAGCTCTTGAGCCGACATTGAGGTGTTTTGGGGACGTAGGTTAGGGTCTTTTGGCTTGTCTGTATGTTGTGCATAGGTGGGTAGCATTTGTCTGTTGTGTGCATTCGGACATGGTGTGGCTAAATTGCGTGTTCATTGACCATATTCATCCATTACAATTTTTTAGTGTGCATAAACTGCATCATTCTCGAGTGTAGTGTGCATGCATTAATTACTTCACAACCACAATCACTCTGCAGATTGCTAATACCACATCCATAGTTTCCCTCGTAAATATACAAACCATTGGCACACTGCAGATTATTGGGCTACCATATCTCAGAAGCCAACCTCAATGTTCCTACACGTGTCTAATAATAATCGCCCAGCTTGCGGTGGTGAGAAGCAGTGCGGCCCTCAGGCTTGGACACCTTCCCTGCAGTGACCTCAGCATACGTGATCCAGTGGTCGTTGGTCTCCATGCGGCTGACCACAGTGCACTCCAGGAAGGCCAGCGATCCTGCCAGCACAGGCGACCCGTTGCTGGCTGGGTCCCAGTCAACTCCCTCGAAACGATCAGCTGGATGATCATTTAGGGGATGACATGGAGAGGGAGTTGAGACATGGCATGGGCAGAAGGACTGGGGTAAACATGGCCAGGTTTCATTGCTAAGTCACTCAAATTTCTGTACGGCATGCTTGTGTTGGCTACCTACCCCACGAGACATAGCCCGCAAGAATGGGAGAGGAAGGGGTGGGGGGAGGGAGGGGAAGGGAGAGAAAGACGATAAGGTTATGGCGAAAAGGAGCAACACTCACCGCCAGGGGGGAAACGCTTGAGGAAGTGCTTCATGAGAGGGGCGAAGTTGCCCTCCTCAAGACAGTTGAGCACAAAGGAGTCGCCCACCTGCGTGCAGAGGAGAGGGGTAGAGAGTGGTGCAAATGGGTGTCGAGACAGGGTAGAGAAATGGGAGGCCTAGAAGAACGGGATTGGCCAAGCATTCAACATACGTCACTGAGATTAGATTGAGGGTACATACAATGCAACTGGCATTTCCTACTGTCTGGTCAGACAGCCGCAGCCCAGTTCATCCCAGCCCATCCCAGCCTAGTCCACACAACTGCGCCCATGCAAGCCTCACCTGCATGAGCGACTCAATGGCTCTGTCCTTGGCCACAGCAACGGTGATGCCCAATGGCTTGAAGCTCGCCTGGCGTGGGCAGAGAGTGAGGGAGAGAGAGAGAGAGAGAGAGAGAGAGAGAGAGAGAGAGAGAGAGAGAGAGAGAGAGAGAGAGAGAGAGAGAGCAGGGCGAAGTGGAAGCATATTGGAGACAGGTAGGTGAGGTGGGGTGGGTGGATACTGAGACACACGCAGGCCCACATGCACACACACCCGGATGCAATACACACAGCCAGGTCACCACACATGCACGTGTACATTCCCCCCAAGCCTTCCCCCGTTCCCCCTTTTCCCGTTCACTCCATCCACACCCATGCGCGCACAGACACATACACGCACACTTTGCAACCCAGGGGGCGATCATAGCACCCTTGGAGGACCCCTTGATAGCCGTGACCACATACAGGCCCCCCGACACACATCCCCACGTGCACGCAGACCCACTCCCCCCCTCCACAAAGCACGCACCTGGGAGACCCAGGAGGCGATCATAGCACCCTTGGAGGACCCCCTTGGTAGCCGTGACCACGTACAGACTCCCCGACACATACAGCCCCACACATGAACACTCACACATGCATGCAGACCCACACACAAACAGCACGCACCTGGGAGACCCAGGAGGCGATCATAGCACCCTTGGAGGACCCTTTCAAGGCCGTCACCACGTACAGACCCCCCGACACACGAGCAATGGCCTTGGCCACCGTCAGAGGCATGCTGCGCCTTGTCTCCTCCCTCACCGCCTTCTGTGTCAGGCCCTGCCCCAAGTCAGTGCCCGCCTCCTCAAACAGCTGGTACCTGCAGTCATGACAGCAGGGGGGAATGGGGTTGCGAGGGAAGAGAGCGGGGTTGGGACGGGGGACTTATGACACCGCCAGAGACATGCTGCGCCTCGTCTCCTCCCTCACCGCCTTCTGTGTCAGCCTCTACCCCAGATCCGTGCCCGCTTCCTCAAACAGCTGGTACCTGCAAGTGATAAAAGAGGGAGGAAAGGTGAAGGGTGGGCGGGGAGGATTGAGGGATGCATGTTGAAGCAGGGGACTCGAGGTTGTCTCCTCTGCTGCCTCTCTGCAATCCCTCTGTTTTGAGACATCTCAAAACACTTCTGATTTCTTGAGGGATGGTTGTTGCAACAGGGACTCGAGGTTGTCTCCCCTGGTGCCTCTCTGCAATCCCTCTCCCTCACTCTCACGGCTTCAGCGGGAGGCTTCTTGGCGCGAAGTGCCTCGAGGGGAATCTAGACTCCACGGTCAGTGGCTTTTGAGGCGCCTTAAAGGTTGCTACAGCCCCCCATTACACGGTGGCCCGTGTATTAGACTACAGCCCCTCACCACACCGCACTCGCTCTCTCTCTGTGATCACTCACACAGCCTCGGTGGGGGGATCCTTGATGCGGAGGGGCTGGAGGGGCACCTTGACTTAGCGGGCGCGTCAAAGGTTGCTACAGCCCCTTGTTACACTATAGCCACTATAGCCACAGCAGCCTACTACACTCCGTCTCTCTGATCACTCACACAGCCTCGGTGGGCGGCTCCTTGATTGGGAGGGGTTCAATGGGGATCTTGTCTCCGCGGTCGTTGAACTTGTACATGAGCGTGTCGCGCAGCTCGTCATCACCAAGGTTAAAAAATACGACCGTATTTTTGAAAATTTACCGTAAATTACGGTATCGTAATTTACGGTCGTAAATTACGGTAAAAAACGGTTTGACGTTGCAAAAATAGGTTGGTTCAAAAATACGGTCATAAATTACGACCGAAAGTTTGAAACCGAGTTTGTGTATAGCGAATTTCAACATTTCCCAACCGTCAACCTGTTCGTGAGAATTTTCGTGGCCCCAAACCCACTCGAGAGTGTTTTTTTCCCGAGTCGCGAGTGTCAGCAAAATCTCGAGGCGCGACATTGTGCATTTTGGTGACAGTTCAACAGGTTTGTTGCCGATTCGCACACTCGTTTGTGTATTTCGCCGAATCGCGAATGTACAAATTTGTGCGACGCGGCAAATTGTACATTTGGCGAACGGATAACACAAGTCTACCCGTTTCGCCAAGTCGGTGGGTCGTTTCGCGGCCCGTTCGTTTTTTTCGCCCGCATGCGCTACTCAACTCAATTTCGACACACCTAAACCCTAAACCAATAGCGTTCGTCCAATCTTCATCCCTTCCATCTCATCCCTTTTGCATATTCCATTCGCCAACGCAACACCACCAAGTTAAACCAGGGCAAAAACCACCATTCTGTAGTGTAGTATGTTGTCGCCTTCCTTGTCATCGTTGTAAGCTTTCTAGGAATTTCTGGAAAAAAAAATTGCCGCAAAAAATGTCCATTTAAAAAACGACCGTATTTTTGCCAAAACCACCGTAAATTACGACCGTAATTTACGAGCCGTAATTTACGTTTACCGTATTTTTGAACCTTGGTCATCACACTACAGCACCTCAGTATCCTAAAGCCCTTCATCGCCCTAAGGGCCCTCGCCACTACAAGCCCCTCATCTCACTCACACAGCTTCAGTGGGGGACTCCTTGATGCGTAGGGGTTCAATGGGCATCTTGACTCCGCGGTCGTTGAACTTGTACATGAGCGTGTCCACCGGCTCATCGTCCCCTCCATATGACTCACACAGCAGCACAGACTGTTGGAGGGGACAGAGAGGGGGCATCGAGGACAAGGGGACAAAGGGACAAGCGGATAACGGGGCAAGATGAGCGAAAGGATTCACAGCAGTCGGGGATCTTGCGCATAGGCTCATCGTCCCGTAAGACTCACAGAGACGCACGGGCTGTTGGAGGGGGAAATGAAGGGGGGTGAGGGAGAACGAGAGGGGACAAACAAATAGGCCATCCCCCCCCCGCCTTGGTGATTGCTCTCCTTCATGGCCTCCTTCCCTCCTCTGATTCACCTCTACAACAGCTTTCATAGTTTTGAGTCGACTCAAAACTAGCTTTCAAACCCCCGCCCACCTGCTCCCTCCCTCCCTCTCTCTCCTCTCCCCCACCTACCCACCCGCCTGACCTCTCCACTTCTACCCCAGCCATCCGCCCACCCACCCATTCCCCTGCTTACCTGCTTGGTTTTGATGCCAGCGACAAGAGGCGCGACAGCAGCGGCGGCAGGGCCAGTGGTGGGGGGCATCATGAGCACGACAGCGGCGTTGCGGCCGATGCACTCCACGAGCTCCTGCGTGTCGGCGGCCTTGAGGTCCATCATCTCCACGCCCGCCCCCGCCTTGGGGAAAGACCTCACACCCTGCTCAAACCCTTCCCTCCTCTGATTCACCTCCACTAGAGCTTTCTAAGCCCCCGCCCACCTGCTCCCTCCCTCCCTCTCCTCTCCCCCAATCATCCACACACCTGCTTGGCCTTGATTCCGGCCACCAGCGGGGCAACAGCAGCGGCGGCAGGGCCAGTGGTGGGGGGCATCATGAGCACGACAGCGGCGTTGCGGCCGATGCACTCCACGAGCTCCTGCGTGTCGGCGGCCTTGAGGTCCATCATCTCCACGCCCGCCCCCGCCTTGGTGATGCCGCGCGCGATGCACTGCGAGAGCCGGTCGCTGTACCCATAGTCGCTCACGTACAGCACTGCTATGGACGACTGAGAAGAGGAGGGAGGAGGGCGGGGGAAGAGAGGGTGCACAGACGAGGAGAAAAATGGTGATGCCCCTCGCCACGCTCTGAGACAGCCGGTCGCTGTACCCGCAGTCACTCACGTACAGCACTGCTATGGACGACTGCGAGGGTGGGCGGGGGCGGGGTTGGGTTGGGGGCGGGTGAAGTGAGTAGCAGACAGGGAAAACAGGTGACGCTCTGTGACAGCCGGTCGCTGTACCCGTAGTCGCTCGCGTACAGCACTGCTATGGACGACTGGTTTGGGGGAGAGGAAGGGCGGGCGAGGAGGCGGGAATGGGTGAGGGGCAGTGTGAAGGGTGTTGCAGACAGGGAAAAGAGAGGACACTCTGCGACCGCTGGTCGCTGTACCAGCAGTCGCTCACGTACAGCACTGCTATGGACGACTGCGAGGGGGAGAGTGGGGGGTGCGGGGGGAGAGGCGGGGTGGGAAGTGGGGGTGAAGGGAGCTGCAGATAGGGGAAACAGGTGATGCTCTGAGAGAGGCGGTTGCTGTACCCGTAGTCGCTCGCGTACAGCACTGCTGTGGACGACTGAGAAAGGGGGGCGGACGGGAGGGGAAGTGGTGGGGAGAACGAGAGTTGAGGTGGGACGGGGTGAAGGGAGTTGCAGGTGGGGAAAACAGATGACGCTTTGAGATGGGATGGGTGGGGGGAAGACAGGGCAAGGGGAAAGGGCAGGGCGCGGGAAGGAGGGGGGGAGGGGGAGAGGGGCACAGTGGGAGGAAGACGCAGGGAGGAGGAGGGAAGGGAGCGCCCACATGCAGTGAGCTCGTACCTTCTGCTTCTAGATTGCGGCCTTTTGAGAATTCTCAATAGATCCACTGTTTGAACTTGAGCGTGAGCTCACAGACGTTGTGAAGGAGAAGAGAGCAGGAAAGAGGACGAGGAGTAGCGAGGGAGAATACACGAGGAGGAAAAGAAGGGAGCACCCAAACGCACTGGTTTCTCACCTTCTGCTTCTCGATGGCGGCCTTGCTCCACTGCTCGTACTTGAGCGTGAGCTCAGGCACGTTGTAGCGCAGCAAAGGGCCGTGCCCCACTGCGATTTCCGAGAACTCCCACCCCGCAGTGGCCACCTGCCGTGGGGAGAAGGAAGTGAAGGGAAGGGAACAGGTATGGGAAGGGCATGTGTTGTCAGTCAGGCACGTTGTAGCGCAGCAGAGGGCCGTGCCCCACTGCGATCTTTGAGAACTCCCACCCCGCAGTGGCCACCTGCCGTGGGAAGAAGGGTAAGGGTATGGCGATGGGTAAAAATATGCGCATGGAATGGGGACGGGGACGTGGATGGGGAAGAGGAAAGGGGAGGGGATGGGGAAAGGGAAGGGTATGGGCGAATGGGTATGCGCATATGGGGCAGTCAGGACACGTTCTAGGCCTGCGCCTGATGGGCGATTAGAGCCTTGATCGGTGGGAAAGGGGAGAAGGTCGTTGAGGGAGGCAGGGAGAGAGGCAGTGAGAGAGGCAGGGAGAGAGGCAGTGAGAGAGGCAGGGAGAGAGGCAGGGAGAGAGGCAGAGAGAGAGGCAGGGAGAGAGGCAGGGAGAGAGGCAGAGAGAGAGGCAGGGAGAGAGGCAGGGAGAGAGGGAGAGAGAGAGGCAGGGAGAGAGGCAGGGAGAGAAGCAGGGAAGCTGTATGGGATTCTCAAAGCCAAGGCAACAGAGCAACCGAGAACGGTGCTAAATAGCGGTGCGGAGCGGTGGAGGCACGGCACGCACCTTGCGCAGGGCGGTGAGGACGGAGCGCGAGTTGGGCTTCATGAGGCAGTCGTAGTAGAAGCGGTAGTGCGGCTCCAACTCGCTCAGATCATCGTCGTACACCTGGTGGCGGGGAGAAGGAGGCAGGCAGAGGGGGGAAGGTGGCACATTGAAGGAAAGTCATGAGGCAGTCGTAGTAGCAGCGGTAGTGCGGCTCCAACTCGCTCAGATCGTCGTCGTACACCTGGCGACGGGATCGCATCGGCGCGCAAGGGGAGGGGAGGGGTGGGGGTGGGGTTGGGGGTGGGGGTGGAGAGGCAGGCACAGTAAGGCGGTGAAGCAGAGAGATGATGATATCCAGCTCATGCCTCCCCCCCCCTCCCCCTCTCTTCGCCCACTTCCCAATTTCTCGTCTTTCCCCCTCCCCACCTTCCCCCGCCTTCCCCGCTTGGCCTTATTCCACCTCCTTACCAGTGCCCTCCCTTCACCCTGGGAATTTCCTCTCACCTTCTCGGAGCAGTAGTGGCTGCCGAACGCGTCGCAGGTGAACATGACGCCCGTGCCTTTATCGAACGTGAACATGGTATCAGGCCAATGCAGGTTCGGTGCCATGATGAAATCCAGCTCGCGCCCGCTTCCCCTCTTCCCACCTTCCCCGCTTTCTCCTCCGCACTTTCACACACCCTACCTCACCTTGCCCCATCTTCCCCACCATCCACGCTTGTTCATTTCCCCATTTCCCTTACCGCCGCCTCCCACGGAAGCCCCACGCACCTTCTCGGAGCAGTAGTGGCTGCCGAAAGCGTCGCAAGTGAACATGACGCCCGTGCCTTTATCGAAGGTGAACATGGTATCAGGCCAATGCAGGTTCGGCGCCATGATGAAATCCAGCTCGTGCCCGCCGCCCAGATCCAGAATCTTTCCCGGCTGCGCCACGAGGCTCTTAAAGGGCTTTAAGACTAGATTCTGCAGGAACTGAATGCACACTTTAGACCCGACGACGGTAATGTTGGGGTTCAGTTCGATTAGGTCTCGGATCAGACCGCTGTGGTCCGGTTCTGTGTGGTTCGCGATGACGTAGTCGATGTCTTTAATGTCGATCTCGGCTTTAAGCGCGGAGAGGTAGAGCTCGCGGAACTTCTCGTGCGACGCGTCGATTAGAGCGACCTTGTCGGCGCCGCGGATGAGGTAGGAGTTGTAGGTGGTGCCCTTGAGAAGACCGAACTCGCTGCATGGAGAGAAAAGAGAGGGGAGGGGGAAGGGGAAGGAAGAAGGGGAAGGGGAGGGGGAGGGGGAGGGGAAGGAGAAGCGGAGGGTGAGGGGAGGGGGAGGGGAAGGGGAGGGAGAGGGGGAGTGGGAGAGGGAGGAATTATTAAAAAAAAGTGAGAGAGGAGAGGGTGCACGGAAGCGAAGGTGCTTATTAAGAACTCGCTGCACGGTGAGAGAAGAGGAAGAGACGAAGGCCTACAGAGAACACAGGTGTATGTGAGGTAAGTAGCTCCAAACAAGGCTGCGCAAGTGTGCATGCCGAGATTGTTAACAAAAAGTGTTTCTCAGAGGACGAAACTAAGGTCAGAGGTCAGGTAAGCGAAAGTCGACTAATGTGCTATGTGCGCTAGGCGCGAACAAAGCAGATGTCTGTGACGATAACGAGGGACCTACCCGTATGAGGACTAACTAGATTCACACACGGATATGTCCACATGCCAACAGAAGCGGTCCTACGCGCACAGACAAGGCGACATACATATCGAAACGGTCACGGTCCCAGTCGAGAGAGCGAATGGTGGTCGTATCCGCAGCGATGGTGGTCGTCTGGGTCTGTAGGTGGGAATATGTGGGCGTCGTACGGAGATGATGTCGCGCATTCGTGAGGATTACAAGCACAAGTTAAATACTTGACGACTAGAAGAAAACACTGGACAGGGAGTGACTTAAGGCTGTAGGGGTCTGAACATACATGAACAGTTGAGCACATCGACATTTGCTTTTAGAAAAAGACGTGCTTCGCGAATACGCGAAGACACCAAAAGACTTCGAGTTTCCCGCTATTAGCTCCGATGTCTGTCTTAGGAAGGGTGAAAATATCGAGCGCTCACCTGCAGTCTCTTTTCCTGATCCCATTTCACGACTCTCGACATCTTCGTGGGTGCTTCCGTCGCCACAGCTCGGACCTCCACCGACCGCGCGCGAACATTCTGCGAGGCTGCTTGCACGCTTGACGTGGCGGAAAACTGCGTTCCCAGAATCTCGGAACCGAGCTTATTAGGCACGGCACAGCGCGCCGAAACGCTGCTGTTCCTGCTGCTACTGGACCCTCCCGATAGTTGCTTTACGGTAGGGACCTGCACTGGAGCCGCAACCGCAGCTGCTCCGACGAATGCCGCCATAGCGCTTCTCGGGCGGGAAAGCCGAGCTAACGTATGCACGAAGCGCACGGGACCTGGAGGTCGACGGCAACGGCAATACTGTGGTACTGTCTTCTTTACCGCTCGGATTCTTCTGACTGACGAATGAAAGAACCCGAAATGATTTCTGGAAAAATAAGTTTTCAAGAAAGGATGTGGAGTGGAGGGAAGGCGGAAGCTGGATGGGGGTTGGGGGATGTGTGGAAGCGGGAAAGTGGAAGCGGGAAAGCGGGAGCAAGGAAGCGGAAGCGGGAAAGCGGAAGCGGAAGCTTGGGGATTGCCTTGCCAAGAAATCGAGCGACAGGGAAATTTTGGGGGGAAGGAGCCTTGGGAATGAACGGTGGGCAGGAATGCTGGAGATGCAAGCAACCCATTGGGAACTCCAAGGTCCTTGAAATGAACGGTGGAAAAATCTCGTGGATGCGATCTCTGTGCAGCGTGAGCTGGTGCTTGCTGGATAACAAGCTGATGCACGTGTCATGATGCCACCTCAGATGGCAGGCCACCCCCTTTGCGAGGACTTGGAGACAGGGTGAAACCACGTCACCGTGACAGCTGGAGACTGCCTTTTCTACAGCACACTAGTTCTTCTTTCAGCCAAACAGACCGAATCTTACATTTGCCACAGAACCATAGCTGAACCCGCTGCGCACGTTGCCGGAGTATGCATGTGCAATCTTCTGCCACGATACGTGTTATGATCAGGATCTCTTAGTAGTTCAGTGAATATATAAATACTTCACTAAATGAACCGGACATCTATATTTCACTGAAAAAATACATCCGTTATAGATCTTTAATTGCCCTCCCCCTGTCTTCCTAATGCTTGGGAAAGAAGTTCAGCCTTTTCTGCTTGAAGCACCTCAACCTTAGCCTTGAGTGCTTGGATATAAGTCAAAGTCTCACAAAGAAGGGTTTCCGTCGTCACCCGTGTGTTACACTGGGGTATGGCCCTCTTCAGCTGTTCTAGCTTCAGGCTGCACATTCACCCAAACACGCACCACCAATAAGAGACAGGTTTGAGACGATAAGGAACCATGAATTTACAATAAGCAGACTCCTGTATGCAACAAACAACAAGCCAAGTGATTTATTATGTTGCTCTGGTCAGAGTGAGCTCCACAAAGCTTACCTAATTCCATTTCGTCTCTTCCTCTCTGCAACAGTCCGCGGCCGGGACGACTTCCCCCCCGCTTCCTGCGCGTCCAAGCCCTCTTCCTGCTCCCCTCCAGATCCCCCCGCGCTTCCAGTCCCGCTCAACCCTCCAGCACGTCCCTCCCCAGGGGAACCCGCGCCGGACGGGACGCGACGATCCCCCGCGCCCATCCATCCCCCGCCTGGGACGTCGTCCGGAGACGGAGTGGCGGGTAGCGCTGCGCCACCAGCTTGATGGGGGGACTGGAGGGCACGGGGCGCGGTTTTGTGCGCGGTATTGCCGAGAGGGACGGTCGCCAACCAATGCGGGGAGGCAGAAGCAGCGCCACCAGGGGGAAAGGCGAAGACGGGGCGCGGCGCGGCGGGGGGCGGAGGCGGGGCCGCGGTGTCCAGATTGCTGTTCTCCCCCGAACTCGCGGGAGTTCGCGCGCGAGGAAGCTGCACGTGCAGGGTTAAAAAGACAGCCAAAGGGACAAGATCAGACGGAGCTGCATGCGGCGACGCGAACGGGAGGGGAGGTGACGAATTGAGAAGAGCGCGTCGATCGACACAGGATGACATCGCAAAACCTCTTAAGAGGTTCGAGACAGAACATCTGACGACACTTGAAAACAGTTGAAAACGCCTGAAGACGAAGGACTCGACTAAGCGACGATACGGACGCTTCAAACACGAACCATAGCTCGAGTGATTTTGCAATATAAGAATCGCACCTCATCTGCTCTCTTCCGCTTCGCTGGCTTATTAGCGCCGACTTCAACCGCCGCCGCCCCGCCGCCGCCCAGCGACAAGCCTACGCTGAGGCGCAGGTCGGGCTCAGTGGCGCGCGCCGAAGCTCCGCCGCGAGGGAGTTCCGCGTCGTTCCCGGGACATGCGGGCGGCGCGGAAGGGAAGAGCTGTAGCGAGACACCGACTTGCTGAGGGTCTTCAAATCCCGCAAGTTGTGGCGGCGGATGAGTTTGCTGCTGCAGCTGAAGCTGAAGCAGAAGCTGCTGCTGCTGCTGCTGTAGTTGCTGTTGTTGCATGTGCTGGATAAGCGCGGACGTCAACGCTTGCTGCTGAATCGTCGAAAGAGATCCGCCGTGATGGTTAGCGGCGACGACGACTGCCGCGGGATTAGCAGGCTGCTGCGCGTCGTTCATCGCGAGAAACGGAGATAACGGCCTTCCAGCCATCACACTATTGACCAGGTTGGTCGTCAAAAGCAGCCGCACTCGATACGATTGCCCAAGCAGGTTTCTGGTCACTCAAGTGACTCCCAAAATAAACCAACACTCTCGAGCTGGAGCACTCCGGAATTCGACTAAGGAATATTGCTGTGGAATCTTGACTCTTGAAGAAGTGTTTGGTTTGGGATGGGAAGGGATTGCATTGCATGGGGTGGGTGGGTCGAATAGGTGAGGGCAGGCAGGCAAGCAGGCAGGCAGGCAGGCAGGCAGCCAGGCAGTGATAAACTCAACTCAACTGAACCGTCTTTGTCGTTAGCCACTTGATGGAGGGACCATGGCACATGTGGGACTCGAGGAACTCCTCCGATTGGCTCACACGCAACGCACCGCAAACCAAGGCAAGAAACGTCCGTCTGTCGTTTTGCTCGACTGGAATCGAGGTGCGACGTCCTTCCTTCCCACTGGCATGCCACAGGACATTCGTGTGTGTGTGGTCGGGCTCGGCCTCAGCCTCGGCTTCGGGAGACGTACATGTCACTTGCCTTCTCTTACCGTCCATCCATACCATTCATGGAGCGATTTGCTCCAAACCCTTGTTTGGAGATTCGTTGTTGCACACGTGGCTACCATTTGCTCGAGTAGTTCTCAAATTCAGTGATAATTGCTCGAGTGGCCTCGCCAGGGGATTCTCAACGTCTTTTTTAGAAGGCACACTACCCTTCATGGGTATTTATCATCGAAGCTTTTGTATTGGCTATTGCGCGATCTTTTATATCCGAAATTTATGTTCGTGACCCTATATGACCGCGCCTGATTGGACGCGCACATAATCGACCAATCCTGCGCGGCCATTAGTGGTCGCGCGCATCATATTTTAATGCCCGATCATATATTTCCGCGGTTATTAACTGCAATGCCCGGGCGTCAACCCGGGACCCTTAATGACCGCGCATGATTGGTCAATTATATGCGCGATGCCTTTTTTGAAATGCGCGTCCAATCAGGCGCGGTCATATAGGGTCACGAACATAAGTTTTGGATAATGAAGATCGCGCAATCACCAGTACATAAGTTTCGAGGATAGAAACCCGTGTAGGGCAATGTGCCGGTTTAAAAAAAGCCAGTGGAAATCCCCCGGCAAGGCCACTCGAGCAATTATCACTGAATTTGAGAACCACGCGAGAAACTGGTGGCCGCGTGGGCAACGCTGAATCTCCAAACAAGGGTTTGGAGCAATTCTCTCCCATTCATGACTGGCCCCTGATTCACAAAGCCACTGGGGCACGACAAACCAGGCAGAAATCGAGGTTCGGAAAAGGGAGTTCTGTGCATGCAATGCCACATGGGCCAAGCCTGAGATTAGGCTGGGAAGACTTCGATACAGCAATGCACGAGGTTGCCGAGTTTCGCCTTTGGAGTTGTGGCTTTGGCTTTGGTGCATCTTGAAACCTTGCTTCAACGTCACTGGATTGCACTGCACCAAGATCCTTCAACACCCACAAAAGAAAAATACGATTTGTTCACAAAAACCAAGGTTAATCTCCCTTTTGAACACAGATCAACTGTATTCTGGACGAGGAAACTGCTGCAGCAAGCACCGAAGCGATGCTGAATGAACAGAACAGCTGCCCGCAACCAGGGCTGTCGATTCAAGGGCATTTGCCCTTAATGCCCTGAACATTCCGGGTGAACTCCAGGCCAGCATCGGCATTTCAAAGGGCTGGTTTCGAGGGGAGCCCGTTTTTCTTACGGGCTGATTTTGAGAAATTGGGGTATCAACCCGGATCCGTTAAGGGCTGGTTTGGGGCCCTTCCCTGAGATCCCGGATAAGTAGTACAAGTAACCCTGCGAGTTTCCTAAGTTGACACTCTTCTCCTCCCTTACCCTTATCCATGTCGCTCCCACATTCTATCTTCTTGGTATGAAAGGAGGTTCTAGGTGTCAGTAGAGCTACACTGTAAGATCCCCGATCGATCCTAGGGGGGTTACAGGCGCGTTTGCCTGGGGGGTTATCGGCGCACTGACCCGCTACTGAAACAAGCCCTTTTATCCCAATGGTCTAGTGGTTGGGATTCTGACATGGTATCAGAGCGGTCTCGGGTTCGAATCCCGGTGTATGCACATGTTGGCCGTTGCCACTGTGCTCAGTCCTGGGCCTCCCAGTGTGGGGGGTGTCAGAACTTATATTTGTAACTGCCTGTAGCTGTAGTTAGTGTAGTTATTATAAACTTTGTTTGGTGGTGCACCTTATTTGTTTCCTTTGCTATATGTTCTTCGAAACCTATAGTGAAACCATCCTTTCCAACTTCCTCGACATCTCACCCTAGGCACAAACTACTCGACATCCTAGTTGGGCCTAGGCTCCTAAGCCTAGGCCCTAGTTAAACTTGATCTCCTTCCTACGATTCTGTCATGCTATCAGAGCGTTTTACGTCCTGGCCTGTGGGCCCGCCAATATGCTTCCGCTGCTATTTTTCTCGGTCGCGCGCCTAGGGCGCGTGGCGATTTTCTCTTGTCCCGCCCCCGGTTGGCGAGTGACTCCTTCTCTGCCCGTCGCGCGCCCCGTGGCACGCGACGGTGCCCTAAACCTGCCCGTCGTGCGCCCCGTGGCACGCGACGGTGCCCTGCTCGTCGTGCGCCCCGAGGCACACGACCGGGCCCTAAACTTAAACTTGCCCGTCGTGCGCCCCGTGGCACGCGACGGGCCCTCTCCGCACCTGCTCTCCCTGCAGCCGCCCCTGACCTACCTGCGCCGACACAATGTAGCCGCTCTGCGGCTTTCTTCCCGCCCACCCCCTCCTCCTTTGTTTCCCTGCAGCCGTGGGGAGGAGGGTATGGGGGTGGCGGGTGTTGGAGCTTTGGGTCGTTTCCTTCCCTTCCCCTCCTCCTCCTTTCGTTCCCACTGCTGCAGCTGCCGCTGGGGGGGAGGGTGTGAGGGTGTGGGGGAGAAGGGGGAGTGGCACCGGGGTGGCGGGTGTGAGGCAACCAGCAGCCGTCCCTCCACCTCTCCTCTCTTCCCCCCCCTCTCTGCTGCTCCTGCAGCAGTGTGGGGGAGGGGAAGGAGGAGGGTGAGGAGATGGAGGGGGTGACCAGCTAGTGTTAGCCCGCCTGCAGTACCTGCTGTTGCTTGTTTATTATTTTGCATGTGTACCCCTGCAGGTTGTATTCTGCACAAACTCCTGATGCAGGCAGTTATGGGGGAGTGTCAGAACTTATATTTGTAACTGCCTGTAGCTGTAGTTAGTGTAGTTATTATAAACTTTGTTTGGTGGTGCACCTTATTTGTTTCCTTTGCTATATGTTCTTCGAAACCTATAGTGAAACCATCCTTTCCAACTTCCTCGACATCTCACCCTAGGCACAAACTACTCGACATCCTAGTTGGGCCTAGGCTCCTAAGCCTAGGCCCTAGTTAAACTTGATCTCCTTCCTACGATTCTGTCAGGGGGGTGTCAGTAGAGCTACACTGTGAGATCCCCGATCGATCCTAGGGGGGTTACAGGCGCGTTTGCCTGGGGGGTTATGGGCGCACTGACCCGCTACTGAAACAAGCCCTTTTATCCCAATGGTCTAGTGGTTGGGATTCTGACACTAGGGTTGATGTTTATGGCTGTGGTTGCAAAATATTTCTAAGACATTGTTCACTCCTCACAATTCTAAGTACTCACGCTGAAATCAAGACACTGACACCCTTACATGGCGAGGGGGGATTCAGCCCCATCGGTTCACACTAGGAATACTACATGAGAACGAACTTCCTTGGAAGTGCTTTGCGATTGTACACAAGAGTTCAAACGACTTTTTTGCTGACGATATTTGCCCTACGAGCCCCCCCCCCCCCCCTCCCCCACCCCTCTTCACCCCCTGCTGTAGGTTCACAGATAAGTCGTTAGCAAGCTCCTTCCCGCTGACATCCCCCTTTGTGAAATTAGGGCACACGTACATTTTTTAAAGAAGCCCGGATTTCAAGTTCTGGTTTGGACCTGCACCCGTGATCGTTAAGGGCTAAAAAACGGCCACCTTCGCGAAAATCAGGGCCAAACTTCGAGCAGCTCAGGACTCAAAGTGTTGGCCCCAGGAACTTCGACAGGCCTGCCCGCAACACGAAAACGCGTGGCCTGACAGGCACATCTGCCCAATGATTGTCTCCAAACGCGTGAGTTTTTCATTCATAAAAATGTTTATGTAATTGCGCGATTATAGTCACAGAGGAAGTATTAGTCCCACAAGAAGAATACAGTTCTGTAGAAAACACACACCACCAGGAAAAATATCGCGAGCGTCCTGATCCGCTCTGCGGTGAGAGTTAAGAGCTTGATCTTTATTATATTGACATATATCGAATAATTCATATAATTTCTGAACAATCTGGAGCACCATATTTTACCACTG